ATAGGTGTGCTGGGTCAATACTGAGTCAAGGTATGTGTAAAGTGGTATCTGGAAATCATACAAGCGGTCTTATACTGTTTATGGGTATTGGGTAGCTATCTCAGGGCAACTTTTACATTATGTTGAGTGCCTCTTACCTCTAAACAGGCCAGTGCTGCGTACTTCCAGATGCTGGACTACAACTCCCACCAATAAAACTGTTGTAGCTCAGTAACTTCTGAAAAAGTTTAGGAAGTTAAAATCTGAATTTGGAAAGGACACTTAAAATTACTTAGTATGCCGACAATGTAACCACGCCTTTGGGATTTGGCATCAACATTTTCCACTTCATTTTAATTAAGAGGGGTGGGATCTGTATTTTTGATTAGTGACACATTACTACAGATCTGTCCAGAGCGATAGTGCAGGACAGATATTGTCCATAATGGCTTTTCACATGCTCATGTGGTCCGTCTAAGGATCCAAAATCCTTTTTTTTTTTTTTGTTAAATAATTATTTTATTATTACAAATTCAGACAAACTCAGCTTCAGAATAAAAGCTAGATCTCAAGTTTGAAGGCCTGTTTCAGCTTGTTTCTGTCTGACATTTTAGTCTTAAATAAAGTTGTGGCCCTGGCACTCAAGGATCAGTTTAAACAGCAGATTTATTAGGAAAATCTGCTGTTTAAACTTATTATTGAGTGCCTGGACTACAACTTTATTAAACTATTACGGTAGGGGTAGTCAACCCCAGATCTGGCTGCACCAAGATTTTAGATAGGAGTGCGCAACTCCTCCTTTTTTGTTTATATACTAGGACATTTTAGTTGCGTAATACCTTAAAGTTAGTGTATCTTGCAGAATTATTTGTAGCTATGTAATCCTATGATGCCCTCAACTGCTTTTACCTTTAGGTGAAGTGAGAATCATCAGAGTTGTATCTCTGGCCTTTCCTTTGGCCACTAACTTTCTATATCTATAGTTTACTACCCTCATTAAAATGGGATAAACTCAGAAATGCAACATAAAACAGTGAGCAGCAGTCACTTATTAGCTTAGTGAGAGCTCAGATGCTAAACAGCCTGAGGATTTGTAGCAAGTGAAGGAAGCTAGTGTTTGCATTTCTTTTTTGTTTTTAAATGTATTGGTTTTAAATGTTTTTAATGCACCATCCAAATGATGCATTAAAAATTAATGGTTCAAACTAGCCTGGGGTTTATTTTAAAGGACCACTATAGTGCCAGGAAAACATACTCAGGGTCCCACTCCCGTGGCGCTGAGGGGTGAGGAAGGGGTTAATCCCTTACCTTTTTTCCATCGCCGGGGTCCCTCGGCGCTGGGACTCTCCTCCTTCTTCTGACGTCCCTGGCTGAATGCGCATGTGCGGCAAGAGCCGCGCGCGCATTCAGCCAGTCTCAGGAAAGCAGGGCTGGACTGGGGATACAAAGCAGCCCTGGAAAAAAAATTTGTGCCAGCCCCATAAGTCACTGCGCCATATATTGTCGCGTGTAATATGTAAGTCTATGTCTTGCCAGGACAGATGATTGAGTATATATATATATATATATATATATATATATATATATTGCTTTTTCTAATATAAAATATTGGTCCTTTCAGGGTAAAACGTTTAATTATACAGTAAGCATACGCACATGCAGACACAGGCAATTTCACTGACATTTCAGTGACACACACAAGCTCATTGATACACAGCCTCATAGACAAACAATCTTACTGATATACATCAGCTCATTGACATAAAAACACAAGCTCACTCACTAGCAGGCACACGCATGCAAGCAAGCTCACTCACTAGCAGACGCACACACACAGCTTAATGTGGTGGTACTGGTGTCTATAGCATGTCCCTACAGGCTTTTCAACGTAAACACTGACTTTTCAGACAAAAGGCAGTGTTTACATTGCTTCAAAGTGACACTGCTAGTGACAGTCACTCAGACGGTCACTAGAGGTGCTTCCTGTGTTAGTGCCCTCCCGCGCTGCTGAATGAGACTGGCGCCGGAATATGACGTCATATTCCGGCGCCGGTCTCATTCAGCTGCGTGCTGGGGAGCAGAGCCAGCGCAGCTCCCTCAGCGGCCGCCAGGACAAGTCCGCCAGCGGCCGCCAAAAGACCTCCCCAGCGGCCAGGGGAGGGCTGGCAGCCTTAGGCCTGGGGGGCAAAACCAGTCAAGTAGACTGGTGCACCTGCCCAGGATCAGAGCCGGTGCAAGGATTTTTGCCGCCCTAGACAAAATAAAAATTTGCTGCCCCCACATGTCACATCACAATGCCCCACCCATATGATCTGCCATATGAACTAACGCCAGTGCTGCACACAGTGTGTGTTTACATTAAAAAGCCTGCAGGGACCAGCTATAGACACCAGAACCACTTCATTAAGCTATAGTGTCCCTTTAATGTGAGGTAAATTATAGATTAGTGTCACTAATAATATACTAGATTGCCTACTTACAAGCAGATGAGGATGATGATGGGCTGCAGTTTGGCTCCACTGGTCTGGTGTAGAACAGGATCTCTGGAGGCTGTTTGCAACTGTGGTCACAAAATTCAATGTTCTGGGAGAATTGGAAGCAGCTCAATTTTTGGGGGGCCCCTTACACAGCTCAAGGTCTGGGCCCCAGGGCCTGACGGTGAGTATGCCCATAAGGCCCACTCATAAGTTCCACCCACCCATGAGTTCGCTCACAGGGAGTGGAGTGTGTAGGGGATGTGTTATGTGTTATTGTAGAGGATCTAATATGTGTGCTTATGGTATGTAGTGTTTAGGGTTACCAGTTTGTGCAGGTGATGCAGTGTGTTTGTGTGTAGTGGAAGCAGTGTGTATTTGTGTATAAGGGATGTATTATGTGTTTCTGGTTGTGTGTAAGGGATGCATTGTGTGAATCTGTGTTTGTATGCATAAGGGATGCAAGGTGTGTGTCTGTATGTGTGTGCATGAGATGCATTGTGTTTCTGTGTGTATGTAAGAAAAGAAGCGTGTGTGTTTGCATGCGTGTGTACGGGTTTGCATTGTCTGTTTCTGTGTATGTGTGCAAAGGATGCATTGTCTTTGTGTGTAAGGGTTGCATTGTCTTTGTGTGTGTGTAATGGATGCATTGTGTGTTTCTCTGTGTGTAAGGGAAGCATGTTGTGTTTCTGTGTATGTATAGGGATGCATTGTGTGTGTGTGGTGTGTGTGATTTTGTTTGGTTTTGAATGATTTTTATTTTGTTTTATTTTGACGGATTTTGACCACTGACCTATTTTACTGAAATCTGTCCTGAAATTTTGTTGTATTTGCTAACAGTAAAGTACCTATTAACAATGGAAGGTTTGAGCTAATCTTGATGCCAATTAAGATAGTAACTATAAATATATCTTTTACCAAGAGTATAGTTAACAAATAACCATTTATGGTAACTGAATGGATCAAATGCTAGTTGTTATAGAAACCATAAATTTTTAGGCGTGAGAGATACAATAGTAAGAGAATGATTTTCAATCTGATAAATTATTAATGAGATAATAGTTAAAAAAAGAATTGGTGCAAAGTGGAAAACCCATTGACGAGTAAATGGGTAGAGGCCATGAAGACGTTAGACTGTTAGAATCTGCCCATTCAGTCAGAAACTTATAGTTATAAAAAAACCACAGGGACTGTGCGGATATCCCAGCAGGCAGTGCAGTCAGTGCCTGATGTTCTATGGAAATGCTTGCATTTGGTAATTTACAGTGGGAGTAAAGATGCTATTAATAAAAAGGGTAGGAGGACTCTGCTGTGTACATGTGATGCCAGTAGCCAATCAAAACAGGGTATTTCTGCATATGTTCTTATTATCACTCATTGTTCCAATATGCAGTGATGCAGAAATATGTTTGGCTTGCGTCTTAATGCAGGCTATCAATTATGCTCACAGATATCCTAGTTTGGAGAAGGGCTTGGTATGGGACAGTAAACAGCATATGAATGTGGCACTCACAGGAGCCTTCCTCTATCTATCTCAACGATTATAAATTGCAAATGATTAAATATAGGTTTAAATGGCAAATCTCATGGAAAACATACATTTTTAGGACTAAAAAGTCTATTAAAGGGACACTCAAGACCCGTAAAGCACTTCAACTTGCTGAAATTCTTGACGTGTCAAGAGTGTTTCCTTCTTCTTTCATTTTACTTAAAAGGCAGATTTTTAAAAGAAACTGACACTTTTCTGAATTAACAATGTTATAACCCCTGGCTGTCAATCAGACAACAGGTCCTGTTACTTCCTGGTTTGGTTATCTCAGTGGAGCTAAACTCAAGAGACAGCAATAACTCAGGGCACCTGCCTTGCAGAGACTTATTGGGAAGTCTGTGATTGGACAGCCACAGAAAGTGAGGGCGGGATTAGAATGGGAGGGTTTGCAAAGGCAAAAGACAAGAGATCTGCAGCTTTTGCAAGCTGTTTATAGATATAACTCAAATGAAACCAAATGCATTATTAAATGCATGCATGTTTTAATTTGGGGCATATCTACTAAACTGTCATTTATTTTGTATTTGAAAGTGTCTATCAGGGGTCAGATTTTCCACTATCCACTAGCTATTGGAGAGTGAAAATTCACCCCTGGTTAGAAGAAATGTGCCCCTGGTCTGTCATGTGCTGTCCCAGGCTTGCAATTTTTATTATTCATATTATTTATATAGCGCCAGCAAAATTCCGTAGCGCTGTACAATGGGTGGACTAACAGACACGTAATTGTACTCAGACAAATGGACGTAGAGGAACAGAGGGGTTAAGGGCCCTACTCAGTGAGCTTACATGCTAGAGGGAGTGGGGTATAGTGACACAAAGGGTATGAGTAGGGGTAGTGAGGGGGGCGGGGCTTGACCTCCAACATGGCCAGACGTGTTTGCCTGTAGCTCTGGGCCACAACTACTCAAATACAGTGCATATTTCATCAGAAAGCAAATTTAAACTATAAGCTGACTTTCCAAAAGCCGAGCATACCTTGCTGAGTCCGAATAAGGGAAGTTTGCTGGACATCGCCCATGTAAATGTCTGAGGCCTACTGCATCTGGCACGCTGATGGTGTGGAGATGAGGTTGATCTCCTACCAGTGGGTGCGCAACTTACAACTGAATGCTCAGAGCCCCATTACCCCCCCCCCCCTCCATTTGGACCGGTGGGGGATATCCCGGTCCCTACTTGGTCCGCTAAGCCTGTTCCAGGGAGACAAGCAGAGGAATCTTGAAAGCCACGCAGCTCGTCCAAGATGGCCGCCGCATTGACACCTCAGCACAATTAAATGAGCCTGTCAGGCCAGAACTGGAGAGAAGTCTTCAACGCTAGATTTGAGGCAATATACCAGGCCTTCTGTGATCGTTTCGCTATGCGACAACCCACACTCACCCCTCCAGTGTCGCAGACAGCCTGTGAAGCAGTATCAGTTACCTGTTCCTCTTCTGGGCTGCGGCCCAACTGGAGCTCCCTCCATATGCCCACGGAGAAGACCGCATTCCGGTAGACCCGCGGGCCCACGATCCCGCCGTTCGGAACAGGCGGATCCATGGACTAAGGGCAATGGCTCCCTTCAAGGCCCGGAGCTGAAGCTACAGAGATCTGCTGCACTACGGGCTACTGACCACCCACCTGTTGCACAGACAGCACTACCTGACATGCCCTGTGCCGGGGAGAGGGAACAACATACCCAACATGGAGATGGACTCTCTGTTATGGCCTGCAGCCAATGTGCAGGCCATAACAGAGAGTCCATCTTCATGTTAGGTGGTTGACTGGTTGATTACAGCCGACAATATATCTCTCTATACAACTCTTGTTGCCTGACATTTTAATTAATGATGTGCTATTTCTCCTACCCTTCCGCTACCTGCTAATACCCAGTGGCTCCACTGCTAATTAATCACCCAGTCAGTCAATTTAGTCTGGTCTGACATGCATATTAGTGAAGCAGCACTGTTCTTTTCTACTGCCTTTACCTTACCTAGCTTGCTATCTTACAATCTCTGCTATGTATACCTAAGCCTGATGATCCTCTAGTTAGCAATTGTTGAGCTTTGACATGTAGCTTAGCATCTTTATAACCTATGGGAAAAAAAAATGTTGATTATTCTCCAATGCCACATTACTGTTTCTCCCATACTTGTTCTTGCTCTTGTGACCTGACATCTAAGCATGTTTAATATTTTGTATACGGACATGGTTATCTCCTTTATTACCAAAAACAAAACAAACAAAAAGTGCAGTACTTTGGCGTTTCTTGATATTGCTACATCAGTGCATTGTAACGTATACTTTCATGAAATGTCTTTGTTTATCTGATTGTCATGCCATGCACTACCAAAAATAAAGAATGTCAGATAAATACAGGTAATAAAATAGGTGGCTGGAAAAGTATTCACTGGGAACTTAAGTAGGTTATTTTTGACTGTTGCACCAGAGGAGTCATAGTGGGGGTGGGGGTGGATGAAAATCCGCTAACAGTTTAAATGATACGTTTTTCTGAAGAAGTGTGTATTCAAAGATTGTTTGAAGGAGTGGAGACTAGGTGAAAGTCTAATGGAGAAGGAAAGGGAGTTCCACAGAAAAGGAACTCCCCTGGAGAAGTCTTGGAGGTGAGCATCAGATGTGGGAGTACGGACAGAGGATAGACGTAGGTCTTCAGCAGAGCGCAGGGGCCTAGACGGGACGTACTTGCGTATTAGGGAGGATAGGTAGGTTGGAGCAGCATTATGTAGGGACTTGTAAGCAAGCACCAGAATCTTAAATTGAGCCCTATATCTAACTGGAAGCCAACGTAGAGATTGAGAGGGGGCAGGCGTGGGCGGACAGGAAAATCAGCCTTGCCGCCGTGTTCATAATAGAGCTGTACGATATGGGAACACGTAAGACCACTGAGAAGGAGATTGCAGTAGTCAAGACGAGAAAGAACAATGTCATGGACCAGCACCTTAGCCGCGTCTGGTGTTAAATAGGGGCGGATGCCAGCTATGTTTTTGAGATGGAAGCGGCAGGATTTTGGCGATCTACTGAACATGAGGGGTGAAGGAGAGGTCGGACTCAAATAGAACACGTAGGCAGCGAGCCTGCGAGGTAGAGGTGATGGTGGCGCCGTTGACATGGAGACAGACAGACACGGGAGTAGCAACACTTGAGGGAGGAAAGACCAGAAGTTCTGTTATGGACAGGTTGAGTTTAAGGAAGTGAGCAGCCATCCAATTGGAAATCGCGGAGAGGCAGTCAGAGACACAGGTCAAGAGGGACGGGGAGAGATCAGGAGAGGACAGGTAGATTTGCGTGTCATCTGCATAGAAATGATATTGGAAGCCAAAGGAGCTGATGAGCTTACCAAGGGAGGCAGTATAAATGGAGAACAGTAGGGGACCAAGGACTGAACCTTTGGGGACACCAAGAGAGAGGTTGGGGAGAAGAGGCAGAGCCAGAGAAAGAAACACTGAAAAAAGAGGTAGGAGGAGCACCAGGAGAGAGCAGTATATCGTAGACCGAGATTACGGAGAATGAGAAGCTGTTGATAATCAACAGTGCCAAAGGCAGCAGAAGGATCAAGGAGAATTAGGATAGAGTAATGGCCGTAAGATTTAGCAGCGATTAAAAAGTTGGATACTTTGGTCACAGCTGTTTCAACTGAGTGGCGAGCGCAGAATCCAGACTGAAGCAGGTCAAGTAGAGAGTTGGATTTGAGGAAGTCTGTCAATCTCGCATACACAACTCTTTCATGGATCTTGGAGGCAAACGACAGCAGCAATATAAGTTGCATGCTTGAAGGGTGAAGGAAAGGGAGAGATTGAAAACTTTAGTTAGAGGAAGAGCAAGAGAGGAAGACAGAGTGCGGATGAGATATGAGGGAATAGGATTGAGGGAACAGATGGTGTGGCGGGAAGACAGGAGCAGAGCGGAAACCTCTTCTGTTGTAGTAGGTGCGAATGAACATAGAACAGTGAAGTAAATGGGGTTGGATGATTTATTGGAAGGGTAGGGAGAGAGATTAGAGATCTCTTCCCTGATTATAGAAATCTTCTCAGTAAAGTGAGTTGCAAAGTTTGAGGCGGACAGGGTGTTAGGAGGGGGAGCAACAGGGCGAAATTCTATATTGGGGAAATTCTACACTCTGGCTCTTTCCTCTGCAAAAGTAAATTACTTCAACACCCTCATAAGCACATTGTCCCGCCAACCCAAATGCCCTTTTCACACTTTTAATGCTTTTGAATTTCCCCAATATAATGGACGCAACCAGCCATATTAGGTAAAAGGAGCAAACTGACTTTATTAGGCCACTCGGCTTGTTATGCAGTGCCCCTAGCATGTTTTTATATGTGTGTGTGTGTGTGTATGTATATATATATACACACACACACACATACATACACACACACAAAATCACAGGAGTTTCCTTTCCACAAGCCATTGTGTTTGAGAGATAATTGAGCGCCAATTAAGTTAATCCAATTATCTCTCAAATAGAAAAACGTACATACAATTTTTACATATCATAAAATACATGACAACAGCATCGGAACCCCACAAAAATTATATTTCCGAATAACCACGATCTGAGCGCACAACATATCCAAAAAGCGATCAGTTCGGTAAAACTAAAGTCATGTGCGTGCCTGGTAGAGGTGGTATTGTCAATTCCAAAAAGAGGTTAATTTGATTGTATGGGATGTCAGGGCTTACAACCTAAATTCCTTTTTGAAGCTGCGACCCCAAGCAGAGCTACTCTGTAAGGCGCGAGAAGTCACACATAAGTGGCCTGGAACTCTGGTTTCAGCACAAACTAACTGCACAACAGCTTTTACATAATACAATTAACACAATAGCTTTCATCCAGCTCAACATTTTACAAAATAACTCAACATTACCACAGTGTAACCCCATATCCGATATATCATTTTAAAGCCTGTGACCAGGTCCATAGTCTGTGGGCAGGAGGCTAGCTGTTATGCAGCACGCTGTGGCACAGGACTTTTTGAAAAAGGAACATGTTGTCAAATATGTATTCTTACCAGTTTTTTTATAATCTCCATCCAAATGTGAAACTTCTTTATGAGCAATCAGTGGTTCAGTATCATGAGAAAACAAATGGGAAAAAAATCTTGCAGCTCACTATCACATCATAGTGTCTCATGCCATACTTGATAGGCCTACTTTAACATTTACTGAACTATGATTTTATAAATATACAGAGTAATGGATTACTGAAAAACTATGGACGCTATTGAGGACCAATACGGAGGTATGCTCCCATGAGGATATCTGGTAGAATACACATGCTCAGAATGACTAGGTTAGATAATCAGTAATGGACCCATGTTTGGCATGAGAAGTTATCTGCTGCTATGCCCTTGACATTAGCAACCTTACTATATAATACGAGTGGCAATATGTCATCACCAGAATGTGGACTTACTGTCCTTACCAAGATGACTCACAAAACCGCTGTAGATACCTATTATTTTTTATGTATAGCAGTAAAATCTGTACCTGGTGAATGTGTAAGAATAATTTTTAGGTGGAATGACTTAATAAAAAAAACCAAAAAAAAAAAAAAACACATGTAGATAGCTGGGTCCATTGACGTCACCTTCAGCAGTTGTTACTTTCCTGCGTCAAACATTCAGACGGACTACACAGGCCAGGATAACTAGGCCCTGCCCCACAGCCACCTGTGGATCTTAACTCATTTTGGAATTATTTTGACCAAATCAAGACAAACAGCAACAGTACAGTGGCCTGACATGTTATGGAAGGTTTAGAGGAGGTGTGATGTATAATAGTACTTCAATCGCTGGCAGATACACAGCAAGATAAAAAATTTAAACATTTCAGCTTTACAAAGATCTTCTGTTAGTAATGTACTGTCACAATATCGTAGTTCAGTTGCACTTCCATAACTGTATTCAAAAACCTACCATTTTAGCCAGCTCATAATCCAACCCTTATTAATAGGGAGTACGCTCAAACTGGTAAGGTTTTAGAAAGTAAAACCATTACATAATTTGTTAACTTGGGATAAAAATAAGAAAAATGAGGCCTGTCATGTATTCATATTGTTTATCCCTCTGTCAAATCCAGAGTCTCAAAACCTGACACAAAACACAGTCAGCAATTCATGAATCTTTTGCCAAAATATGATCCATAATGCACATAATACATTATTATTATTATTATTATTACCACCTGATACACTTGGCATCTGCAGGTTCTATAGCAAGTAAAATGCATTATAGTTCCCCCTGTGTGATCTATGGGAATTAGGCCTTATGTGAGCATTATAAAATGGCAGATTTTCTGCAGACACAAGTTCTTAGTGTGACGAATCTACAATCATCAATCAAATGCATATTGTGACATCACGTAGGTACCCACCTGTTTGGTTCTGTACTGCAGCCTAGTTAGGTAGTTGGTTTACATCCATATACTTTTCCAGGGAAGGTCATTACTCTCCATAAATAATGATGTCCTTTTATAAATTGTTCTGAAAGAATAAAACAATGGTAAAAAAAAAATGCAATTTTGAAAAAAAAAGCTAATAACTTTAGCAATTTGCAGAAACCACTGTAACTATCAGACTGTTTTTTCCCCCCCCGAAGTCAAAGGAGAAAATTTAATTTCCTTTTTTAGTGTCTAACTTCTGCATACTTTTTGTGTACTGCACACTGCGTTCCCTACCTCCTCCCCTGATAAGAAATGGTGTGTGTAGCTGCAGGCCGGGGAGAATGTTGTGAACAGCCTTACACACAAAACTATGAATAAGACTGTCAATAAACTGATAAGAGATGTGTGGCTGCTATCAGCTTATTCAGTGTCCCATTCATCACATATGATTGAAAGTGGGCTGGGGGCTGAACGGTCAGGGTTTACTAAAGTGAGAATTTAAAGGGAATTTTACATTTTTAGGACAGAGTAGCCAAACTCAAAGCATAGCTACAAGGATTCTTTCCAGTTTAGCAATTTTCAATGAAAATTTGAAATTCACCACTGGTCTAGACTTAGCTCTGAAAAATATAGCAAGAATACAACCATCACTGGCCTATTCTAACTAGAAAGAATACAACCACCACTGACCTACATACAAAATATACCACTGGCCTAGACGTACTAGCATGAGTATAGTTGTCACTGGCCCAGACTAATTTGGAGGGATGCAACCATCTCTGGGCTAGTCCAACTAGCAGGAATACAGCCATCTCTGGGCTAGTCCAACTAGCAGGAATACAGCCATCTCTGGGCTAGTCCAACTAGCAGGAATACAGCCATCTCTGGGCTAGTCCAACTAGCAGGAATACAGCCATCTCTGGGCTAGTCCAACTAGCAGGAATACAGCCATCTCTGGGCTAGTCCAACTAGCATGAGTACAGCCATCTCTGGGCTAGTCTAACTAGCAGGAGTACAGCCATCTCTGGGCTAGTCTAACTAGCAGGAGTACAGCCATCTCTGGGCTAGTCTAACTAGCAGGAATACAGCCATCTCTGGGCTAGTCTAACTAGCATGAGTACAGCCATCTCTGGGCTGGTCTAACTAGCATGAGTACAGCCATCTCTGGGCTAGTCTAACTAGCATGAGTACAGCCATCTCTGGGCTAGTCTAACTAGCAGGAATACAGCCATCTCTGGGCTAGTCTAACCAGGAGCGTACCTGGTGCATTTGGCACCTGGGGCGGATCCGATATTTGGCACCTCCTCCCCAAATAAAAATGTAAAAAAGATTTTTCATGTATTTAGCACCGAGCAGTGTTTGTGTGTTTGAATGTAAGCATGTTTTTGTATAGAATATGTGTGAGTAAATGTACGGGTGTGTTTGCATGTATTGGCATAATGTGGTTTTTGAATATGGTGGTGTGTTTTTATGTAGTGTTGGCATTTGGATGCAGGGTTGTATTTGTGGGTAGTGTAGGCGAAATGCTGGGCTGTATGCACATATACTCACATATACACAGACACATAGGTACACACATGCAGTTACATAGAAACACAGTCATACACAGATACAGACACACACAGAGAGAGACACACAGGCACAGATATACATACAGATAGAGACACACTGATACAAACACAGACACACAAACAGATACACAGACACACACATACATATACACATATACCAACACACAAACAGATACAGATGCCCAGTGGGCCGCGATGGCCGTGGGCCGAGGCCGGCAGGAGAGGTCACAGGATCTCCCCTGCCAGCCCGTGCAGGGCCAGCGCTATCTGAGCGCCGGCCCTGCTGTGTGCCTTCATGGGCCGGTGGGGAGATCAAAGATCTCCCTTGCCGGCCCGGAGGCAATTATAAGCAGCCGCAGGCTGGGGAGTGAGGGAGGAGAGGACAGGCGGAGCTCTAGCCAGCAGCTCCGCCCGGTCCTCTCGCGGGATTCGGAGCGTTGCCGTGGTTACCGTGGCAACGCTCAGATCTCGCGAGAGTGGACTCTAGCCTGCAGGCTAGAGTTCACTCTCACCACTAGGACCACCAGGGAAGGCAGCATGGCTCCCTCCTCAATGGATACCTGGCTCCCCACCCCCTCCCAGGCTAAAGGTAAGAAGGGAGGGGGGGGATATAACTTTTTTTTTTTATTATTAAAAAATACATTCACACTCAGCACACATCACACTCCCACACACACATATATATATATATATATATATATATTATATAAAATAACCCTCAGTGAGTTAACAGACAAAGAAAATTAGAAACCTAGAATGTGACGGCAGATAAAAACACCCTCACACACAGCACCCCTCTTACATACACACACACACTGCGCCCCTAACACATACAATACGTCATATATATATATTATTTATATTTTTTTGGAGGTGAGTGCCAAGCGTTTATATATATATATATATATATATATATATATATATATATACACACACACACACAAAACACATTACAGCACCCCTCACACTGCACCACTACACACATTACGCTCCAGATACACGCTAGATCCCTTACCCTATATGCACTTTTAATCCTCTACACACACACACACAATCTCCTATACACACTCTGGGTCCTTTACACACTAGATCTCCTACACACACACACACACTACATTCCTTGTCAGCAAACACATACAACATTTTCTAAACACACCCTCTCTACAACCCCTACACACACTACATCACCTATACACACACACACAGTACAGCCCGTATGCACACACTCGCTACATCCCCTAGGACACTATGCCCTCTATACATACACTCTCTACAGCCCCTAGCCACACATATTACACCACAAGCACAAATGAAATTGACCTATTTACACAATACCACACCACACTCTACACACACGCAATCCCACAAGCAGGCTCCAAACATATGCACCATGCACTTTCCTGGCCCTTTTGTCCTCTGGTATCCCACTTGTGGAGACACCAGAAACAATTTAAAAGCAAACACAGCGCAAGCATGTTATTACATTTGTTTGCGCTGGGCAGAACAAATACAGGGCCTTTTTCTAATGCCAGAGCTCTTCAGCAGGGCTCTGCGCATTGAACCAACATGCTCACTTTGAGAGAGGACGTGCTTGTCATTAGTGATGACAAAACACACACTCTCTGGCCCCGCCGCCTTCTTAGGGGGCTGCTCTGATTGAAAAATGCCAATAGGGAGGGGAGGTGATGACGAGAGGGGTGATGATGAGAGGGAGAGGGGGGTGATGTGATGTTAGAGGGGGGAAACTAAATACCTTGGCTCCCTGGTGGTCCGGTGGCCATAATATCCGGTTTACCATGAATCTCGCCATAATTTACCATGAATCTCGCGAGACACAATCAGAGCGTTGCTGTCGTAACTAGCAGAAGTACAGCCATCAGTGGGCTAGTCTAACTAGCAGGAGTACAGCCATCACTGGGCTAGTCTAACTAGCAGGAGTACAGCCATCAGTGGGCTAGTCTAACTAGCAGGAGTACAGCCATCACTGGGCTAGTCTAACTAGCAGGAGTACAGCCATCAGTGGGCTAGTCTAACTAGCAGGAGTACAGCCATCAGTGGGCTAGTCTAACTAGCAGGTGTACAGCCATCACTGGGCTAGTCTAACTAGCAGGAGTACGGTCATAGCTGGTCTAACTTTACTATACAGTGTTAATTTTGTCGACTAAAATTTCGGAGATTTAGTCTACCAAAAACCAAAACAATTCAGATGACTAAAATACTACAAAAACTATAATGGCTTTTTAGTCACAAGTCTATGATTAACACTAAATTGACATTTGCCGCCAAAAATAATAAATAACTGAGTGGCTGTGGAAGGGGCAAAAGAGACAAACCAGGGATTGGGAGAGAGACACCTAGAGCGGCTGGGAGGACACAGAGACAGTCTGTGGAAGGGGCAAAAGATAACGATAGAGGCTTTAACTAAACTATCAGATTTTAGTTGTGTCCTAAAATTAAATTGAAATTTGCTGCCAAAATTAATACTGTTACTATAAGGAACAGGGCCTGAGCCATTATTGCCCTATTCTGTGGTAACTAACCAGAAGCAATGTATCAATTACTGAAATAGTCTGTTGTGACTGACCAAAGTGAGTGTGCCCATTACTACCATGGTCTGTGATAGCTAACCATTACTAATATAATCTGTGGTAACTACTAAAATAATCTGTGATAAGTGACTAAAGGGTTTGTGCCTATTACTACCATAACTAATCAGAGGGATTGTATCCATTACTACCATAATCTGTGGTAACTAACCAGTACTAGTATAGTCTGTGGTAACCAGCCATTACTAGTATAGTCGGTGGTAACTAACCATTACTAGTATAATCTGTGGTAACTAAACATTCCTAGTATAGTATGTGATAACTAACCATTACAAGTTAGAGTCTGCGGTAACCAGCCATTACTAGTGTAGTATGCCCATTCTTAGCAAAGTCTGCGGTAACCAGCCATTGCTAGTATAGCCTGTGGTAATTAACCATTACTAGTATAGCCTGTGGTAATTAACCATTACCAGTATAGTAAAACATAGAAACATAGAATGTGACGGCAGATAAGAACCATTCAGCCCATCTAGTCTGCCCAATTTTCTAAAAACTTTCATTAGTCCCTAGCCTTATCTTATAGATAGGATAGCCTTATGCCTATCCCACACATGCTTAAACTCCTTTACTGTGTTAACCTCTACCACTTCCTATTATTTTTAAACCTATAGAAACATAGTCTCCAGTAACCAGCCATTTCTAGTTATAGTCTTCAGTAACCAGCCATTATTACTATAGCCTGTGGTAGCCAGCCATTACTAGTTACAGTCTTCAGTAACCAGCCATTACTAGTATAGTCTGCGGTAGCCGGCCATTACTAGTATAGTCTGCGGCCATTACTAGTATAGACTGCGGTAGCCGGCCATACACTATGCTGCACCCCCCATGGCAGCAGACAGACTATGAGCCCTCTCTGATTGCGGCAATGAAGGGGTTAAATCGTTGGCTCGCGCTCGGCTCTGATTGGCTAAATGTTTCCCTTCAGCGCTCTAACTGGAAACTTCAGGCCCCGCCCTTCCGTGTGTAACAAGTCCTTTATCTCGAGCAAGCCACGCCCTCTCCTTCCAGTTTGATGGCAACACGCTGCCCGACGTCACCTGTGCCCTCTGCTATTGGCCGCCGCTCCGACGGCTTCCCACCAATCAGACTCCCCTGCGGTGACATCAGCTAGCAACCATCCCCCGGCACGCGCCGACATGGGGGCGGGTCCCGAGCGAGGATGCCGCCCCCTGGTCGTGACGCCACACCGGAGGAGCGATCTGATTGGCCCAGCCTGACGGGTCTCTTGCTGTTGCTGTGTGGGAAGAGACGGCTGGAGCTGCCGGCAGCTGATGAGGAGCCGGAAGAGTGGAGAGAGTGGTGAGTCACTTTGTACCGGCTCCCAGAAGCTGCACCCCGGCATAGCTAGGCTGGCAGCCCAAACTCGGTGAGGGTCAGGGCAGTGCCAGCCATGGGATTCCTGCAGCTTCCCCCACCTCCTGCCCAACTCAGGGCTTCTCACTCAGGACTTGCTGGGAGTTGTAGTTCCCTGTCAGGTAGTTCAAGCTTGCTGTCTATGCCAATCTTCGCCTTCTCGGACTACAACTCCCGTCAGGCCTTGCTCTTGGCTCCTCTCTTGATAAACAAGGCACTTCATCTCGCGCTCTGATTAGACGGCATCGGACAAACCCCCCTTCACCTCATCCCATTGGCTACTGTACCTGTCCGTCAAACGCTCTCCCGTCTCCGCCCCCTTTTTTCTTCTCATTAACCGCTAATGAGTGGCTACTGTAAGTGTTGCTCAAGCTTCTCTCCTGCTTGTCAGAGAAGCCCCGCCCCTGGTGGTTCTAACGACGCTTCCTATTGGCCGAGGCCTCTGTCACTGGGCTAGTTGTGGGCTGTGATTGGCTGCCTGCGCCAGCTGTTCCTGCTTCATTCACCATTTTGTCTCCTGGAGTAAGGGGGCCAGGCAGCAGTGTGTGGATGTCCGTGAGTGAGGGCCAGGTGAGTGTCAGCAGCTCCCCATGGGTCACCAGGAGCCACCAGCTGTCATTATACAGAGCCAGCCTCCTCCACCACCACCAGCAGCAGCAGCTCAGACTGACACTGATAATAATAATATTATAATAATATATCCTGGGGGTGGGGGGCACCACCAGCTGTTATAGAACTTCTCCCAAATCCCTGCTCACCCTCATATAACACATAGTGACTGTGTGTCTGTATGATAAATAGCTCACACTGACTTACTGTGAGTTTAAATGTTCTTTATACAGAGCCAGCCTCCACCAGCAGCTCAGACTGACACTGAAATAATTATATATTTATATATATTTATTTATTCTCTATATATCCTGGGGGGTGATCAGAGGTAGACAGACTCCCTTCTCTTCTAGAACTTCTTCTCCAAAATTCCTGACCCTCCCCCCCTTGCTCTATTTAATATATATTCTATAATAAAGCTTGCACTGACTTAGTGTGAGTTTAAATGTTCTTTATACAGAGCCAGCCTCCACCAGCAGCTCAGACTGACACTGAAATAATGATATATATATATATATATATATATATATATCTCCTGGGGGGTGATCAGAGGTAGACAGACTCCCTTCTGTTCTAGAACGTATCCAAAATTCCTGACCCCCTCTCTTCCCCTCCCTTGCTCTATTTAATATATATATAAATATATTCTATAATATAGCTCGCACTGACTTAGTGTGAGTTTAAATGTTCTTAATAACCGACAGCAGTAGCTGGATCCATGTATATTATTAGCCTGAGTTTATACCCGCCAGTAATCCTACGCTTGGGAGAGAGCCTGCTTCATTATGGACAAGCACGCAGATCACTCCCCACTATCTGTGTTATTAAAATGTGGAGCAATGATCCTGACCTGTCTGTGCATTTGTGCAGGGAGTTTCCACTTGTGCAGGGGATTAGGAGTGAGCTCCACAGGGAGGGGTGTGGGGTGAAGGCAGTGCTGATGCACAGAAAGTGACAGTACTTTTTAACACTTAAATGTGTGCAACCCTTACAGGGGTTAATACATGACGGCTGCCGTACATGTGTGTGTCCCTGGGCTATTCTGGTACCGATGGGGTTCTGCAGTATTAACTATAGCGATATTGTGTCATCTTGTGTGCATTGTCTCTATCAGGACTTTAATAAAGTAATCTGACCTCTACTTCAAGTAATTTCTGAATGTGCGTGTGTAATTCTTTTTAATTGTGGAAAAGCATTGCTCTATGTGTTGGAATTGGAAAGGGCAGCTTGCTGACAAAGCAGTGATCGACTATGTGAGCAGAGAATAGGGATCTGCCCTTCTTGGGAAATTCAGTATTTGCTGGGGGGGTTTGGAGGAAGCATGGCCGATTTTCTGTACATTTTATCGAGTTGAGAATTCACGACTGTTCGTAAGTCATGGGGGTGTCTACTAAATCACATTTGTTCCAGTCGGTGTTTTATATTCTTTGTGTATAGTATGAGGGTCCTTCATAATTTTAGCTCCCATGCTCAATGTTAATCTTGTTCTCAGGAAGGTTGATTTATCCCAGCAGACACAGTGTAGACTTGATAGAAAGGAGCTGTCTTACCCTCCAGAATGGTGTTCAACTTGAACCCTACATAGCCGAAATCATTATTGCAGCCCATGTCCAGGACACAAGGGGTGCTATTATGTGGTGTGGAATGTGGGTGTTACTCGGTTACCCAACACCCTCTTCATTGTTATTACCTTACTGCAAGAGAGTAAATATACATAGTACAGAGCAAACACCGTATATACTTTATCATGTAGTTATATTTTCACAGCTGCAATAATCACCATGTATTAGGCAACACACAATCGAATGCACATTATACGGAGCAGTAATTTCATTCTTGTATTCCGATTATCCACAATCCGTACTAAGTCCATGCAAGCACATATACACCTCCCTCTTGGCTGCCTGTATAATTTCCACACTACAATCACGTAATGCTCTAAGAAAGCTAGTTTTATCTCATTGTCTGCACAGAATCCAGATGTGCAATGGTTTAAATTTTTTTTTTTTTTTTAAATTCAGATATATCTGAACAGCCCAAGCTATTAAGCTAAGCTCGCCTCCCATGATGCTTTGCCAGCATTCTTTCTCTGAGAGCATTGTGGGAGATGTAGTCCACAACATCTGGAGCGCTGAAGGTTGGCTATTCCTGCACTATGGCTGTTGGCATATTTCTTTAGTGATTATAAACTACAAAGGTTATTTCTAATACGATTCTGTGATCTCACCCATTCCTATAGTGACATTAGCCTACAACTTTATATTTAGGAAAATACATAATATTTGTGAGTGTGTGTGTGTGCAGATGCACATAGATCTGGAGAATGCTGATGTCATGGCTATGAGCCAGTAGAAAATTGCCACTTACACAATATTTCGAATGGGATGTATAAAATATTAATGTCACAGCAGTGACATGAGTAAAGTTATATAGTAGGCCTATAAACTTAATTCTATTTCCTTATTCTTAAGAAGATGTGCACTTTTTTTTTACTCTTATTCTTAATATAACACTTGTGTTTTTTTGGTTTTTTTTAATTTATTTTATCTCCCCCCTTGTGATTTGTAAACCTCTTTATCCATCAAGTGAATCTTGGTGATCTTATGCCTTGTATATGTATATTAATTATTCCAGTTTACGTGAAAACTAACAGATTACGGTACTACAAATAATAAAAAGAAGGGATTGTTCTTCTCAATACAGATTATTTTCGGTGGGCGATCTTTCCCCTTTGACTGTCAGATCTTTTGGCTTGATCAGTCTTTTTGCTAATTCTTTCAGGGTTGATAAGTGTGTATATTTATGTAATCTAGAAAATTCCACTCGCCCACTCACCTGCGACAAGTAAGTCAGTCTAGCAGACAAAAACATCTGGTGTATACGTGACACTGAATGGACTTGTTCATATCTAATTCTGGATAGGAATCCCTTCTTCTGGCTAGTAAATTTTAGTGATATCTTGTTCAAGGGTATGTAGTAAATCGTAGTGGTATCATGTTCGTGTGTGTGTATACATGTATGTGTAAGTAATGTATATATTGTTTATATCATTTCAATACAAAACCATAATATTTTCTGCATTCTCCATAATATTGTTGCTGTTCCTTAACTGGAATTATTATCAGGGACTGTGTGCAATGACTTGAGAGGGTGAGAAAAAGAGCGTGAAAACGCGTAGGTGTACTTGTGGGAGAATGTGTGTCTCAGTCAGCTTGTAAATCTCTTAGTGTCGTCCTTCTCCTTGTATATGTGTGCACGAGAACTCGTGATTTTCCCCTTTTTTGTGTGTGTATGCTGATGCATGTCTGCACATGTGTATCTGTGCACACCCGTGAGTACCTATTGTTCAGTAATGTTTATTTACATGTCATCTGTGGCTACAACTGTTTCCATCTGTCTGAGCACTTTAAGACGTGTTTCCCTATGCCTTACATGTGTAGATGGCTATCTGTGAGTGGCATTCGGCACATAGCAGTATCTTTGTACTACGTGTGTGAAGTACATGTCTGAACATGCCTTTTCTTGCATTTGTGATCGTAGTGCATGCGTGCAAATGTTCCTCGTCACGTAGGTATATGTTGGGGGGGGGGGTGTGTGTGTGTGTGTGTGTGTGTGTGTGTGTGTGTGTGTGTGTGTGTGTGTGTGTGTGTATGCCTATGCCATAACATGGGCCAGAGGAAATGACAGTATGAATTTAGAGGTGAAACATATGACTGTCATTTCCTTCACGATGACTGCGGTTAGTCAGTAATCTGCAGATCTGCGTTATTTGATGGCATCTAAATCTTTGTGATACACTTACTATGTTCTGGAATAGATTGTACATGTCTTTGGTTCTACGGATCATCACGTTTTAAATCCTTATGCTTTTTCTAATTACTCTGTTAATTTGGGTGTTCATTTAATTATTCATTAACAACAAAAAAAATACAGAAGAAACTGAATCAGGTAATCCAGCAGTTTCTGAATAATAATAATTTTTTGATCTGTTTGTTTAATAGATAGTGTTTTGTGTGTTTTAACGGGCAAACCGTTTGCTAAGGTTTTGGGTAGTAATTAGACAGCTTTGACCAACATTTCCAGTCTTGGTTTCCATTGTATGTCACTATTTAGGGCTCCTTTCTTAAGTGTCCACTCTGCTTATTCATGTGAATGATTATCTATTTGGTTTGTCTTTTCAACAGGTGGTCCTGAAACATAAACATGAAACCAATAAAGAAAAGTACAGGCTCTACACACAGCAAGGCCTCAAACTCCACTCGTGGTAAGAAACCAAAAAGAAAAGTTGAGGAAGGACGGCAGGAGGAAGAAGAGGAGCAGGAAGGAGAAGAGTCTCCAGAACAAGCAGAGGAGTTCGAGGGAGGCTCAGGTCAACCCTTGGCATTGGTAGCAAGGCAGATGCAGGTAAAAATTGACCTTTCTACCAGAGAAATGGCCGACACCAGAGTGCAGGATCAGGAAATGCCTGCGCAGAGTAGAGAGCAGGAGATAGATGATGAAACACAGTCTGTAAAAGCTCAACCTTGCTTGGAGGCCTCCAGTGATGATCAGTTGAGCGGCAAAGCAGGATTTGATCCAGCTCGATGGGAGATGCCTTTAAGCAGGAAAACTGCCACTTTCAAGTCTAGGGCCCCTAAAAAGAAATATGTTGAAGGCCATGGGGCTCAGGAGGGACAAGAGGACTCCTCTAGTAGCAGTGAAGGACCTTCTGCTCTGCAGGAGTGTAGCACAGAGAAGCCTGTGACTCCAGCTCTTGTTTCAGAAGATATGTGCCCTTCTGTACGTTCTTCATCCACAGATACAGCTAGTGAGCATTCTGCAGATCTAGAAGAGGAAGCAGAGAAAGCAAATGTGGAAATAGAGCCTCCGAGTAGCTCATGGACTGAATTTGACCTTCGTCATCTGCAAGCCAAGAGGGTTCTGGTCAGAAAAGGGGATGCTTTCCAAGTTTGTCAAGTGAAGCAGGTGTGCAATAATCAGGAAGTAGCAGTGCAGATCCCCGGGGAGCAAGCCGTTACATTCCTGGATATCACACAAGGGCCGGTTCCAGATCAGATCCCTGAACCAAATGAAGTGAAGGAGGGTACAGCAGTGTGTGCGTGCATGGGCCCTGAAGACACAATGTTTCGGGAGGGCACTGTAGTGGAAATTATTCCAAAACCATTGTCATATAAGGTTTGTTTCCAGCAGAACCCTGGTCGAAGGGAACGTGATTATGCTTGGGTTCCACATGCTAACATTAGACTTCTGCGCTCTCCATGGTGCAAAGAGCCAATGCTTATTGTTCCTAGAGCTGCTGAGGAAAAGCAGCAGCAGGTAATGGGAAGGTTTTCAACGTCTCTGCCCATGTCCCAGGGACCCGGGGGACCTTTAGAGATTCCTGGATCCCCACGTAATTCAGACCAGAAGCATTTGGAAGATGCAGAAGTATCTAGGTTTAGCATGCCTGTAAGTGAAGAGAAAGTGACTACTGTGCAGCATCAGATCCTTTCTCCACCTAAGTCCCCTGCTTATGGCATGATCTTGGGCCGCCTGCCTGAGCAGCCATCACCCCTGCTCAGCCCAGATGCAGGAAGCCGGAGCAGTTGTAGTAGTGTGTCCCTAGATAAGTGCAGTACTCCGGGTTCTCGTTCCCGTACCCCTCTGACAGCTGCTCAGCAGAAGTACAAGAAAGGCGATGTAGTTTGCACCCCAAATGGGATCCGCAAGAAATTCAATGGCAAGCAATGGAGAAGACTGTGCTCTCGTGATGGCTGCATGAAAGAGTCTCAACGTCGAGGCTACTGTTCTCGACACTTGTCAATGCGCACCAAGGAGATGGAGAGCATGTCAGATGGTAGAGGAGGGCGGGAAGGAAGTGCTGAGTTTGAGTGGGATGACACATCAAGAGATAGTGAGGTCAGCAGCATACGCACTGACTCTCGACCACGTCTCGTTGCCCCCACAGATCTCTCACGCTTTGACTTTGATGAGTGTGAAGCTGCCAATATGTTGGTATCTCTCGGCAGCTCAAGATCTGGAACCCCATCCTTCTCACCTGTTTCCAATCAGTCTCCATTCTCCCCAACGCCATCTCCTTCACCATCCCCTCTGTTTGGTTTTCGGCCAGCTAACTTCAGCCCCATCAATGCTTCCCCAGTTATACAGCGTGCAGCACGTAGCCGGCATGTCAGTGCAAGCACCCCTAAAGGAGGACCAGCGTTGACTCCGGAGATGTCTTATCACTCCCATCACAGGGAGAGACAGCCAGCTGGTATCTTACCATCGTTCCAGACAAACCTTACCTTCACTGTGCCCATGAGCCCTAGCAAGAGGAAGCCAGATTCTCACCATGGCAGCGTCAGCTCTGCTCCTGACTTTCAGAAGAGCGACAGCATGGACTCTGGAGTAGACTCAGTGTCTCATACTCCAACCCCCTCCACCCCAGCTGGTTACCGCTCTGTTTCCCCTGCTCAACTCTTCTCCCGTTCTCAACAGGCCTCGCCATCTATGCTGTTGTCCCCTCCTGCAGGTTTGACTTCAGACCCTGGTCCTTCTGTTCGAAGGGTGCCAGCGGTACAGAGAGACTCTCCTGTCATTGTTCGCAACCCTGATGTTCCCCTTCCCTCGAAATTTGTAGAAAAGCCCCAAGATAGTGGATCTCGTAGTATAGGTGTACCTGGGGCAGGTGGAGGTAGCCCTAGGCGAATGGTTAAAGTTTGCACTAAGGATCATCCTTCCAAAACTCAACTACAGATTCCAGTGCCTATCAATGCTACACAAATACAAAACGTGGCACGAACTATGCCTTCTGGGCAGCCAGGCACAGGAGAGTTGGCCACGTGTACGTCATCTGGGCCAACAGACCACCCTCCAGCCGTGTTCAGCATCTCCTCACCATTCCAGCCTGTTGCCTTCCATCCTTCACCTGCAGCCCTGCTCCCAGTTATTGTTCCCAGTGATTATACCAGCCATCCTGCACCCAAGAAGGAGATAATTATGGGTCGACCTGGCACAGGTAAGCGTCGCCTCACAATTTTTCTAATTTTCAGAAGTTGTTAGGTGGCTACCATGCTTCAAATACTACAGTGTGTAGTGTGTCTTGCAACAAGACCAGACTCATCCTAAAATCTGGGGAGTGTCGTTCCCCTGTAAGATTTTAAGGCTTTTGTTTTCTTGGTGGGTCCTGTGCACTCCTTTTGGAGATCACTAATCCAATCCACACCTAACAGAGGTTGTTTGGAAAACCAACTCCCAGCCTCTCATTTCCTTGTGTAATTTGGTTTGATTGCAGCAACTGCTGGCAGAGCATCATGGGAGTTGTACTCTAAAGCATCTGTGAGGGTTCATATTGTTTTTTTTCTTGCAGTGGATTTCCTTTGGTGCTGAAGCTGTTGTGGACCCATCAGGTGGCTCAATATCAAGGGTAGCATAGTCCACAACCACTGCATTGCCTAAGCTCAACCATCACTGCTTACTACAAATCTTTTCGGTAATACTTGGTATAAATATGCCATACAGCATACTAAGCTCTGCACATTTCCCTTGTGTGTCAGCAGCTGCTATCTCCCGAGATCTGCTCAATTTGTGTTCCATGCACGTCTCCGAGCCAGTCAATGGGAAAAAAAACAAACCAACTTTTATCTTAAAGTGCAAATTTACTTTTATTTTCACATTTCCAAGGACATTGAAACAAATGTTTCTCTAAAAGTAAAAAGCTATAGTTTAAAGCATTTAATGTAAATGTGGGGGAATAATCCGGTACCTTTCCAGCTGTAGAACTACATATCCCACGATCCTTCACTACTCTTTGGCTTACCATCTGGTGAGATTCCTGTTGACTCCCCTGGGTCATGTAGATTTTGTTTTTAAGATGTCTTGTTCTCTGTTATAAACCTAAACATTATTTACTCTGTGCAATATATGCTTGTGACAATACTAAACCTCTATCAAGCCATTTATATTTTATATAATCCAACCTTCCATTTATTATAGGTACCTGTGTACATTTACAAACAAATAGCTATATAAATAATAATAATAACATGCTTCAGTTGCCAAGGGTATATCCATAGTTGATTAAGGAATATTTATTAAAACATACATAAAAAGAGAATAATTTCACGGACTATATTGATATTGTTTTTTAAAAAAAAATAAAAATTTCCCCCAACCCTGATGTATACATCATATCCCTCAATAAGTCACGATCTTACAGGTAATCTTTTTCTATAGAGCTGTCCTTGCTTAGATACATGTTAATGTATGTTCTAGATCAGGGACAGTCCACCTTTGGCTCTCCAGGTATGGTGGACTACGTCTCCCATAACGCTCTTAAAGCCATTATATTGTCAAAGCATCGAGAGAGATGTAGCCCACCACACCTGGAGTGCCGAAGGTTGCCTACCTGTGTTGTAGATGATCTGCATGTTTGCGAAACAGCATCAGTTTGCTGCACTGCGCAGAGTGTTTGTGTTTGCCACAGGGTGCAGTTCTGTTTCCATAGGTTTATACAACAAAACCGAAGGTGTTTTTCTTTCGATGCAGTGCAGCCTTTTTTGTGAGCGTGATAGTGCAAGAACAGGGCAAAGTCAGTTGTCTAATGATTTCATGGAGCACTGCATCTCCTGATAATGGGAGTGGCAGTCCAACAGCTGCTACTCTTCCATTACTTATTGTACCTGGCTATGCATGTCACTTCTAATTGTAAACCCATTACCCACGTTTGGTCCTACCCTATGGCGTTAACGAGTTTGTGGTTTAAATGTATCCCATATGCTACTGCACTTTCAACGTGGAAAGATTTCCCTCTGGTCCTTTTTTAATTCTTTTAGTTATGTCGTCTCCTCCTCCTTCTTCCTGTGTCATATCTGTTCTCCCCACCTTCCCACCACTCATGTCCTGTCTGCTCTCCATTCCTGTTGCATCCTGTCTGCTCTTTCTGTTTTCTATGTCTAATGTCAACATTGTTTTCTAACCCATGAGTCAAAAATTTTACATGCATGCTCTGTCTGATTTTCTGGTGATCTGCTCCATCTTGCCCATTCCCATTTTAGAGAACCTGTTTGACGTATCATGTTCTTCTTGCGATATCTAGGTTATCACCCCACTTTCCCTGCCAACTGGTTCCCTTGGCTATGCCCAGCTGTCTGCCTCTCTCCCATCCCAGTTCCTAGTTGGATTCTGTGCCCATCCAGTGATCACCCCTTCCCTGAGCCCATTCAGCTTTTAATTTCTCCTACGTTTCTGTGCCCAGATGGATGTCTCACTTTACATCCCTTGCCCCTTTAAGTGCCCACTCCACTTGCTAAGATATTCTAGTTGCTATTCTTTCTTCACAGCAGCTCCCACACTTGCAGATAATCTGTACTTTCTCATCCTCTCTGCTGACTTCTCATATCCCACCAGGTTTCCTATTCTTCTGACTCTCTTCTCTTCCCTTGACCCTAAGGTGTAAATGTGATAGCAGTGTGTCTGTATGTGTGACTTAAACTTGGCAGCTCCTCTGGTTTTAGAGGAGGTGTCACACGAGGCACAATATATTCTTACTTATGCCTGGATCCCTGTTTCTTCTATCCTGTACACCCTTCACAAGTTTGAGTTCACTGATTATAGAAGCTTTTTATTTATTTATATATATATATATATATATATATATATATATATATATATATATATATATATATATATATATATTATACACAGTTTTTTTTTGTTTTTTTTTAAGTAAAGCATTTTAGAAAGTTTATCCAGAAATATTAAATATTTTGATAAGCTCACACCAAAATATTAAACATGGGCCTATGTTAAAAATGAAGTGAAATTCCAATGAAGTCTTAAGTTTTTCATAAATATTCGATCCATAAAAGGTTAACCTAACCGCCAAGACCACTCCTGCTTTTAGAAAAGGTCATGGTGTATGGAGTCTGTGTGTATTGTCTTTGCTTAAAAAGCTGCACATACTGAGATATTGGCACTTTTGTGCCAGGGGCTAGTTACACCCATGGCACATGTGATGTGGGTAGCCCAGAACCCTGTGCCAGGCTAATAAATTTCAATTCTATGCACAATTTATGTCTGTGGTCAGCACGGGATAGCTTACTTTTCCCTTCCTTCGTGTTAAATTCCAAGTAACTTTAACCCTTTAGAGGGGGGGCTATTAAATAATGCCCATTAGGACATTATATAATATAATAGGATATCAGAAAAGGGGTCACAGTAACCCTTTAATAAACACTAAAAAGAGAAAATGTTACTTGAATTGTTTGGCCTAGGGGTGACAAATATGTAAATCTGTCAGTGTGGGCTCAATAATGATTATTTCTGAGGTCTGTACAAATACATTATTACAAACTCTTGTGTGCTTAAAGATACAACTCTGGAAAACTGTAGAACTGCTGGATTCCAAAAAAACTAGGGAGACTCCTTAAAGCCTTCATGTGCCACACGGCATTGGTTCATTGAAAATTTACTTGAGACCTACATCTGGGCTTTGTCGGGCAGCCAGGTTATGGTAAAACCTTTCAATAATACTGGAAGTGGTCAAAAAACACCTGTATACCAAGTTATAGCTTACCGACACTTCCAGTCGGTATGAGTACAAATGGTCTTATCATTTGTTCTTCCGCACTGGCTCCATTGTTCGAGGAGAACTTCTCTGGGTTCTTGTGAAATATATTATCCTGTACACTGTTCAGTGGTATGTTACAAAGTAACTGCCTGAGTGGGATTGCTTTACTCTGGCCTTGTACTTTCTATTGCAACAGCTGCCATAAAGAAGGAAGGTATCTGGTGAGATTTTAATTAAATTTTTTGTGATATGCATAATGTGCTTTTCCATTTACAATCGGTGACATTTGATTTCTTCAGCATGGTTGCATTGTGAATATACTGCAGTTTGACTCGAACTTTCTTCAGCTCGCTTATAGACAACTAGATTTTATAAGACCATTCTGGCGCCAGTGTTAAGGTAAGGTGAAGGTCCCACATAACCTACTCCTCCTCCTCATCACATACTGGTTTTCCAATCTTACAGTAGAAGGTGGACATGGAGCGCTTTACTTTCTCAATGCCACCTCTCTGTTGGGACGCTGAGACTTTTGTAATATAAATCATTCTCTTCACTTTTAAAAAAAAAAAACAAACAAACATTTATTTGAACCATTTAATAAATTTCCAGTATGGAATCAGATGTTGGGAAACCTCCCAGCAAGTAGTAATTGGGAGATTGTAACGGACCGTTTTGCCCACAAGAGGTTAAAAACCGTTTAGGTGATATTTCCCTTTTCAGATGCACAGGCAGCTACTGCAATCACCAATCTCCCGAACTGCAAACACACAAATTCACCAATCTCCCAAACTGCAAGAAAACTCCAACTCACGAACAGGAAACACAAGAATGCTGTAAACAGCCGAACAGGAAAAACCATACGAACAGTTTACACTCCTGGCAGTCGCACTGTAACAGCATACAATCCAATTCCCCCCCCAAGAACGAGACGACACTTCGTTTGAGGATCAAGCAGAACTGATTTACTGGGGCTACCTGCCTGGCTTTTATGCAGGTCTCCCACCTGGTGGACACTCCCCTAGGGGACCAGATGGGAAACTGGGAAACTTATTGGACATTGACCAATCACAAGCTTACAATCCCACAATGCATCACAATCCCTCCTCTCTGTCCAGGAGATAATTGGGAAGGACAGAGGCAAAACTCCATTAGCCACATGGCATACAAAGGACAATAAAAGACATAAAATTACATACTGTTACATTTATCACATAGAACATACACATTCTACATATCCCCAGATAGCTTAGATCTGAGCGCACATTATTACCGGATGGCGCTCAGATAACATACATACAGTTCAATCGCCATGGAGCCAAAGTCTTTCCCATAGTCTTTCGGTATACGAATGGGCTCCATGGCTTCGCTATCTGGGCTAACACTGCTCACATAGGGAAAATAAAAGGTTTTTATTGCAGGGCCATAGTCCAGCAGCAAGAGGTGGGCAGCCAGGCTCCTCCAGTGGCGAGGTTGGTTCCGCCACAGAGATGGTTTTGAAAAGAGTCCAACATAAAGAGATCGGTTTACCATAGAGAAGGCATAAAGAGACTTCCAATTCAAAAAGGAAATTGCTCCAAAGTAATTTGGTTGCATTAATGTGCGGTTGTGTGTGTACACTTTTACTCGCTTTCCGTTATTTCAATGAGAAAAGAATGTTTTCATGTACATATATTGCACAGTATGACTGGATACTGTGCAGAGCAGAATCCACAAGTCTAAGATTAGCACCAGGACATACAAAACCCAGACTGCCTGAGATTGATGGGAGTCATTTTTGGGTAGGAGCAGCTGCACCTATTTATTGTACTCGGTGCATCCCTTTCCGTAGCTCCTTGTAAGATTGTCTTTCTCCAGCAATAATTCTACTATGTCATAAAGGAATGAGACTAAATAATGTCAGTTGCAAAAAGTGACTTCTGTTTGGGAAGGAGACCCATATGAATCTAGTGCAGCCTGGAGCATGTTTCATTGAACCAAATATCTGTTCAATTCTAGTATTAAATCGCAGGGTGCAATCTGCGGGATTCTAGCTGTCAAAATTCCAAAACAACATTAAAGACCTCAAAAAATCCTTTTGTACTTTTTAGAAGATAAATAATATTAAGCTGTATATTGGCAAAGTATGCCATATTAGGGTTCTGGTGGGAACCTGGTGTGCATACCACTTTAAAAAAAAAAAAGTCTTGGAGGGTTTGAAAATGTTGATGCAGTTCCAAGATGGCCGCATCCCTGATGAGAAAGAGATCAACTTGTTGTTCTTCTTTGTAAACGGATTTATATAAAGTAAGAAAAGTAGGATACAGTGCAGCTTTAACCATATTACAAAAAAAAAAACAACAACCGAAAACCATCACCTGAATGTGTGTTTATAGCTACACAAGCCTGGGGTTCATAATTTGCTCTAATACATCACATTAATATCTTGGGCTTTTAACTACGCAGAGATGTTTAACCCCTTAAGGACCAAACTTCTGGAATAAAAGGGAATCATGACATGTCACACATGTCGTGTCCTTAAGGGGTTAAAACTCTCAGCAGCCGACTGTTTAGTTATAATCCAATGGCTGCTTGGTATCAGTCTCCGTATCATTCTGTGCCGAAGGTCAGTGGTTTTTCTATATAGTGAATGATCAGTGATATCCAATCAAACGTAGAGCCCTGCCCCTGGTATGGGTGGCTGGCACAATGGTATTCCCCTGAATCACGGAAGCTGTGCCTGCTTGGACCTGCTGTAGGACTATTTTTTTTTTTTAAATTTTTTTGGCACACTGTCAGTTACTCTGTGCAGAGGACTCAGTGTGAGAACTGTCTGCCGTTACCCTTCACCCCCCCTCCCTCCCTCGTGCCCAGACTAGCTCCATATGCAGACACTGGTTTCCTAGCCAGCAGAACATGCCAGAGCCAACAGGACCATAGATCTCCATGCAGAAAGCATTTTTTTTTTTTTTTCCTTTCTCACTGCTATCAAGTTCACGACATAAACTGCTCTGGGAAACCTTAAAGGGACAGTAAAGCCAAATAGACATTCTATTAAAGATTTGGGTTATATGTATTGTGTTGCACACAATTATCTACGTCTGATTATGTACTGTACGTAAGCCTATATATATATATATATATATATATATATATATATATATATATATATATATATATATATATATATATAATATTTTTTTTTTTTACTTAAATGACTTTGAAATCATCCTAAGCAGAAAAGGAAATTTTCCAACAGGAGCAAACCTGCTTTTATATTCCTCATGCTCTGGATACAAGCTTGCTTCCACTTCCATAAAATGATCATTTACATGCTTTTATTTTTCAGAGATTTTATTTTTCTCTTTCATACCTTTTTTGTAGAAACCTTTTCACCTCAAACCACAATTGATACACTAGATCAGGCATAGGCAACCTTTCGGAACTCCAGATATTTTGGACTACAACTCCCATGACGCTTTGCCAGCATTATGGGTGTAAGAGCATTATGGGGGATGTAGTTCACAACATCTGGCTTGCCGAAGGTTGCCTATTCCTGCACTAGATGTTCCCCAATATTATATGGTAAAAAATAATCTTTAATTTTTCAGATTTGGCTGGACACATTTATATCAACTTTAAGAGCCAGAGGGTCTATTTAAAGAACCACAAAAGGCACCCAGACTAATTCATCGCAATGCAATGTTCAAGGTGGAGTGGCTTTTTACTTTTAACCCTGCATTGTAAAACCATGTAGTTTTTGTAGAAGCTGTAATGTTTCCAATGCAGGGTTAAACACGCCTCTAGTGGCTCTTACTGAGCGACAATAGAGGTGCTATTAATGCAACTACCGAGTGAAGCATTGAATTCCAAACTTTCCTATGAGAAGCATTTAATTGGACTCACGTAGCAGTAGCTGCGCTGGCCCTGCAGATACCGAGAAGATATTGTGAAAAACATGGGGGTTGAAGCTTGGGAACATCTAGGTGACCAAAGTTTGAGATGTCTGAATTAAAGCAGTTCTGTCACTTTTCAGTATTTCATAAAGGTGTATGCGTTGTGAAATACTGATTAAGGCTGTGTTTGAATACCATTGAAATTACAAAGCAATCCAAAGGTAGCATTGGACAAAATAGAGACTACTGTGTTTTATGGACAAGCCTGAGATTGACCAAAAATAACCAAGGTGGAGCTCAATGTCAAATCCCAGCAGCCGTGTGGGCTTCAGGCATCATTCTATGGTGTGGTCTTGTGGGATCCTCCATAGACCTCAGTGTGTAATCTCTAAAGCACTAATGCAGCTCTGGGCAAATGAAGTGCCAGGGACTAAAGAGGACCAGCTAGGTGAAAACTGCAGCAGCCATGATGGACAGCTTGAGATACCTTCTCCCGCACCCCAAAAATAAGCAAGGAAATTATTCCTGTGCAAGCTTTGTGTTACAGTCTAGTAACGGTTTAGTACCGCTATACCCCAGATGTTCTAAAACTACAGCTTCTATTAAGCATTTTCATTCTAAAGGCATGCAAAGCATCATGGAAGTTGTAGTTGTAATGCATCTGTGGATGTGCCTTTAGGGGCACCCCTGCTCTATGTTGTCTATCATTGTACCTGTGTACTATATATGTGCCCTCATGTCAGAGGAGAGACACTGTCATGAGTATAGGTTCTATACAGACAGATCACATAAGCCAATGGTGGCCAAAGGACATTTGTTTGTAAGATCTACAAAAATAAAACGGTATGTAGCAATCCACATGGCTCGATTTTTGCTTCTGTCCCAGCGAAGGGTGCATTCATGTTGGCTCTCTCGGACATTGTTATAATCTTTGTCCTTTTCTATCTTTGAACATATTGTGTTCAGATGGAAAATCAGAAACAATGAGTTTCCTCTTCTCCAATACAATGTGTGCATTGGCTGAGCCAGGATTGTTAAATTTTTAATATAAATGTTAAAAGAAAAGGGATCATCACCTGGAAAAAGTATAGTACAAATTATAGGTAATTATTGTTGTTTTCTTATTATTTTCTTTATTTCTCCTATTCTGAGGATGTACTTGGACTCCCAGTCACGGCTGGACAAAACCCAGGAGCCAGCAAGATAAAACATACAGACGGCCCCTAGCTTTTCTGCCAATTGATATAATTCTTTTTGGAAGACTAGCTGCCAAAGTTGCCTGTATGCTACGGTTATCCAATCTATCTGTCATTGAACGACAATAAAGAAACTGTGTCATGCAGACTGCTGGTTCTCTTCCAAGCTGTTTTACTTTAAAGGAATACTATAGTCATCAAAACAACTTTTGCTTAGTGAATTAGTTTTGGCGTATAGATCATGCCCCTGCAGCCTCACTGATCAATTCTTTGCCATTTAGGAGTTAAAGCACTTTGTTTATGCAGCCCTAGACACACCCATTACCCACGTTTGGTCCTACCCTATGGCGTTAACGAGTTTGTGGTTTAAATGTATCCCATATGCTACTGCACTTTCAACGTGGAAAGATTTCCCTCTGGTCCTTTTTTAATTCTTTTAGTTATGTCGTCTCCTCCTCCTTCTTCCTGTGTCATATCTGTTCTCCCCACCTTCCCACCACTCATGTCCTGTCTGCTCTCCATTCCTGTTGCATCTTGTCTGCTCTTTCTGTTTTCTATGTCTAATGTCAAGATTGTTTTCTGGCTCCTGTCTGTAACTTACACAGCCTTCCTAAACACTTCCTGTAAAGAGTCATCTAATGTTTACACTTCCTTTATTGCAAATTCAGTTTAATTTATAATTTATTTTTTTTGTATCTCCTGCTCTGCTTATTGCTTGCTAGACCTTGCAGGAGCCTCCTGTATGTAATTGAAGTTCATTTTACAGAGCAGGAGATAAAAAAAAACATTTAAAGTAAGTTACATCAGATTGAAAATGAAACCATTTTGTTTTCATGCAGCCTGTATCCGTCACAGCAAGGGGAGGTGTGGCTAGGGCTACATAAACAGAAACAAAAGTGATTTAACTCCTAAATTGCAGAGAATTGAGCAGCAAGACTGCAGGGGCATGATCTATACAACAATACTGCTTCATTAAGCTAAAGTTGTTTTGTTGACTATAGTGTCCCTTTAAAGGGACACTGTAGGTACCCAGACCACTTCATCTCATGGAATTGGTCTTGGTGCATTGTCCCTGTCCCCTTAACCCTGCAATTTAAAACGCTGCTGTATCACGAAAGCGATGCTGGACGTTCTCATGCTTTGCACAAGGCACCAGCGTCTTCACAATCCCCATAGGAAAGCACTGGTTTAAGTCTTTCCTGTGGGGAAGGCCCAATGTGCACGGTGCATGCATTAGGTTCCCTCAACTCAATCTTGATTTCTGATTGGCTGGGGAACTCATCCTGATCTGGAAAGGTACGCTAGCAGGGTGGGAAGGTGGGGGAGGCAATTAAAATAGTACATAAGCTTATGGTAGGCAGAGTTCTGACCGGTATTCCTCCAAATGTTGTAGACTTGCATTTCCATGATGCTTTGCTAGCCTTTAGGCTTGTGAGTTGTAGTTCTACACCAGCTGGAGGCGCTACCTTTTCACCACTTATGGTATAACACGTACAGTTAGGATCTCTCCTCCCTAAATACATTTACTATAGACTTACTGAGCAATTACAAGCGAGTCCCCAGCGAGCATCAGAAAATCAAAAATATGCCCCTTTTCTGCACTCCGGCACTGAACCTAGTAACGTGCAATTCTTGTATGAAATAATGTCACTCTCTGTGAAATGTAGGGGTTAATTTACAAAGCAGCATGTCCTACTGAATTGCAAAATCCAGGCCAATGTGAATTGGTAGCATTCCTAACCACATAGCCACAGCTTGTCCATTGTATTCTGAATTGTGCAGTTTGGTTTTCATTTTCCCACAGATTGCTGTTTAGTGGATAATTCATACACTCTGTAAAAAAAAATAATAATAAAAAAAAAAAAAAATATATATATATATAAAAAAGGCTAACCGAGCCACCCACTCATTTCATTCATTTTTACCAAAGTGTAACTTTCGTTATTGGCCAGAAGGCTATAAGGAGCAAAAATCTTACTTTGAAACAAAACACAAGACGTTGCTTTTGGCATTATATTGCTTTTTCGAATTCTATGTAAACTGTGAGATTTATCATATGATCTCTGTATGATCATAAAAGCAATAACTGCTTTATTGCTTAAGCTTTAAATAACTTGAAACATTAGAATTTCTGCCTGTTCCAACATGGCTGCTCTCTTCAATCTCATGCTTTTCAAACACATTCCTAATCCCACATGAGGTCTATATATTATGTTAATATACAGGGAGTGCAGAATTATTAGGCAAATGAGTATTTTGACCACATCATCCTCTTTATGCATGTTGTCTTACTCCAAGCTGTATAGGCTCGAAAGCCTACTACCAATTAAGCATATTAGGTGATGTGCATCTCTGTAATGAGAAGGGGTGTGGTCTAATGACATCAACACCCTATATCAGGTGTGCATAATTATTAGGCAACTTCCTTTCCTTTGGCAAAATGGGTCAAAAGAAGGACTTGACAGGCTCAGAAAAGTCAAAAATAGTGAGATATCTTGCAGAGGGATGCAGCACTCTTAAAATTGCAAAGCTTCTGAAGCGTGATCATCGAACAATCAAGCGTTTCATTCAAAATAATCAACAGGGTCGCAAGAAGCGTGTGGAAAAACCAAGGCGCAAAATAACTGCCCATGAACTGAGAAAAGTCAAGCGTGCAGCTGCCACGATGCCACTTGCCACCAGTTTGGCCATATTTCAGAGCTGCAACATCACTGGAGTGCCCAAAAGCACAAGGTGTGCAATACTCAGAGACATGGCCAAGGTAAGAAAGGCTGAAAGACGACCACCACTGAACAAGACACACAAGCTGAAACGTCAAGACTGGGCCAAGAAATATCTCAAGACTGATTTTTCTAAGGTTTTATGGACTGATGAAATGAGAGTGAGTCTTGATGGGCCAGATGGATGGGCCCGTGGCTGGATTGGTAAAGGGCAGAGAGCTCCAGTCCGACTCAGACGCCAGCAAGGTGGAGGTGGAGTACTGGTTTGGGCTGGTATCATCAAAGATGAGCTTGTGGGGCCTTTTCGGGTTGAGGATGGAGTCAAGCTCAACTCCCAGTCCTACTGCCAGTTCCTGGAAGACACCTTCTTCAAGCAGTGGTACAGGAAGAAGTCTGCATCCTTCAAGAAAAACATGATTTTCATGCAGGACAATGCTCCATCACACGCGTCCAAGTACTCCACAGCGTGGCTGGCAAGAAAGGGTATAAAAGAAGAAAATCTAATGACATGGCCTCCTTGTTCACCTGATCTGAACCCCATTGAGAACCTGTGGTCCATCATCAAATGTGAGATTTACAAGGAGGGAAAACAGTACACCTCTCTGAACAGTGTCTGGGAGGCTGTGGTTGCTGCTGCACGCAATGTTGATGGTGAACAGATCAAAACACTGACAGAATCCATGGATGGCAGGCTTTTGAGTGTCCTTGCAAAGAAAGGTGGCTATATTGGTCACTGATTTGTTTTTGTTTTGAATGTCAGAAATGTATATTTGTGAATGTTGAGATGTTATATTGGTTTCACTGGTAATAATAAATAATTGAAATGGGTATATATTTGTTTTTTGTTAAGTTGCCTAATAATTATGCACAGTAATAGTCACCTGCACACACAGATATCCCCCTAACATAGCTAAAACTAAAAACAAACTAAACTACTTCCAAAAATATTCAGCTTTGATATTAATGAGTTTTTTGGGTTCATTGAGAACATGGTTGTTGTTCAATAATATAATTAATCCTCAAAAATACAACTTGCCTAATAATTCTGCACTCCCTGTAGTACCAAATCACTCCTAATAAAATTAAAATCACTCGTCTGTTTTGAGATTTTTTTCTTTCTTTCTGCAATTGATGCTGTTGGCGATCTCCCCTAAAGCTTGATCAGGGGTTGCACAGCTTGTGCTCTTACGCTGTTTCTTAAACTACGACTCCCATGATCCTTCCATGCTTGCTGAATAGCAGAAATGCATATACTGGTGTGGTTTTCTGTGACTTAACTCCTATGATAACTTACTATAGTTTTCTGCCTTGAGTAAGTAACATGCTTTGATCAAGTGTACATTGACTCCAACTCCTATGATCCCACCCTAGCACGAGGAGGTATCATGTTGTGAACAGCCCTCAATAAACACCTTATTTCACAATGAGGAAAGAGAGATGGGTAACCTGTGTATTCATATGTCCAGTAACAAATCCCATAATCCATTGCAGGGTCATTAGCCTGCTGTGCACCGCTAGTATGTTACTACGGCTCCGATAATGCTTCATTTTAGCTGTCAGGCAACGTTTTGTTTTGTGTTATCATAGTGCTCTGCTCAACTTTTATAAAACAGCAACTCCTATTACCCCAGGACAATGTGGTGTTCTTCAAAACATAATTGAGAACCCAGAATGGATGTTCTCACTGGACTTTGTGTTCTCTGATTTAAACTTCATTCTAATGGGTGGGGGGTGAGCTGCATGCAAAGACACATTACCACGCTGTGGCCACCCTTCTTGTTAACGTGCCTACATGCCCAATGACGGGCAAAAGGTACATCGTTAAAGCAAAATAACACTTCTTTAGAATATTATCTATGTATTAGCAGGCAACATTAAATGTTGGACTCTATAAATGGCATCTATGTTAAACACTCCAAGCACTATCACCACTATAGTGCGCTACATAACGTAGGACCACACATGAATATATAAATTTAGGCTTTATATTGGGTATCCACAGCCAGGGTTTGTGTGAATGGTGCTTTCACAGACTGTTTTACCTGGCAGGACTACCCACTTTTGTTGTCCTTTGTCCTTGCCTTCCAACCATTTTCAAATAACTCTAATATTCAGGGAATGAAAGTGGGGGAAACCATCACAAATATATGCTTACGATTTACTATTTTTGTTGCAAACATAGAAGTCTCATATTATTTATACTTTTTATTTTGAATGCAAATAGTGGAGATGTTTTTATTTTGGGGGAAAATTATGTATTGGGCTTCTATATTGTCCTGAGGTCTAGTAAGCAGACACCCACCTTTCCTTAAAGCCACCCAACAAATATGGCATTCAGTAGCACATAGACTGGTCGCTCCTTGAATTGTCAACCTCCCCTCCCGACCAATAATGCAGACTCTTTCCAGATGCAAACACATTTCAGGTGTTGCTGCTCAAGACTTCTTGCCCAAATGAGGCACGTTGTATCCTTGAGTAAGTTCTTGCCAACATGAATTTTGGAAGATCTCCTTAATAAGCCTCTTTAGATGTATGGTTTTCGGGGTATAACACTCTTTGAGAATACATGTTCTGTTGGAACACTGAATTTTATTCCTATATTTCACTCTTCAGTAACTGTATGGACTCCACACTCTACCTGTCTTTGGAAAAGAGGATAAACCTTGACTCCCACTCAATGGCTGAAAACCCAAAACATTTAATACAGAACCTGGTAGATAATAATCCAATATCTACTATTTATATAGCGCCTTTCTCCCATTGCGGCTCAAACAAGTAACCAAATTGGCAGCTGAATAATAGGTGTTATTATTACCCAATTGATGGCACTCATATTATCGACCACAGAAGGGTGAAGAGCTGAGTTGACCCTGCCGGGATTTGAACTGGCTCTGTAGTCAGGGAATTTACCAACTGAGCTACCTCTCTCTCCATGGACACCCCTACCTTACATGGCCTTTGCAGGTTTTGAAACTCGGGCACCTTTTTCCACTTATGATAGGAACGTCGTCTTCAGAACTATATACTATCATTAAAAGTTTCTAATAATGTTCCCCCATCTCATCCAGCCCGCTACTGTTACAACACAAACTCCACTGCTTCTTCATACACTAAATCATTATCTGTCAGCATTTTGAACATTGCCAAATACTTAATCCCTCTTTACTTGAGAGAGGATTCCCCACTTTTAGAAATCTGGTTCACTGGTTCTATACTATGATCTGGAAACAATGGCTGCTGATAACAGTAGCAAATGATTTTGAACAGTTAACTAACATAGAAAACAAATCCGTCATCTCCCCCTGTTTTGATCTAAGTTTAGCCTTCGAGTGGATTTGTCTCCCCTCTTCCCCCTTCTCCTCTTACACCATCTTTCTAGGTCTATTTCTCAATGTTTACAGTTCTTTGTTGTTATCCACTGTTTGTTTTGCCTGAGGTGTGAAATAAGACAGGACGATGTAATGACCGTGAACCAGGAAAAATGTAATTGACTGTGTTTTTCCAATTGTACTACACAGAATGTACATGTCTGTTCTTGCTTAAATAACCGTGTCCGTAATCTCTACATGGCCACACATGAATTCTTTAACTTTTAAATTCTATTAAAAAAAGTAAAAAATACCAGTATATTCTATGTAAGTGTGTATTTTCAGGAATTCAAAGCAAATTTCATAATTGTAGGCCTTAATATTTGAACTGAAAATATATCTGATTCAGAAAATGTTTCCAGTTTGGCTGATTGTGGATTAATATTTGAAATTTACTTTATGTTCTAGACAATTTACACTTGAGCGAAAATCCCAATAATATTACAAAAGGCTAAAAGCAAATAATGGTTTCCTTCAACAAATTCTTTGCATGCTCTGTCCAGCGGGTGCATTGAGATTTTCATGTACCACCATTGCCCCTTGGCTCAACCAACTGTTTAGGCATTCGAAACTCTGCTACTTTGTAGTCTGTACTAGTGGTGGCCGTACTTGGCACCCCTAATGCTTACAAAAATATATTTCCTAATCCTGGATGAGCTTCATTAGTAAGTAGTTCACTAACATGAGAAGTGCCACGGTGTGGCTGCCACTAGTACATTCCCAACACCATTCTGTGTTGGGTATGGGATGACCCATCTGAACTAACCAGATGCTTCAGACAGAAAGGCAGACGGTGTGTCTGTTTATTAGACATATCTCTATTTAACTCCTTCACTGGATCAAGCGCTAATAATAATACAAAAAAAAACCTGTGACTAGCATTAAACCAGTTTACATGTGCCATAATGCCTTTTAACCCTTTGGGGTAGTTCTCCAAAATGTTGTTGTACACAACACCCATTCCCAGATCCATTGTTGAAAATGTGGGGTAATTTGTTCGTTGTGAATACTAAAGCGGTTTAATTGCGGTCGCCTTTGCCATTTCCCTATTTGTTTAGTGAAGAAGAGGTTAAGGGAGTCTTGTTCTCGTCATCAGTGACAAAACTGTCTCTCGGCAACAGGTAACCGGGGCGACCGTTTCCGAAAAAGCCTGAAAGTAGATTCCTGCCCCTTCCCATCCTCCACCCCTGGCTGAGCTAATGCAAATTCTTTTCTAAGCAATTATGCGTGGATGTGTCTAAATATACATGTGTAATATTTCACTTTGCCATCGTAATCCCAGATTTCCTGGTTTTATTTGTTTTTTTGCCAATGTGAACCTCTCAAACAACAGTTGCCAAAATTGTGTATATATATATATATATATTTCCAATTATTTATTTATTTGGTAGCTGTGCGACGCATCTGTGTTTGCACAGAATGAAAAAACATTAAAAAAAAAGTTAGATGCAACTTTCTTTAAATCTCGAGTACCTAGGTATCAAACAGTAAGGTTGGACATTCTCGTCTCTGGCATGCAAAAGATATACCCTCACCAGCAGCTTGGTGTTGTATGAATATTTGTTTTACATAGAGTAATTATTCGTTATCTTATGTCAAGCACTATGGCAAGCAGTAGGTTAATTGTGGCATGTTCATTCTTTGTCGCAGGCGCTGTATAAATCTCTCATATTAGCGGGCATTCTGGTTGGTCCGTAATGTATACCTGCCAAGTGACATTCTTTTGGAGATAGAGTCCCTATTTTGGCACAAAGCCACCTTTTCTTTCTTATTTTCTCTCCTTTCTAAAAGCTTCAAATATTATGTGTGTGTATAGGTGAATTTGGTTTGGAAATATAATCTGTGTAGTTTTAAACTACATTTTACATTAAAGGGACACTATAGTCACCAGAACAACTACAGCTTAAAGGACCACTCTAGGCACCCAGACCACTTCAGCTTAATGAAGTGGTCTGGGTGCCAGGTCCTTCTAGGGTTAACCCATTTTTTCATAATTATAGCAGTTTCAGAGAAACTGCTATAATTATGAATGGGTTAAGCCTTCCCCCTAATCCTCTAGTGGCTGTCTCATTGACAGCCACTAGAGGCGCTTGCGTGCTTCTCACTGTGATTTTCACAGTGAGAGCACGCAAGCGTCCATAGGAAAGCATTGTAAATGCTTTCCTATGCGACAGGCTGAATGCGCGCGCAGCTCTTGCCGCGCGTGCGCATTCAGCCCAGGAGGAGGAATGGAGGAGGAGAGCTCTCCGCCCAGCGCTGGAAAAAGGTAAGTTTTTACCCCTTTCCCCCTTCCAGAGCCGGGCGGGAGGGGGTCCCTGAGGGTGGGGGCACCCTCAGGGCACTATAGTGCCAGGAAAACGAGTATGTTTTCCTGGCACTATAGTGGTCCTTTAATGTAGTTGTTCTGGTGAGTATAATCATTCCCTGCAGGCTTTTTGCTGTACTCACTGTTTTTTCAGAGAAAAGGCTGTGTTTACATTACATCCTAGGGACACCTACAGTGGCCACTCCTCAGATGACTACTAGAGGTGCTTCCTGGGGCAGTGCTGCACAGACCTTCAGTGTTTTCACCCTCTGCATGGAGACACTGAACTTTTCTTCATAGAAATGCATTAATTAAATGTATCTTTATGAGGAGATACTGAATGGGTAGAATGGCGTTTGGCTCCGCCCCCTACCAAACTTTCTTGGCAATCTCAGCCAATCCAATGGTTTCATATGGGAAAGCATCGTGATTGACTCAGATTATCACTTTTGATGTCAGCCAAGGTTTCAGATCAAGGGCAGAACCATTACCTGCAGACTGGAATAAATGTAAGATTTTACTATATATTTAGAGGGGCAGAGAGCTAAATAGTGATTTTAAGACTATAGGATCAGGAATAAATGTTTGCTTTCCTGACCCTACAGTGTTTCTTTAATGGTTGTTAGAAGATAATGTTTCAATTAAAATGGCCTGGAATCAAAGTGCTCCTCTTTGTCCATTTTTATGTTTTTTTCATTTTTTATTTTTTTTGGCAGATATGGTTGTATGGATTATTTTGAAGAGAAAAAAAAAAGAGCCATAACACTGATTTTTCCCTTGGTACAGAATCCTTTTAAATATTTTTAAAGGGGCACTCTAAACATTATAACGACTACAGCACATTGCTGCGGTTTTTGGTGCCTGGAGTTCGCCGCCACCGTTTCTTGGTAAAGAGTCAAAATACATTTGAATGGTTTGACACTTATCTGGGTGCTTGGGGTGCTCCTAATCCTTCTGGTCTCACCAGTGTTCATTTTGTTGACGAACAATTTGAGTCAAAGTTTAGTCAACAAAATTATTTGAAATTTAGTCGACTAAAACAATTCAGATGAATCAAATACGACTAAAACAGCTCTTAAGCCAAAAAACTATGACTAAAACTGGATAGAAATTTACAGCCAAAATTAACACTGCACAGAGGGGCTGTGGAAGGGGCAACGGACAGACCAGGGGTTGGGAGAGAGACACCTAGAGGGGCTGGGAGGACACAAAGACACACAGAGGGGCTGGGGAAGGGGCAAAAGAGACAAAGGCTTTAACTAAACCCATTAGATTTTAGTCGTGTCAACTAAAACCTACTAGAGCAAGGGTTCTCAACACAGTCCTCAAGGACCCCGGAACTGTCCAGGATTTAGGGATTACCCTGTTGTGTCTAAAGTGTTTGTCCTCCTTCCCCTCCCAAAAACACATTAGACACAGCAGGGTAATCCATAAATCCTGGACAGTTCGGGGGTCCTTGAGGACTGGGTTGAGAACCCTTGTACTAGAGATTTAGTCGACTAAAAAAATTCAGATGGCTAAAATTAAAACTAAAAATAAAATGGCATTTTAGTCAAAAGACTATGACTAAAACTAAATTAAAATTTGCCGCCAAAATTAACACTGGGTCATAGGTTACACCTTTCCTGTTATTGAACATAATTTCTATTTCTCCTCCTCATTTACATTGAGTGCCCTGGCTGTGCCATAGACTGAGCTGGATTATAATGCCACTTACTAATTTATGTTAAAAGAAAACTGCATCACATGGGGGGCAAGGGGGGTAACACAAGTTATGTGATTGTTAGGATTTTAGTGTTTTAATCTGCATGCAATTAATTTTCATTGAGGTGTGTGTGTGTGTGTGTCTGTCTGTCTTGCAAAAATAGCAGTTCTGCCTTTACAAGCCCTCCCCTTCTAACCCTGCCTAGACTTTCTGTGGCTATCCAATCATAGACTTACCAATACAGCTAAATGAGAAGTATTTGCAAGGCAGGTGCTCTAAGCCACTGCTGCCTCTTGCATTTAGCTCCACTGAGCTAACAAAACCAGGAAGTAACAGGACATGTCTGTATTAAAGCCAACGGGGTGTAACAAGGTTAATTTATAAAAGTGTACATTTCTATTAAAATCTGCACTTTTTGCAAAATAAAATGAAGACACACTCCTCACACCTAAAGCATAAATTCTGAAAATATCTAACTGTATATAATATTTTTTTTATTTGCTTTGATCCTATTCCCTTTTTACACAAGTAGCTGTCAAACATTATCTGCGTGGCTGCAGTGAGGCTGGACTTTGAGTGCCCAAGAGAGCCACAGTTTATATCCTGTTGCCCAGCATTCTGTGGCAGAAAACATTGGGATGGCTCCCAAAATGACCACAGCTCCCTAATTGCCACAATAAGCTTGTAATGGTCATGTTGCTTTAATAAAGTTGGGTTTTATATACAGCCTGCATCGTTGGTATGTTGCTTCTGGCATTGGACCCAGTTCCTCTGCGTTCCATGTTGTTTACATTATTTGAAACTTTAGTATCTGTGTCCCACAAATACCCTGCCAGCAAGGAGACAAGGTAAAGTATCATGGAGTCGCATTCCACAGGCGAGCCCGTTAGTGTCACTGAAGGACAGGATCTGTGTTCTTACTGTAAATATAAAACTCTTCTTTTTCTTCTTCGTGAATTCTGACAAGGGAGGCTTTGTACAGTTTATTGGTTCCGTAAGCCTGTTAATAACTGCCAACTGGCCTGGACTCTACTCTATTACATTTTAGGATTTTTTTTCTGTCTCTCTCTATACATGGTGTGGACGTCTTTTCTGTTTTTGGAATGTAGAAAGTTGACAGTTATGCAACACTTTAACCCATTTTGAATCTCTGAAGGCCTATACCAGGATTCAAAACTTCCACTAGCCATTGTTGAGTGAAAATGTATCCCTGACAAGTAGAATTTTTCCCGTGCCGGGTGTGCAATGAACCCTTCAGTAGTGCAGCTTACTTAAAGCAGGTCTGTCACTTTTCAGGGTATTCGCATATTTAGCAAAAACCCCAGGAAGTAACAAATCTGGTTAGGGTCTGATACAGACTCCAGGCACCATGAGCACTGCAAATCACTGAAGCAGTCGTGGTTCCTGGAATAGTACTTTCAGAAGTTTTTTTTTTTTTTTTTTTCTCTCTCTTTTCACGACATGTCATAATATTGACCCTGCTTAATATAAAAAGAAAAAAAAATCCACTGCGGTAATAAAATTTGGAGTTTGGATTTCATTATTTCACTGTCTTTGTGGCTTTTTCGCCTAACCCAGACATTTTTGACTATCTATACATATGGGTGTACGCAGCTCGAATTAGCTCAGTTTTATATTTTCTCATATTTTCTTTGCATTGTTAAAGAAATTGTTTGTGTAGCCCTGCACCTTACACTGCACATTACAATGTAAAAGATGTAACAAACAGTAAAGATCTTGTTTTAACAATAAAGATGCTTATATAATACACAGATACTCCTAGATAACATTCTATGGCTGTCTACTGATGGATATCTATTTAACCCTGATACTCTGTTGTTTGTGATCTGTACGTCCCATGACGCACCACCCACCCCAGACATGTGGAGTGCCAAGGCAGTCATCACTATAACAGAATGTACAGTATGTATGCGCAATTCCATCTACTGCAGCCAATTTACAAGTGATTTATTTTTTTTATTTTTTATTTTTGTGGTGCATAAGATATTACAAGCAGGAGAGAGGTGCCCCGAAAGCAGTCCTCAAGCAATTTCCATGCTTAACGTGCGGGGCATAAGGTTAACAGGCACATTTTTATGTAATGGTTAAGTTTAAGCTATCGATTGTAAAAGTAAATGTAAATTATAATGTAAGTTATATTTAGACTGTATAGCTTCAGCTGTAAATATACATTTCTGCTGTAGACAAGCTTGGTCAGAGCACAAGTTTAGTTAGTAATAGCATGAGTAATACAGGTATGAAGCAACGTTAGCAAAGAAAAGAGGGTCAGTTCGTAGGGTCAACTGCTCGACAGAAGTGGGCCGGTTTGGGTCTTGAGCTAGGACAGATGGTGTGAAATACCCCAGAGGGCCATCTATGTGCTATGTGGCAATAGTCAGTGCTATGCTTATCAAGGGGTTTGGGTGGTCCGCGAAAAACGGCAGTCCTGCCAGCCTATGTGAGTCTCTCAGGGGGAAGCTGCACAGTAAAGCAAGCAAGTGTGCAAGCAGGTGTGGGTATCTGGGTGTGGGTATCTGGTTTCACAGTTACCCTAGGGTGAGTCTCCGTGGTCTTGTTGCTTGGGTCTTGTGTGACCGGTTAAGCTTGTGGGGTTGGACCAGGATATCCCCCGCCGGTCCATATGGGGGGGCTAAACGAGAGCCCTGAGTCTGGCTTCCCTCTAGTCCTGGCAGCAGGAGAGTGGCCTCCTCTCCCGCGTCCGTCATGCCAGTGGGCCTCACCGATGTGTACGGCGTAGGTCGGTTGTCGCTTGGAATGCATCGTTTTGTGTGTCCTGACATCCCCCATCGCTTGTAGGGGTATCACGCTTTTTAAAATGCTGCTCGCAGGAGCTGTTAAGTGTTGCTGCCGCTCAGCTCTGTGGTTCGGCCCTGCCCCTTTTTTTTTTAACACACTAAGTGCTGTATGTATACAGATATAGCAGGTAATAATGTAGGTTTGCTGACTTTAGAGCCCCCACTGTCCAATGTTAGTCTGATTGGATTCCCAAATCTTTCCTTGGTTGCCCAGCAAGGTTGCTGCATTAGCCCAGTAGCCAGACATGCCCATTTACCTGGCAGAATGATTAGTGAGGGTGCAGGGATATTCTGGTACTAGCCAGAGAGTTTGAGTCCGTATATTTAATTATTGTGAACGGAAGTGGAAAACTGGATTACACTTCGATGTCGGAGGTAAAATGAAACTAAAAATGGCGTGTAGGCGTTAAATGTGAATTTGTACTACAAGCCTGAGGTTTATGTGATTTCCTCCCCCTCACTATTTAAATCTCTATGGTTGCTTCTTTAACATTTGCCACTACTCTAGCAGTCAGTCAGCTTGAAGTGATTGTGTTAGTATACACTTGGGTACACATACTTTCACCCTGATACAGTTAGAGACATAGACATGCAAACACATACACACACACCTACACACACATACGTGTGTGTGTATTCATGCATGTATGTGTATGAAGGCAGTAATATTTTAAGTTTGAATTCCCCACAAGTGAGATCAACCCTGACCTACATTAACAAGGTTGTTTGTTAAACTTTGAAATTCAGAATAATGTTTACTCTATAGTTACATAGGCTGAAAAGAGACATGCGTCCATCAAGTTCAGCCTTTCTCACATCTGATCCAAAAGAAGGCAAAAAAACCCACCCAGTTTTAAGTGCTTTCCAATTTCGCAACAAACTAGGAAAAATTCCTTCTTGCCCCCAGAATGGCAGTCAGATCTCTCCTTGGAACAAGAAGCTCTTACCCCACTTATATTTAACGCTATAGCTAAAATACATTTGCTATTAACTTGTTCAGTATGGTACATGGATTAAAGGGTCACTACAAGCACCATGACCACTTCATTGATTTAATAAAACGCTGATATTTGTTACAGTAACTCTTTCTGACGTGGTCCCAGTGGCGGAACTTTCACCGGTGCAGCTTGTGTGCTGCGCAGAGGCTTCCCACCAAGGGGCCCCATCAGATGGCTCATGCACTAAGGGCCACCTGGTGGGCATTATTAGCAGCGCTGGGAAGAAGTGACAGGCGGTGACTTTCTCCTGGAGAGCCAGGAAAAGGCAATGTGGAGGACAAAACAGACTGCTAGAGCCAGATATATGTAATTTTGTACCTTAACTTGTAAAGTGAGGCGCTAAAGTTGTGCAGGTATGCCCTAAATGATCTCTTTAAAGTGATAGCACACCTTGTTTGCATGACAAGCGTCTTTGCAGGAAAAACATGTCATTTTTAGTTTCTGTTCCATTACACTTAGTGCATTCGCGTATCTAAAGTGCCTGTCATAGGATAAAGACACACATCTCTCTCCAGGGAGCACTCTGAACTGTTTTACATAAAAATCACAAAGAAAAAGAGAATTGCAAAGAAACTTGCTTGCAGTGAAAAGATGCATTGTATTCAGGAGATAAATCACTAATCCATATACAAGCAAAGGGCAACATTGCTGAGCAGCGGAGCCTCTTCCCAACCGGCAGCCATTGTGTGCTTAATGGGATAATTTACCGAACTCTCAGATGTGGCCCTCGATGTTTTAAATGTATTAGTCCTCATTGGATTACCATATCTGCTATGTATTCCTGGACAAACTTACATCTTTGCGCTGTAGGACAGGACATACAAATTGCTGTCTTGACGTATGTAGCATTCATATGGCGTGTGAATCGAGACATTTCCTCGGACAGCCTTCTTAGGATGAGTTTCTTTCATGCGGCATGTGAATTCTGAATATTGTAGGGCAGCACTTTTTGTGTACAGCCCATCTGCTGTCCATTAATGAAAGGATTGATCCAGCAAACCTAGTTGGAAGCCTAGATGGAGTGTTATTCAGTCTCTTTCTATCAAAGGAATTCTCAGAGCACTATAACTATTATAGTGCACTGTAGTGGTTAAAGTGCCAGGTGTGTCCTGGTGCCCCAATGGGAGTAGTCAAACCGGAAAAAACAAACTCATAACAAAATAGTGCGGCCATAAATCCAAAGGTTCAGACCTCAAACTTGACAGACACCATCTATGCATTTCTTTTTATATCGTTCTCAAAACAATTTTACAACTTTATCAAGATTTAACTTTTTACCTGGGTTCTGCAAGGAGCCGCTACCCGCCTCTCTACCGCCTCCAGCAGGGCCGGATGCTTTCATTAGCTTTCCTGAGCGAAGCCCTATTCTGATGAGTTCTAGGCACTGAACGAAGCCCTGCTCTGCCTTTCTGTGCTTCTGGAGACTTCAGAGAGGTGGGGAGTGTCACTTGGCTGACTCCAGGTAAGAAGTCAAACAGTTCTACTTACATTAGGGGTAGGTGGAGCCAGGGAACCCTGACACCAGCACAACTAAAGTGGGCATTTTAAGTGTTCTTTAAATGCCCATTTTTTTTTTTTTGCCAAGTTATAAGACACTGTATCCATGTTCTTCACACAGAAAGTCCACTGTTCAAGATGCGTCCCTTCCATTTGGTATCTGTTTAGAAAAACGTTATCTTACACCACAAATGTCTTGGGTCTCTATCCCAGTTACCGTGTTCATTACTAGAATGTAAATGGTTGAAAGATTTTTCAGAATAACACTGGGTGAAGTGATATAGGATATGTTTCTTTACATGATAATTAGAAATGTCCTAAAACTGAGACAGAGAATTGGCCCTTAAGGGCCATATCTGACCTCCCTCTGGTAGACCTTCATAAGTCAAACTAATTCCTAGGGCCAAGTCCTGATCCTGCTAATATTTTCCATGATGCTGTAAGATAGAGGCTTATCACATTTATCTAACAGTCCAAAACAAAATGTTGTACAATAACAAGGGGTTCTAAAACTGTATTTAATGGAAATTTGAAAAGTGGCATTGTTATACACACATTTTATCCCCTGAAGTAGCCAGAGACATCCTTACTGGAAATTAGATTTTGCCTATACCAAGATCACTGCTGTAGTGGACGTGATCATATCTGCAAACCCCCTGATGCTGAGTGCTTCATTCAATCATGTTGCAGCATTGAGTGGCATAAAATTGGTGCAGGAGTGCATGCAACTGGCTGATAAGGGTCTAGGGTTGCCTATGTACTAATTGCTGCAGAAATTCACTGCAATAGGTTTTCTCAAGTTGACTTGGGGATATACGTAACCTGGGGATATACGTACATTTTGCATCTGCATATCCTGCGTGCTAGTGAGAGTCAATTTTGCCTAGATTATTTTTCCTGAAAAATACTGAATTAAAACTGTACAAGTCTGTGGGGAGGAGCTTGACCCAGGAGCGGAGCAGACATTTGTTACACAGGCTCCGGACTCCGATTTCGGGGTGCTAATCCCCGCCAAGGACCAATTCTGACCACTCAAGTATGTTCCATGGGCCAGGGATTTCCAGACAAACAGTCATTACTTATGACCTTACTCCACCGGGATCCCAAGTAGTTCTGTAGTGGCCTGTTTCCAGAGCGGCAGCGCTCCTGTTTCCCCCCCACCCCTTTGACCAGCAGGGGTTATCTCTATCGCCACTGGACTGTTCTGAGCAACTTCTGCTGCACTTACCTCTTGCTCTGAGTTGCCCTCGAAACATATTCCACCTCAAACATTTAAGATAGCAGCTGCTCTTCATGAAACTGGAGCCCTGGCCTCATGCGACTACTTATTGCTGCGTCTAAAGGGGCACTTTCGGGCCTTCTGGAGAAAACTTCATGTCTGCTGCAACCGCAGGGAGGCGATCAAAGGCACACTGTGCCGGAGAGGAGGAAACTCCCACTGAGCAAATCTTTGAGAATGCCTAAACACACATGGCCTGCCGTCCCAGACCAAGGGACTTCCAAGGAGGTACCTCTACCCACCAACCACACAAGCCAAAGCTCATACGCCGAAAGAGGCGCTTACCACGTGGTTCTTTCACTTACCCCTGCTGGGAGACAGACTTGCCACCCACAAATCATCATATCTGTGGCTCCTGGATGTCGGTCCTCATAGGCATGAGGCTGGGGGTGACACGCCGTGGCGCTACACTTCTGATGTTCCAGGGAACTCCAGGCAGCGCTCTACATTTCATGCCTCAAGGGATAAGCTGATGCCATTGTGTCTTATATAATATTAATGCCTTGCAAAGGGTCACTATATCTGTTGAATATATTTGCTTATTTTTATTTATTTACTTTGGTTGTGCATATAGGAAACCACACAGGTAAACTTACTATGCCACAGCTGCATGAGCAAGCATCAATAAACATGTTTAACGCAGTAAGTGACGTATGAGGAACATGCACGCTTTTATAGTAATATAGAAGAGATATGTGAGGGTCAATGCAAACAGTAATAAAATGAAAGATTAAACTACGCTTGGTGCTCCAACAAGTTTATACTAAGCTTTTAGAGCGACAACTAAGCAACAGTAGCTGTATTTTGTGAGCATGGAAAGCAAGTGAGAGTTACATGTCTGTGGCTGAATATATGGGGTTACAATAAGCCAATGCATAGAGAGGTGTGTGTGTGTGTGTGTGTGTGTGTGTGTGTGTGTATATATATATATATATATATATAATATATTATATTAACCACTGGTATATAGACTAATGGGGCATTATGGTAAACTTGATATATATATTGACAGCCGAAACAGCATGCTCACGATGAGAAGTAAGGCATGTCCGCTGTGAGAAAGAATAGTAGGCACTTCAGCCTATGCCCATTATAGGATTGTCCCGTATTCTGTCACTGTCGGCCCCTCTGATGGAGCCCCTTGGCTTAGCCCTCACATGTCGGCAAGATTTTCAGCAACGCGGCCTTCAGCTTTAGCCCTTAGGTGCAGAGTTGATCAGAGACCCCTGGGGCAGGTATGTTGCATGCAGGTTGGGTTTGCTTGTTGTTCCAGCTCTGGTGTATGTGAGAGCAAGTGCGTGCGCCCGAGTAGCATGTTGCTGTTTCCCGCCATAACAATCTTCGGCGTCTTCTTTGCCGGATTGCCGCTCTGGAGGCTCAAAGTGGAATGCACATACAGGCGACGCCAGGTGTTGCAGGCGAATCCATGAAGCCACCACTCTAACGGCAAGATTGTAGGTCAGTCCATGAGTACAGAGCTTTGTCCAGAAGCTCACAAAGAGCCGGTCAAAGGCCTCTAGGGGATGCATGGGTGTCTGGGTGCAGGTGCGCTTTGTCGTTTGCCCCATCTGTGCAGCCATCTTGATTGTGCCTCGACAGTCCAGTACAGCTGCAGGCTGTGTCGCTCGTCCTGGTGAGCCTCTCAGCAATCCAGTGGGGATTTAAGCCAGCTAGCCACACTTCAAGGCTGGGGATCGGCCGACTCCCCCACCTCGTGCGTAGCAGCAGGCTGCGGGTAGGTCAAGTGCCGACATGAGCCGTTAGTTGCAGGCTTGCAATGCTCGGGAGGTCAGTAAAGGTGCTCCCCAGGATGAGATGCAGGATAGAGACCAATTAGGAATCACTTATGGCCCGTTAGCGGTACAGAAAGTAATTTCTCCTGAGGAACTCCAGTTCTAAGCGGCCATCTTGGTCGGCTTTCAGGCCCCGCACCCTTTTTATTTTTGCATGTAGTGCAGCAGCCTAATATAGACCTGACTCCAGTAGTTCTACTCTTTTAACAGATTAGTCTAGCATGATACGCTATGCCATTTTTATAGCTATTATAGCTATGCCACTTATCATGCCTTAAGTTCTATACTCATGTTTATAGAATACTAAAATGTGCAGTATGTATGAATACCACACAGATTTTATACTACAATGTTTTGCTATGCTCTTGAAATTGCTGTTGTGGCGATTAATTCTTGCTTGTATCTTTTTGCACATCAAAAATTAAAGAATTTAAAAAAACAAAAGAAAAAAAACCCTGTACTAGTCTTACTACTAGAACTACAAATCACACCATGCTCAGACACCTTTCGTGGCCAGTGACTTAGTGGCATGTTTTCTGAAGCTGTTTGTTCTTTATAAAAGTTATTTCCCTGTGGCTATGCTGTCACAGGCTTGTATCTGTCTCACTGTGAGCGGAGTTTGGCCAGTAGATTGGAACACGGATACAGCAATTAGCTTATCGCTCAGCAATGCGATGTTTCGGTTTGTAGTACAATGCTTCTGAAACGCTCATGGAATTTCCCCTTTCTGTTTCAATCCAGTCACAGAAACAAAAGTTGGCACATTGTAATCTCTCCTACTGCAGCTGTTTCTTGTGTAAGGCCAACTTCCTGGGTACTGGGAGACTTTACTCACGCAGGCTTCTGGGAAAAAATATGCATGTCATTGGAAAATGGAATTTAATACACAGTAAATGCTTCCAGGCAATCTATGCTTTCCTCGTAAAAACCTCAGATTCTCAATTCGTGTATTTATGAGGAAGACGAGAACCATGAAACTTTACTTTCTCTCTGTCCTGATATATGTGCTTTTCTAACAAATCAGGTATTCGTTTATCACCGTACTCCACAGTAAGAAACACCCTTTACTGCAGTGTGCATGAGCATATCACAGAGCTCTACAGCCATAAAACTCACGGTAATGTGCGATTTGTATGACAGAGCTCCACAGCATTAAGCTCACAGTAATGTGTGATGTGTATGACAGAGCTCCACAGCCATAATACTTACAATAATGTGCAGTGATGGGAGTATGATAGAGCTCCAAAGCATTAAAACTCACAGTAATGTGTGGTGTGTATGACCGAGCTCCACAGCATTAAAACTCAAAGTAATGTGCTGTGTGTATATGGGCATGACAGAGCTACACAGCAATAACATTTACAGTAATGTGCAGTGTGAGCGTTTTATTGCTCTGGAGGTTTGTCATCCAGTCTTGTGTGGTGCAGTGGAGGCAGCGCCCCACCAGTTTTTATGTGGGAGAAAAAATTATTTGCATTACGGTAGTTTTGAAACACTAAGACTCTTTATCTGAATTAGTGTCTCTTTAATTCTGTAATGGGATTCAGTTCTGCAGTGCCTCTGCCCCATCATTTGAAGCTGTTAGGAAAAGATCACTTGAGAGTATCTGGGCATGTCAAAAAATAAATAAAAATGGGCCTAGTTTGAGATCTGTCCTATTTTAGAAGGTTTTGCACATGCCCAGTGTCCTTTTTAAGAAGGAATTTCTATTGAGTTGACATTTTGGCAGCAGGCACGCTATTAGACTCTATTCAGGGGCCATTACTGGCGGATAGCACCAGGGTCACAGTGCCCACAGGAGAGAGAAGCAAGAAGCCATCTTGGAAGCAGCACAGGGACAACAGAGCAGCAGCTCCTGGCTCCTGCCAAATGTAGGTATAATATTATATTCTCTGTAAAATATTACACTCTGAGGGCTGATTAAGCAAATGAATTTCCGCAATTATATAATTAATAAATGCAAATCTAGGGATGGCCAGGGGCAGGGCCGGTGCAAGGATTTTTGCTTTCCTAGTTTTAACACTTTACATGTTTACATTACAGGGTTAATCCACCCTCTAGTGGCTGTCTTCCTGACAGCCGCTGGAGGCGCATCTGCAACGCTGGATGTGAAATTCCCATCCGGCGTGCAGAACGTCCATAGGAATGCATTGAGAAATGCTTTCCTATGGAGTGTTTGAATGCGCGCACGTGCATTCCGCTCCACTCAGGAGCTGACGTAGGTGGGGGAGGAGGGGTCACCAGCGCCAAGGGAGCCCGGTACTGGATTAAAATAAGTGGCTGAAGGGGTTTTAACCCCTTCAGCTCCATGGGAGGGGGAACCTGAGGTTGGGGACACCCTTAGGGCACTGTAGTGTCAGGAAAACCGCTTTGTTTTCCTGATACTATAGTGATCCTTTAAAGGGCAATGGAAATACTATAGACAATGGGTTGGAAGCAGAATCTATAAATGAGATTACAGGTAAAGTATAGTAAGGATTCTAAAGTAACAGGAAAACCTATAAACTAAATTATAGGCAGAAGGAAGGAGTATAAAGAAAAAACAGAGTTAGGCAATATGCACCCGGACAGTCCCAAACACTGTTAGCAGCAGTCTTGCCAGAGGCGCCCCCAGGGATCTGGCACCCTAGGCCACCACCTAAGTGGTCTAACGGAAGCGCCGAACCTGGCCAGGGGGGACAAGGGGAGGGGGACATTTCTGACACAGAGCACTGTGCTGCCTGTCACTTGTTGTTTTAATAACTCCTACTGCACATAGCCACGATCTTATTAAAAATGATAAGGCTTCAAACTGCGGGACTCGGGCTGTGACTCTGAGGACTGAAATTATTCTGATTTGAATCTGTTTAAATCTGCAATGATTGTTGATTCTGTTAACCATGTCCGCTACTTTCTGTCTCTATAGTCCAACTGCAGATTAATTATATTGCCTGCTGCTCTAACCTAGTTTAAGGAGTAGCTGATATGTTTGGAGTCTACTAGTATCTTCATGCTTTAACCATGCGCACACTGTGTGCTGAGAGCTAATGCAGTAGCTGACATGTTTCATAACAGCAGCAATATTTACTAGAAAGTCATCATAGCAGGAGCACTCCTTAAGGTGAGATTATGTAAGGGAAAGGACTAGGAAGGTAGACAGTGAGAGCAGAGACATGCACTGTGAGGGGATCTTTGTATTGTAGCTCTGTGTAGTCTACAGTGATCCTGGCTGTGTGGGATAGTTATGGCTAGCTCCTTATTGTGCCAAGCTCTGTGCATTATAGCTCTATATTTTTTTTCTCAGTTCTGTTTGTGGCATGGTTACCTCTGTATTGTACTCAGCTCTATGTATTTTATAGATATCTTTATGTTATGCCTAACTTGTTTTATTGTATGAGTATATATCTCTATTGAGCTCGGTTCTCTGTATTGTACAAGTATCTCTTTATTAAGCTCAGCATTCTGTATTTCTATAACGCGTAGGGAGGAGTCTGGCGCCCCACCATCTTAAACCGTCGCCATCTGCAATGTGCAGTGTGTGTGTGTATCATACAATAATAAAACACAGCAATGTGCAGTGTGTATGTGTGTATCATACAATAATAAAACACAGCATTGTGCAGTGTGTGTGTGTCACACAACAATAACACAGCAATGTGCAGTGTGTGTGTATCACACAATAATAAAACACAGCAATGTGCAGTGTGTGTGTATCACAATAATAAAACACAGCAATGTGCAGTGGGTGTGTATCACACAATAATAACACAGCAATGTGCAGTGGGTGTGTATCACACAATAATAAAACACAGCAATGTGCAGTGTGTGTATCATACAATAATAAAACACAGCAATGTGCAGTGTGTGTGTGTGTGTATCACACAATAACACAGCAATGTACAGTGTGTGTGTGTATCACACAATAATAAAACACAGCAATGTGCAATGTGTGTGTATCACACAATAATAACACAGCAATGTGCAGTGTGTGTGTGTGTATCATACAATAATAAAACACAGCAATGTGCAGTGTGTGTGTGTGTATCACACAATAATAAAACACAGCAATGTACAGTGTGTGTGTGTATCATACAATAATAAAACACAGCAATGTGCAGTGTGTGTGTGTGTGTCACACAATAATAACACAGCAATGTGCAGTGTGTGTGTGTATCATACAATAATAAAACACAGCAATGTGCAGTGTGTGTGTGTGTGTATATCACACAATAATAAAACACAGCAATGTGCAGTGTGTGTATCATACAATAATAAAACACAGCAATGTGCAGTGTGTGTATGTGTATATCACACAATAATAAAACACAGCAATGTGCAGTGTGTGTATCATACAATAATAAAACACAGCAGTGTGCAGTGTGTGTATCACACAATAATAAAACACAGCAATGTGCAGTGTGTGTATCACACAATAATAAAACACAGCAATGTGCAGTGTGTGTGTGTGTGTGTATCACACAATAATAAAACACAGCAATGTGCAGTGTGTGTGTATCACACAATAATAAAACACAGCAATGTGCAGTGTGTGTGTGTATATCACACAATAATAAAACACAGCAATGTGCAGTGTGTGTGTGTGTCACACAATAATAAAATACGGCAATGTGCAGTGTGTGTGTCACACAATAATAAAATACAGCAATGTGCAGTGTGTGTGTATCACACAATAATAAAACACAACAATGTGCAGTGTGTGTGTGTGTGTGTGTATCACACAATAATAAAATACAGCAATGTGCAGTGTGTATATCACACAATAATAAAACACAGCAATGTGCAGTGTGTGTGTATCACACAATAATAAAACACAGCAATGTGCAGTGTGTGTGTGTGTGTATCACACAATAATAAAATACAGCAATGTGCAGTGTGTGTGTGTGTATCACACAGTAATAACACAGCAATGTGCAGTGTGTGGATCACACAATAATAACACAGCAATGTACAGTGTGTGTGTATCATACAATAATAAAACACAGCAATGTGCAGTGTGTGTGTGTGTGTATCACACAATAATAAAACACAGCAATGTGCAGTGTGTGTCACACAATAATAAAACACAGCAATGTGCAGTGTGTGTGTGTGTGTGTATCACACAATAATAAAATACAGCAATGTGCAATGTGTGTATCACACAATAATAAAACACAGCAATGTGCAGTGTGTGTGTGTGTATCACACAATAATAAAACACAGCAATGTGCAGTGTGTGTGTCACACAATAAAATACAGCAATGTGCAGTGTGTGTGTGGATCACACAGTAATAACACAGCAATGTGCAGTGTGTGTGGATCACACAGTAATAACACAGCAATGTACAGTGTGTGTGTATCATACAATAATAAAACACAGCAGTGTGCAGTGTGTGGATCACACAATAATAACACAGCAATGTGCAGTTTTATCACACAATAATAAAATACAGCAATGTGCAGTGTGTGTGTGTATCACACAGCAATGTGCAGTGTGTGTGTATCACACAATAATAAAACACAGCAATGTGCAGTGTGTGTGTGTGTCTATCACACAATAATAACACAGCAATGTGCAGTGTGTGTGTATCACACAATAATAAAGGTGCCGTCCTTCCTCCCCAGCGGCAGTGTGAGTCCCAGTGGCCATTTGAAGTGTTGGTAGGTATGCAGTACAGGTGTCGAGGAAAGCCAAAACACATTGGTATGTGCCCCACCCAGTTTATTTAGTTTATATTTGTTTGCAACGTTGCCACGCTTATCAATAAAGGGACACGCTAATCACCACCACTAGTACATCATATTGCGGTGTGTATGGTGCAATAAGACTTTGGGTGTCGCTCCCTATCCCACGTTTTTAGAAGCTGTGTTCGGCCTGCTCTCTGCTTGTGTGCACAAACGCTGTGAGCTCTGGACCAAGCCTATCATTGCCGTCTGTGAATGTATAATGCAACCGTGAAACTCCCTCATTATCAGAGGGGCCGGCCGGGTGCAGAGGAGAGCAAGATGTTTTGTAAAACCTCTTTAAAACCCAAATGCGGTTACCCAAAAATGTTAACTGTTAGCGATTCAGAGTTAATTTTCATATTTTAGGCCAAAGTGACAATTTTTCCAAATCATCTATTTTGGCCTGAAAGTTGAAATTCACTTGGAATTTTAAAGTCACACCATATATATATATATATACATATATATATATATATATATAAAACCCGACGTCTTGCTTCATAACCCCTACCAAGCTGTAGGATCTCCTTTAAATCACATTTTTTGTGTGTGAAAACCATCCATTTTTAATTGTTCCCTTTCACCGTCTTGTGTAAAAGTACTCATTTTAAATTATCTAAAAATCTGAATACATTTCTTCCTTAAAAAAGGAAGTTGATATGCCGGCTGGCACCATCTTTGTAACATTGTAACACAAATTCCTTTGATGGGAGTCAAGGCTTTTACTGCCAGAGGAGAGTTTTTATTTTTTTATTTTTTTTATTTAAGTAGCAACAGATCCTTTCTGCCTACAAAATCAATTTCCAGGAGGTCTTTCCTTCAGGATCACTGGCACTTAACCCTTTCAACATTTCATTGCATTTATTAGGTGACCCATTCATCAGCTGTAAAATTAACTCCATGAACTGTCCTTTAGTCAGAATTTAGGAAGTGGCATTCTGGGAGAATTGTGGAGCACAATCTTTTTAGAGCTGATCTGTCTGTATATTACTATATCTTTGCATCCGGTTGCCTTTGGAAATGTAGGTGATGGGTAACAGTAAATTTCAGTATATGGTAGACATATTTTCTTTTGAAGAGGAAGGGGTCCCTGTTATGAGAGTTCGGCAGGTAGGCCGCAAACATGAACAATTTATTGTAGACTATTACCTGAGGCTTACCTATGCCCACGAATAGACACCCGTTAAAGTCGACCTACTATGCTGGATAGTTATATATTGGGACATAATCCGCCCATCTTGAGCAGAGACAATCATGCAGTCTTCTGATTTTTGATACTTCATAAACCCTGCATGACACTGGCTGAGAGCATGAGCAATATGGTGAGCGAGGTGGTGGGGGCACACGCACCTCGTGGGGCCCTTGGTTTGTGCCAGTAATTATGGTGCTCAGAGTGTCTGTTTAATGTGGCTCGGTGTCACATTTTAAACAGTAAATATATAGACAAAGTTCATTCATATTTTAATATAATATCTTTGACTTTAATGTGGTTCTTCAGTAGTTTGTAGTTTAATTTTCATATTTTATTTTTTAAATTTTTTTCCCAAATCATCCATTTTGGCCTAAAAGTTGAAATTCACCTAAAATGTTCAACAAATCACACTTTTTAGTGAATAATAGCTGTGTTGCAGGGGTTGTTGTGTCTGACTAGTTTTATTGCGATGGATATCTATACATGTATTACAGCAGTTATTTTTTTGTGTTGATGTAATTGCTTTGCAGTTGTGTCAAAGTAAATGTAAGTGTTTAGTACTGCAGTATGTTGCCGTATTGCAGAATTGTTTTGTAGTTATGTGACAGGAATTGTATGTAATCTTGTAGCAATAGTTATTAGGCCCAAAACGTTTTCTGTGGTTGTGTTGATTAAGTTATTATTTTACCCTAGTGGTTTTGTTGCACTAGTTATGTAATTTGTAGTTTTGTAATATTTAGGGTATTATTCTAGTTGTTTAGATGTGTGAAATGTTAGCTGTGTATAATTGTGTGCTATGAGGTGGAATTTATATCACCCGACGCCCGGCTCATGCAGTTCTAGGTGTGTCACAGCAAGCGGCAAGTGGTGGAGGGTGACGACGACACACAACTGTCCGGCTTGTGGTTGCAGTATGATTGTAGCTGTGTACCAGTTAGTGAGTGTGTGTGAGATTCTAGTTGCGTAATGGTATACCGGCTAGTGTGTTTGTAATGTAGGGTTAATGTTTTTGTGAGAGATTCGAGTTGTGTAGGGTTTGTTATTGTAGCTGTGTTCCAGTTAGCGTATATATGTGAGATGCTAGTTCTATAGTGCTGTACAGTTATAGCTGTGTATCAGTGTTGGTGCAAGATATTAGTTGTGTAGTGGTGTACCATTGTAGCGGTGTACCAGTTAGTGAGTGTGTATGTGTGTGATTCTGGTTGTGTAGGGTGTTTTATTGTTGGTGTGTGTTTCTAGTTGTGTAATGGTGTACGATTGTAGCAGTGTACCAGTTAGTGTGTGTGATTCTAGTTGTGTAGGGTGTTTTTTATTGTAACTGTGTAGTGTGTGGGGGTGTGTGATTCTAGTTGTATAGTGGTGTACGATTGTTGCTATGTATGGCTAGTGTTTGTGTGTGAGATTCTAGTTGTGCAGGGTGTTTTATTGTAGCTGTGTCGTGTGTGTGTGATTCTAGTTGTGTAGGCTGTTTTATTGTTGCTGTGTCGTGTGTGTGTGTGATTCTAGTTGTGTAGTGGTGTACAGTTTTAGCTGTGTACTAGTTAGCGAGTGTGTGTGTGAGATTCTAGTTGTGTAATAGTGTACGATTGTAGCGGTGTACCAGTTAGTGTGTGTGATTCTAGTTGTGTAGGGTGTTTTATTGTTGCTGTGTAGTGTGTGTGTGATTCTGGTTGTATAGTGGTGTACGATTGTTGCTATGTATGGCTAGTGTTTGTGTGATTCTAGTTGTGTTGAGTGTACAATTGTAGCTGTGTACGGTTCGTGTTTGTGTGAGAGATTCTTGTTGTGTAGGGTGTGTTATTGTAGCTGTAACAGTATTTAGTTATTTAGCTATGGGTGCTCTGAGACGCTGAGTCACAGTCACACGACCTCTTGAGTTGAGGATCCCAGACACTGTTAGAGAGTTACACCCAGTGGATGGGGGGTGAGGGGGAGGGGGCTTTTGTTACCTTCTTTACCCCTGACTCTTTACAGTAGCAAAATACTCTGTGTGTGACTTGCAGTAAGATCCAATACTAGAACTCTCTTGCCACCCTCTCTTCTCCTTCCTTTCTATCTGTAGATGTGAAGTTACACAGTGCCACCTGGTGGGTGTGTTTGGATATGTTACTTGCTAGAATGCCCATGATAGTGGCTTGTCTGTCTGACATTTTCCAATTATGTTGTCAAAGCAGGCCTGTCACCTTTTGACAGTTTTATATTATTCATTAGGGAGTTAAAAAAAACAAAAAGCAGAAAACACTTGATTAATTCCGTGTTTGTAATATTCTTGTGTTAACCATTTCAGTACCGATTATCATGCCAAGCCAAATAATAAGGGATTTGCCTTCCCGCTAACTCCTACCAACACGCACACCTCAACATGGGCAACCCAGCACATTTACAATAAAAAAACATGTTGGCTCTATGTACAAATACTCCGGGTTCTTCAAGGTGAATTTAAACCAAAATTCAAATGTAACAAAATAGCAGAATTTGAAAAACTCAGCGGTGCTTTCAATGAGTTCTGGCCTTAAAGCTTCTCTGTCTGTAAAAATAAAGGTAATCTAATCTTTTTCTATATAGCTCCCTGAGTCTAAATCTTTCAATTTTTTCCCTGGGCATTCTAATTTTCATAAAATACATAGGGAAAAATAGGGACTATTTTCCTTATGTGTAGCAGTCACATTGCAAAAATGTGACAACAAGAGGGGCTTTGAAAAAATAGAAAACCGAAAAACCCGAGTGTGTCATTGTGTTTTTTTTTTCATTGTTTTTTTCCCTTTTCTTCCACCACCACTGGTTAGAGGTCGCAGAGCTATACTTTTGTAACTTTATTTTTCACTAAATGCACTCATGTTTTAACTTTCCGTTAATGCGTCCTTTGGCTTTTCAGAAAGTACAGTTTCCTTTTTTTTTTTCGTTTACTGCCATGCCGCTGGTATATCATCAACATATCGGAATACCAACATTAGGTCCGTATCTAAACAAAAATAACTTTTGGAATTGATGGTAAATTATGAATGTTTTATTTATGCATTCAAGTTCAGAAGATACAGGTGATTGGACAGTTCAACGGGGCATACGCAGAACACAGGTGAGTTTCGGGAAGTTGTACATATGATGATCTAATTGGCTGATGAAACCACCAGCCACACACACTTGAAGACCCTTCTCTTCTCCAATATGGCCGCCACACCGATTACAAGAAGATAATTGGGAATTTGCCCATAGCAGCCATTTTCAGATTGACCTGACCTTTTTATCTGTCCAGCTACCTATCCAGAAAACTTACCTACCTGGAGCCAGCATGACCTCCCTCATTGATGGCATAGTATATTCTGCTGATACCCTCTGTGTTCACTGTTTAGCAATGGCAGCTCAGGACAGTTCAGCCACATTTAATTGCAGTGGAACGAGTCAGACTGACAACATTCTGTAGTATGTTTTGGAGTTTTAAATCCTGATCCACCAGATCATAAGTGAGATCGAGAAGGAGGGCTTGTTTGATTGTATTGTTCCCAAAGCTGGGTAGCACTTAAATATTTTGTATTTCTGGAATCTTGTCCTTAGCTAGTAATCTGATTTTCCGTATTTCTTCGACTCTGATTGAATCCTATTATTTATTACATATTTTCGTTTTGTACTACTTTTGCCTTTTTGTCTCTCTCTCTGGGGTTTTATATAAAAGGGATACTGTAGTGCCTGGAATACAAATCTGTATTCCTGGTACTACTGCTCCCCCCTCCCTCACGCCCCCCTCCCCCTGGTAAACAAAGGGTTAAAAAAAACTCTTTATTTACTTACCTTATGCCAGCCACAATGTCCCTCAGCACTGGGTTGCAGCTCTGTCCCTTGACGAGCGGGGTCTAATGCGCATGTGCGGCAAATTGAATCAATGCTTTCCTATGGGGACAAATCTAACGCTGGAGGTCCTCGTGCAGAGCGTGAGGACGTCCAGCGTCCGATACCAGACCAAAGGTCAATTTCAATTCAGGAAGCCCTCTAGTGGCTCTCTGGTAGACAGCCACTGAGGGTAGACTTAGAGCTGCAATGTAAACATTGCAGTTTCTATGAAACTGCGATGTTTTACATTGCAGCACCAAGTGCAAAAGGGACACTGCACCCAGACAACTTTAATTAGCTTCAAATAAGCTTGAAATGTTTAAGGTCTGATAATATACATTGTTGTCTTTATATTGTTTACCTTTACCCCCTGATTATAGCCTATGCATTTTGCTGGGATCATCCTGTGTTTTACAGAATCTCTTTCCATCTAACACATAACTGTAGCAGGCCCAGCCCCCCTGTACTAGTTACTTGTAAGGAAAACAGTGCAAAAACAACCAATGGGAGAAATAAAAGACTGCAAGGAGAGAGAAATGTTAAAGGACCACTATAGTGCCAGGAAAACATAGCCCCCACCCTCAGGGACCCCCTCCCACCCGGCTCTGGAAGGGGGAAAAGGGTAAAAACTTACCTTTTTCCAGCGCTGGGCGGAGAGCTCTCTGCCTCCTCTCCTCCTCCGTTACACCCCGCCGGCTGAATGCGCACGCGCGGCAAGAGCTGCGCGCGCATTCAGCCGGTCTCATAGGAAAGCATTTACAATGCTTTCCTATGGACGCTGGCGTGCTCTCACTGTGAAAATCACAGTGAGAAGCACGCAAGCGCCTCTAGTGGCTGTCAATGAGACAGCCACTAGAGGGAATAGGGGGAAGGCTTATCCCATTGATAAACATAGCAGTTTCTCTGAAACTGCTATGTTTATTAAAAAATGGGTTAACCCTAGCTGGACCAGGCACCCAGACCACTTCATTAAGCTGAAGTGGTCTGGGTGCCTAGAGTGGTCCTTTAATAAGAGAGTGCCATTTTCAAAAGCAGTGTCACCAAAATGTTGGGCAGTCTTCATTTTTAAAATCTAGGTGGAGGTTTAGACCCAGTTCTATTCAAGCAGGGAATACGGACAAAACCTGTGCCTTAAGAAACCATTGAATGAAAGGTTTTCCACAGCTGATATTGTGGACCAAGTTTAGAAGGTTGGGTTGGCCCAGAATGTGCCCCTCCATTTTCTATCCCCCCCATTTCTGACTGACCTACTGGGGCTTTAAAAAGTGCTTATGGAAACCATCCTCCGTATTTTTCTGACCGTTTGAGATCAGTTCCACAGAAGTCAGGGTTTTATCTGGTACTCACAGGCCTCTTTTTCCGCTGCTGCATTGATAATTCAGAATTTATACTTGCACTTAATTCATATATTTTCTCCCATATTAGATGACAGTGGGACCAGTTGGTCCAGCAGTGTCAGCCTGTCTGTCTTTCTCAATTCTGTTGGACATTATTTATGTAGTTATATCGATGTGGAAGCGGAAATTCCGTATTGTCAAATTACCTGAAGAGGAATCTGACAAAAACGGGCTACCCCAACATCCAGAAACAAACCGCTCCCAAATAGTGACAGAATTGCAGGGATGGCTGCTGTTGCCTTTTTGCAGCAAATCCACTGTGTTGAGCTCTAGTCATTGTGTTTTTTTTTTTGTTTTTTTTTAGACTTGATGAACTATGTAGCCATGGTAACAAAAACACTGTATTTATTGAATGTTAGCTTGTCCCTCTATTTACTGTCCTATTGAGTTTTTAATGGCTTTTTTTGTATTAAAACTCATACTTTGTAACGTATCAGTGTTATGTGTAGACTATGAACCACTAATATGTGATCTTCGCTTTTTAGCCTAAACTTAAATCCCAAGAGGAGCTTCAGGTAAAGAGGGTTGATACGATCAGGTACAAATCATTTTTGGGTTGTATTTTGGTAACAGTTGGCCCTCTGGCAGTAGAAAGCGGGACACTTGCCCCCAGCTAAACACTTTAATTTTTATGTGTGGCTTTTATGTTTTATTGTTTTTTTCCCATAACAGGGGCACCCTGCCCACGCATTGTAAATGTGAGAGGGGTTTTCTGGTACAGGAATGGTGTGACCGGCTACACTTGCTTAATGATACATAGAGCAGAGTTAGTGTGTTCACGTAATGTTGCTGTACCTCTGCTCATTGATCTGGTTATGGGACATTACATTACCAGGAACGACGCTCTGTTAGTGCACAATTAAGAGCTGCGTAGTGACAGGAGCCCATCCTCAACACTTAAACACCAGAGGGATTAGATCTAGCCACCAGCTGATGGAGAGCTAGAGAGATCATATGTCCAGAGCTACCCAAATCAAACAAGAACACAACGTCCCTTTATAGATATTTCAATTATGATACTATGTGTTATTTTGGCATTTAATAAATCTGCACCTTTTATTATCCAGGAACACTGGGATATGAGGGAGTAATGAGTTTAATCTGTTACTCCAGTCTTGGGACCACCGGAGACCTGGTAAAATGGAGTAAACTGAAGCATATTGTGGACTACATGCATGGAGTAAGGGGATGTCACCTTATTGTATTGGCATGGAGAATGGGTCGCTGGAGTGTCGGGGTTTATGGGATACAGGACTCTAAATTTAGGGATGGTCAGTTGTTGGAATGGCATTTGTGGATTTAGAATTGGTTATAAATGGATATAAAGAGAGGGGTGATAGAAGATTTGTCATTCAGAAGCACCCAGGTGGGACCCCTATTTCATACTGTGCACAAAAACATGACCACATCCTGTATACAGCAACCCACTCAGGACCGCAGTATCACTTACACACACAATGCCTCAAACTTACACATTTGAAATATCTGAAAACTGTTTAAAAGGTTTGGATTCTTTTTTTTTTTCTTTTATAAACCTTTAGAGGAGATCAGAGGGAGTATTTAGGCAGTTGGCATTCTAACTGTCTTGTGGACTGGTGGGTGGTGGAGGGGTTCTAGGTTGAGGTGTCATGGGGCAATGTTAGATTTTGACTAAAATCTTGTCCACGGCTCCCACACCTCTTGGAAGAGGGACAATTTGTGGGTAACAGAGGCTTGTATGTTTTCCATTATTTTAAGCGCGTCTACTCTCAGAATCCATTCTCTGATCGTCGGGGTATTGGGATTTTTCCATTTTACTGGAATGAGGATGTTGGCTGCTGTGAGGAGATGGGTTACAAGTCTTTTCTGTGTGTTGGTGAGGGTGTGGGGTAGCAAAAGGAATAGCAGTGTGTGTGTGTGGGGTATGGGGAAGTTTTATTCCGGTTACCGTCGTAATCATTGAAAAGGTTTGGATTCTGTGTCTTATCTTATTAAGAAGAACAGCTGAATGACATGGAACCCCCTTCCTCAAGGAGGGAGTGGGATGGCGAGGGTAACACTGCAGTAGAATATATGGACCTATTGGGGCAATCAGTGGAAGTCTTCTGTATTTCCCAATAGACCATTCTACGTCTTGCAGGTTAATGTAGGATGCATTACCAGTCTGTACATACTGTGTAAAGCTAACCTACATGCTTTGTTTTGCAACCTGCCCATTCTTGAATCCAGGAAATCTATTCCTTGCTTCAGCTGGCCACATTGTGAGGGTTATTTCAGCTACACTGAATTTCTTGTGAATTGATTGCTGAATTGCACAACTTTAACTGTAGTCACAGAGTGACTATTTGAGCCTGTATTCAGCAATGCATTTTTCACTTCACTAGAAATGTGTTTTTCCTGTGTGCCAACAGAGGACTGACCCGGCTGTAATGTCAAGGCTTTAATACAGACGCAGGCAGGTCCTACGTTAACTCTCAGTGCTGATGATCAAAGCATTGCTGGGAATTTAAAATGCAAACCTCGATCTGCCAACAAGGTGCATCCAACAGCTTTATATATTTAGAGGTAATAGTGCTAACTATAATGCATTAAATCAGGGAAGGGCAATACCTTGATCCGAGGGCTAAACTCCTTGTTGCCATAGCACTGCTGTAATTAATCACAAATAATACATGTAAACACAAAATCTAGATTTAAAATAAATCCCAAATCAAATCTTTCAGTAAGCTCCAATTGCAGGCATGATCATGTATAGGAACAAACTGCATGCATACACACACAAAAAAAAAAAAACTTAAAAAAAAAAAAATGACAGTCTCGTACACAATTTAATATACGCCAAAATAACACATAGTAACAGAATTGAAATATCTATAAATGGACGTTGTGTTCTTGTTTGATTTTGGTAGCTCTGGACATATGATCTCTCTAGTCCTCCATCAGCTGGTGGCTAGATCTAATCCCTATGGTGTTTAAGTGTTGAGGATGGGCTCCTGTCACTACGCAGCTCTTAATTGTGCAGTAACAGAGCGTCGTTCCTGGTAATGTAATGTCCCGTAACCAGATCAATGAGTAAGGACAGCAGAACCCGGGACATTAACACTACTTGGATGATCGTGCTTGAGAGATAATCAAATGAGCTTCTATTAGCAGAATGATAAAGGTAGGGGGATCGTAGAAAGATTGCAGTGAGATTTATCGACCAGCGATTATTATTCATGGATATATCAATTATTTTATTGTTGTTAGTTTGTTTAATTAGGTCTGCTTGCTGTTCAGTGCTGCTGGTCTTTTCAGCAGTTGACCTATAGAGTCGACACAAGACCCTGGAACATGCGCACACCCAGAAGCGAACCTCAAGAGTTGCCAATAATAATAAAATCATAACTAATTACATTGTGCTATACTCAGATTCAAAATGTGTTCTAACAGCTCATGATCCTTGGGTTGGTTATAGGGTGGAATCATATCAGTTTAGTGAGAAGATTTAGGTTACTAAAAAGACAAGGTATTGAACGGGTGTAAGACTGTTCCCTTCCCTCACCTGTCAGTTCGGGCTATACCAATGACATAGTGTAATAAGACGGGATAGAGCTAACCGTTCTGATTTTCTTCACAGCAGCTACAGAGTGTATTTTAGCTGTTGTATTTATTCCTCAGCAACTACATTGCAAGCCAGATTAATATAGGAATGAAGTGATGGATGTCGCTCTGTTAGGAAGCCAATGCATCTGCAGTGTTTCAGCATGTCAGAGAGATGGGGGAGGTGCATTATCCAAGCAGGGCTAAACAGTTGAATTAATTATTAACTCCTAAAATAATGCAGTATTTAAGCTATCTTTATCATATGAATCCATTTTTATAGAAGGTGTCACCACGAGCTGCCCATTGCTGCTGCTTTTGACTGGACTGCTTCGACAAAGACTGCAAAACTGAATGATATTGCCACCATGTTGTCTGAACAATAATAGACGGACGAGGCCCCGTTTAATCCAAACTGCCCCAGTCCTAGGAGCCATCGTTACTGAGAGACAATGGGTGCCATCTAGTTAGTGCATACAGAAAAACTTCACATTATCATGTCAGCTACTGCACAGGGTGCTAGGAGGTTCTTTTTTTATTGCCAAACAACTAGATAATTGCAACAGAAAATGGGAAGATGGCATCCAAATAACTATTTGCACCATTACCACTACATTATGCTGCTACAGTTTTGGCACAAACTATGCAGTGCTGACGTCTACATCAGTGTTTCTCAAAATATTTATCAATGGTTACACCAAGCACCATGACAAAGTGCTAGGACACTGTGCAGTGTTTCAGTATGGCCCATACACTGATAAGTCACAAAATTAAAACCACCTAGAGGGAATAACATTGATTATATCGCTTCAATGGCACCTGTCAAGGAGTGGGATATATTAGGCAGCAAGTGAACAGTCTGTTCTTATTTTCGTGTGCTGGAAGCAGTCAATGTATCTCTATGAGGAGATGCTGATTGGCGCAGAACAACGTTTTGCCATGTGTGCACATTAGCCTCCCAACTCTTTCCTGTGGGAAAGCATTGTTTGGCTGAGATTGTCAATTCTAAGAATCTCAGTCAAGGAGGTAGAGTAGTGGTAGGGGCCAGCACCGGAAGACCCGCGCTGTGCTGGAGTAAATGTGAGTTTTAGCCTTATTTAAATGGATTCTATAGTCACCAAAACAACTTTAGCTTAATAACGCAGTTTTGGTGTATAGAACATGCACCTGCGCCTCACTGCTTAATTCTTTGCCATTTATGAACCCTAGTCACACCTCCCTGCATGTGACATGCACAGCCTTCATAATCACTTCCCGAGAGAGTCATCAATGGTTTATCCTTCCTTTATTGCAAGTTCTGTTTAAAGGACCACTCTAGGCACCCAGACCACTTCAGCTTAATGAAGTGGTCTGGATGCCTGGTCCAGCTAGGGTTAACCCATTTTTTTTTATAAATAGGTTAATCCAGCCTCCTGTTGACAGCCGCTAGAGGCGCTTGCGTGCTTCTCACTGTGAAAATCACAGATAGAAGACGCAAGCGTCTATAGGAAAGCATTATGAATGCTTTCCTATGAGACCGGCTGAATGCGCACGCAGCTCCTGCCGCGCGTGCGCATTCAGCCGAAGGGGAGGAGAGGTGGAGTAGAGCTCCCCGCCCGGCGCTGGAGAAAGGCAAGATTTTAACCCCTTCCTCTCCCCAGAGCCCGGCGGGAGGGGGTCCCTGAGGGTGGGGGCACCCTCAGGGCACTATAGTGCCAGGAAAACGAGTATGTGAAAACTATAAAGGAGAGAAGCAATAAAAAAAAAAGAACAATAACAACTTGCGGCAACTTAAATCTGAGTTCAGTACCTGGTGGATTCTGTCTGTGGACCCCTCATGGAATTGAAAGTCCAGCTACTATGGCATTAATTTAAGGTTTTTTCCCTGGTATGTGTTTTTTGCATTGCGCGGAGCGGAGCGGGGGGTGAACTCCGGTATTGTGGAGGGGTTCATACCCGCCAGACTCGTTGTGGCTGACCTCACTGTCCGTTCAAGCTCAGGCGTTGCAGGTGACATTCCAACTCCTGGAAATTCAAAGCTTTGTATGTCGCACCCTGATGGGTAAAGGACAGGGCTCTCGGGAACCCCCAACGGTAGGAAATGTCCTTAGCCTGTAGTATCTGCAGTAGTGGCTGAAGGGTCTTGCGCCATGCGATGGTGCCTCTAGTGAGGTCCGGGAACAGTGATAGGGTAGATCCCTCGAATAACAGAGGAGTGTGCCCGCGGGCTGCTATACGGATCGAGATATTCTCTTGTAAGGTTTGAAATCTGATTATCAGGTATGCCGTCGCCTCCACTGGTGCAGATGTCAGCTTCGGCAGTCGGAACATGCCCTCAATCTTGACCGCTTTGGCTTGTTTCGACGGCAGTAGGGTTTTAAGCAGGCGTCGCACATAGTGCGGTAAGTCAGTCGAACGCACTGAGTCTGGGATTCCCCGTACTTTCAAGTTGGTACGCCGCCTGCGCTCCTCCAGGGCTTCAGTTCTGTCAGCTGTGGCTTTTTGTTTCTGTTGGAGCTCCGCCAGTGCGTGTTCCACAGCGATGAGCCTTGAGTCATGTGTGTCCGTTTTTGCCTCCAGGAGGGTTATTTTGTGCACGGCCCCGTCTATGGCTTCTTTGTAATGGGCCATGTCCGCCGCTATGTTCGCTGTCAGTTCAGAAAGCATGTCCTTAAGTTGGGCGGCTGTGACCGGGTCTCCGGCAGCCAGTGGTTTGGCTTTTGGCACTGCTGGCTGACTGATCGAGGTCCCTACCCCAGGGTTGTAGGAGAGATCCTCAGAGGAGTACGAGGATCCATCGTCTCCCAACGCCATTTTGTCCCATGCTGGTTTTTGAGGGCCTCGCAGCATCTCACCAATATCGTGGCAGAAGGGGCCTCTTTCTGCTCTCTGTTTCTTGTTTTTTCGACCCATTGCTCCCTTAGGTAGCAGTGTGACAGCTTGATGTCGGGTACTGGTACTTTTTTTGCTGTTTTACCGCAATATTGTAGATCCTAAGCGCGGAGCTCGGGAAAGTGTGGCCGCTCCGTTCAGATGCTAGCTCTGCCCCCTCATCCCCCGCTATATTAATAGCTTATTAGACCCTGCAAGAGCCTCCTGTATGTGATTAAAGTTCAATTTGCAGAGAAAGAGAGAAAAATTTTAAGGTAAATTACATCTGATTGAAAGTTAAACCAGTTTTTTTTTTTTTCATGCAGGCTGTGTCAATCAGAGTTAGGGGAGGTGTGGCAATGGCTGCATAAACAGAACCAAAGTGATTTAACTCCTAAATGGCAGTGAATTAGGCAGTGAAACCTGAGAGGCATGATCTACAATTAAGCTAAAGTTGTTTAGGTGACTATAGTGTTCCTTTAAGGAAGGCATGGTGGGGTCTGGAAAGCTAAATGTTGGTTTTAACGCTATAGGGTCAGGAACATACTTTTGTATTCGTGACCCTATAGAATTCCTTTAAAGAAGCACTCCAAGAACCAAAACCACTTATATTATTATTTATGTAGCGCCAGCAAATTCTGTAGCGCTGTATAATGGCCACACTGTGGTGCCTCCCCGTTGTAAGTAGTGAAACTGTATTCGCTTTGACTTTTTACCTGTGCTCTGCCTCTCTCCACTCCTCTACTAGTGCTGAGGTACCAGGGGCTCTGAGGAGAGCTCTGTTAGTCCACCTGGGCTAAGAACTGTATCTCCAAGCTTAGCAGAGACATAGCTTCAGGCTCTCTGTCGGAAGTAGTGAAGGCAGGGAGCAGTGGGCAGCAGACCCCAGGTTACAGTTCAATCCATTCTAAAATGGTTTGTTTACTTACAATAGATAGGCAGTCTTGGCACCATAACCACTACATAGCGCTTTAGTGGTTAATGTGCTTAGAATGTTTGTTCCTACCGCAGCAAAATTTAATTATAAACACCTAACATTAAATTGGAAGTGTTTGTTTCAGAAATAGTCCAGATGGTTCAGGTAACATGGATAGCAAACGGTTAACCTCTAAAGTGCTCTGTTCTCAAAATATCCAGCTCCCCAAATCTGGTGGATGAGTGTGAGTGAGACCAGGCTAGCTGCCAGGTTGGAGTGTGAGTGGGTGGAGTCCAGTGTGTATCATAATCATAATGAGTCATAATCTGCTTCTAATTCCAGACTGTGAGTCAGAGCAGATAGAGGACCCTCCCACACAGCGTGTGTACGTGCGAGTGTACAATGTAAAGTGTGTGTATGGAGTGGAGCATGTGACAGTGACGTGCATGCATGGAATGGATACATGAACCTGGCAGCCTTCTCTGTTTTGTTTTCATCCAAAAATCTGTCCCTCAGGCCCTCTTCTTGCCTGGTACCAAAGACGTGCCAGATTTGTTTAATGGGATTTGCTTAACCCATCATTGTCATGAAGGCGTAACGTGTGCGTTTACCTGTACACCCAATATCCCTGCCTGTCCCATTCTGTTCAGGCGGTTAGATCTGTTCCCCTTGTTCCCATCTCTCCCCTCTCTCTTCAGCTATCTTCTCCCTGCCAGAACGATCATACTGGCTTTTTAGTTATATTTTGTACGTTACTGGGAGCCCAGTGTATTTTACGTACCCTGCCTGTCCGATGTGTTTTTGATGGCAGTCCCATCTGCCAAGCAGGTTTTGTACAACTCTACGCAATATGTTCTCTATTATTATTTTATTATTTATATAGCTCCAGCATATTCCGTAGCGCTGCACAATAGCGATGTATTGTTAATGTGTCATTCTGTATTTCCCCGATACAGTGCAGTCCCCTGTCTGATCAACCTCTTTCCTCATTATGACTATTCCGTGCTTGACCCCCCAATGTTACCCTCTCCATTTCTCCGTTTTGTGTGTTTCAGACCGGTGATCTCTATAAAACCAGTTGTTTGGTTTACTATAGTAACACTTTGTTCTCTGTTGATCCTTGAATCTCAGATTCTCCTCCATGTCTCATTTCTTCCACCAAAGATTCCGCCCCTTCCCTGGTCTTCTCTTCTACAATTGTTTTTATTATTTTTTTGTTATCTGTATCTTTTTTGTATCTTTTTGTCCCTTGTTCACTCTCCTCCCCTATGTTCTTTCACTCAGTACCTCTATTACTCACCCCTCCCTCTCTCTACCATAACCCCCCCTTCCCCCTCCTGTTTACTATCATGAACTGATTTGACTTCTGTAGCCTGTAATGGGTGGGACTCTGGCTTGCCGACGATGCTGATTGGCTGTCCCTTGGTCTATGCTGGATTGGCTGGAACAGTAACTTGCCGTCTGTATCCTCTCTTCTGCAGTTTAACTCTTCGCATTCCTCTGAGCCTGACTCTCTTCCTGCCTGTCAATAGCGTTTCTCTTCAACATGTTTAATGTTTGAAGGAGAAACTATCATGCTTAAAATAAGAGTGTTTTTGATTCTAAAAGTTTAAAGTAGTTGGCTAAATATAAGAATTTAAAAAAAAAAAATTTATTAATAGAATAAACGTAAGCCTTTTGCAATCCTGGAAGACAATTTGCATTTAATGATGTTCTATTTTGTTTAAATGTATTGATATGCTTAAATGAAATCCTAGTGTATCTTATTTGTAATATTGCATTGAATATTTGAGTATGTATTTATTGTGATTTTAATATACCTATTGTTTATATCATAGGGTAAAAAAAACATCACATGCCGGCTAGGGTTACTCTGTATGCTTTTTGCAATTCCAATGTTCTTTGGCAAGGAACATATAGTAGCCAGTGAGAAGGATCTGATCTTACACTAGTAAATATACAGGCAGAAAGATATTTGGTACCCATATACAAAGCACTGGAATGCTTGGGGGCATCTCTGCTCTTTAACAAAACAAAACAAAACAGATTACAATACTTAGCCCATAGTACACCCCAATGCATGTCTGAACAATTAAGGCAATTATTACAGTTTACAGGTGTTCCCACTGATGCAGTATATGGATTAAATGCTACCCAGTGCTTAAAGAGTTATGTCAAGCATCGTAACCACTACAGCCTGATGTGGTTATGATGCCAGAAGTACTCTTGTTTTCCCCCTTACCTGGTTCCCAGATGTACTCTGGTGGTCCAGTCTCCAGAAGCCATGTGTCAGCTGACCTCTCTCGGCCAATGACTAGCAATCTGTGCAACAAAAGTTGCATAGATTTGACATTCGCCAGCCCGGCATTCTAGTTCTTGTCTGTCTAATAACGTCCCGTGACGTGGCCAGAGGTGGTTACACCTTTTGTAAAGAAGTGGTTAATAATCTCTGTGTGCAGCATTTCAAAGTGAAACCTTGTACATACAGAAGCAAGGCACCATGACTACTTCAAATCACTGAAGTAGTCACGGTGCTTGTAACAAGTCTTTACTGATAAGTCTACTCTAAAGTAAACTTTAAAAGGATATATTCAGTAACAGCAGAGTAGACACCATTGCTAATACAATGTAACTTTTTGGGTAAGAACATTCAAATTTTGACCGTCAATAGTTAGTCAATTTTGAGTAAAGTTTTTCTCTAGTTGTAGTAAAACCTATTGGGATCTTTCAGTTCCTGGAAGCATGCCAAAATCACCACATTTAAAAAGCCCAGAGCAGCTAATCTTGAGGAGAAATATTTGTCCAATTTCAGCAAGTTATTCCCCATTTCTAATGCAGTCATTTCAGCATTGTTGGATTCTCAGTTTGGTTGTCTTCCCAGAATTGTGATATGTTCTGCAAAGACAGAGGTTTGTGTTCTCCAGATTGACTTTCCATGAATTCAGCAACTTGGCCTAGCAAGTCGACCCTTTAAAAGGGCACTCTACCCCCAATGAAAACATGAATTTACTTACTACATTTTTTCCACTGGGAGAATATCTTAACACAACTTGCAGAAGATGCAGATCTCTTGTCTGAAGCCTTAACAAGCCCTCCTCTTATAACCCAGACCAGACTTTCTGTGGCTGTCCAATCACAGACCTCAGCAATGCAACTCAATGAGAAGTCTTTGCAAGGCAGGTTCTCTGGGCTATTGCTAACTCTTGAGTTAAACTCCAGTTAACTAAACAAACCAGGAAGTAGCAGGACTGGTTGTCTGACAGCCAGGTGGGTGTAACTAGGTTAATTTGTAAAATAAAAAATTAATTAAAATAGAAATTGGGGCTTTTATTATTTTTGTAGATAAACTATTACCCAAAAAAACTATTTAAAGGTAGGTATTCGGTGTGTTCCTTTAATGTGTTTTTAAAACAAGAAAACAACACTTTGGGAATATGTACCTGAATACCTGAGCCACGAGAAGAAGAATTTAACCTAAGTTTCCCCAGGTGTTATCTTTCTCAGCCAGTAGCCAAAACTCTGGGTCCAGTTAAAGGACCACTATAGTGCCAGGAAAACAAACTCTTTTTCCTGGCACTATAGTGCCCTAAGGGTGCCCCCACCCTCAGGGTCCCACTCCTGCCGGGCTGAACACTCACCTTTCTCCAGCGCCGGACTCCCTCGGTGGTGGGTACTCTTCTCCTCCTTCGGTCTTCATCGGCTGAATGCGCATGCGTGGCAAGAGCCGCACACGCATTCAGTCAGTCCGTAGGAAAGCATTCTCAATGCTTTCCTATAGACGCTGGCGTCTTCTCACTGTGAAAATCACAGTGAGAAGTGCGGAAGCGCCTCTAGCGGCTGTCAATGAGACAGCCGCTAGATGCTGGATTAACCCATAGGTAAACATAGCAGTTTCTCTGAAACTGCTAGGTTTACAGCAGGCATGGTTAATCCTAGATGGACCTGGCATCCAGACCACTTCATTAAGCTGAAGTGGTCTGGGTGCCTATAGTGGTCCTTTAAGAAAACCATGAAAATATTGTTACTTTATGTCCAATGTCCTGTATCCTTTAAACTGTAAATGAGGTGTTGTAGACAGAATGCCTCATTGTTCGGGGCAGAATCTACCCCAGGCTACTTGGCTCCTTTTAAAAAAATAGCACGAACTGAAAAAAAAACAGCCCACAAAGATGCTGTATTAATAATATAAGGCTTACATTTTTAGTTGTATAACCTCCAGCAAAACGTCATGGTTGTTATTGTGTAAGATATGCAAAGAATTTTGTGTACTGTTATCAGTCTTAATGGTTTGCTTTCATTTGCCCTTACTATAGACCGATAGCTACTGGCCCTACAGATATATGGTTAACGGCTAATCCTTCTAGTAATATACCCGTATACATATACCCCATACTGTACACAGCCTGTGCTTATAGAGATAGGGAGGAACTGGCATTGATAAACCTGTACTGTACACAGCTTGTGCGTATAGGGAAGGACTGGCATAGATATAACCATACTGTACACAGCCGGTGTGTATAGGGAAGGACTGTACACAGCGTGTGCTTATAGAAATAGGAAGGAATTGGCATATATATATATAACCATATTGTACACAGCCAGTGCATTTAGGGAAGGCCTGGCATAGATATACCCATACTGTACAAAGTGTGTGCTTATAGAGATAGGGAGGAACCGCCATAGATCTACCCATTCTGTACACAGCTGTGCATGTAATGAGGTACCACCCAGGGCCGCCACCAGAAATTTTGGTGCCCCTGACACAGCACAAGGTCTGGGCCCCCCCAACCCGCTCCCGCACAGCCCGCCCACAGGACTCCTACCTAGTCCGCTGTAAATGATGCAGGACTGAATGTGGTGTGTATAGTGGAAGTGAATTAGAATCTGTGTAATGGATGTAGTGTTTGTGTGTATTAGATACTGTTTGTGCAGTGAATACAGAGTGTGTGTTTGTGTAGCGGATGCAGTGTGTATAGTGAACGCAGAGTGTGTTTGAGTAGTGGATGTAGTTTTTGTGTGTACTAGATGCAATGTGTTTAGTGGATGCAGTGTCTGTAGAGGATGTAGTGTGTGTATTAGACACAGTGTCTCTGTATAGTGAATGCAGAGTATTTGAACGTGTGGTGGATGTAGTGTGTGTACTGTGAATGCAGGATGTTTGTGTAGTGGATGCTGTGTGTATAGTTAATGCAGAGTGTGTGTCAGTGTAGTGGATGCAGAGTGTGTGTCAGTGTAGTGGATGCAGAGTGTGTGTTAGTGTAGTGGATGCAGAGTGTGTGTCAGTGTAGTGGATGCAGAGTGTGTGTCAGTGTAGTGGATGCAGAGTGTGTGTCAGTGTAGTGGATGCAGAGTGTGTGTCAGTGTAGTGGATGCAGAGTGTGTGTCAGTGTAATGAATGCAGAGTGTGTGTCAGTGTAGTGGATGCAGAGTGTGTGTGTATTAGTGTAGTGAATACAGAGTGTGTGTAGTGTAACACTGAATGCAGTGTTTGTGTTAGTGTAGTGAATGCAGTGTGTGTAGTGTATGCAGAGTGTGTGCTAGTGTAGTGTATGCAGAGTGTGTGCTAGTGTAGTGTATGCAGAGTGTGTGTTAGTGTAGTGTATGCAGAGTGTGTGTTAGTGTAGTGTATGCAGAGTGTGCGTTAGTGTAGTGAATGCAGAGTGTGCGTTAGTGTAGTGAATGCAGAGTGTGCGTTAGTGTAGTGAATGGCAGAGTGTGTGTTAGCGATGATCGCTATATATATGTGCAGTGCAGGTGCAGCCGCGGGCCCCAGCTCCCTATACTTGCAGAGGGGGCCCAGCGGACTGCAAGTGTACTTACAAGCTCTTCCCTCTCTGTAACTCCCGCGAGACTCGAGGCGTGTTGCCGCGGGAGTTACAGAGAGGGAAGAGCTGGTAAGTACACTTGCAGTCTGCTGGGCCCCCTCTGCAAGTATAGGGAGCCAGGGGCCCGCGGCTGCACCTGCACTGCACATATATATAGCGATCATCGCTATATATGTGCAGAGAGTAATTGTGGGGCCCTGGACTGCCAAAGCAGTCCGTGCCCCCCAGGACCGCCAGGCCCGTGACAACCGCCATGGTTGTCACCCCCTGATGGCGGCCCTGGTACCACCATAGATATGTCTAATGTACACGGCCTATGCGTATAGTGAAGAATTGGCATCAATATACCATATACCTGCACACAGAGTGTCATGTGGATGAATGCCAGACGTCTCAGTTCCACACTAAGGGTGCCCATACCTCTGTCTGCTCTAGATAACAATAGTCTACACATACGTCTGCCAGGATCGCTGTTTATCAGTGTTTATGCAATTATTCAGATTTTCGTGTTGCTATTGCCCTAACTAGGGGAAAGTAAACTAATATGGGCATAGAATGCTGATTGGCAAATTCTGGGGTTTAAAGCAGTTTGATCATCTGCCAGAATAATTGGATTATTTACAGAGAGTGATTCCCCATGTGTGACTTTTTTGAACTTTAGCATACAGCGTTGAAGCAGTGTGTAACATGAGCGTGGAAGAGGGGAGTTGCTTCATTCATGGCTGGCAGCGTTTAATCCAAAACCAGAAATTTGCTGATCCTATAACAGTGATGGCATGCTTTGGCCTAAAGTATGGCTGGGCATCATGGGAAATGTATTTCAGTGTAGCCATCACTGTCCCATAAGAACTTTGATTTGAAATGCAGGCTCCAAAAAAAGTCACTTATAACCTGGTCCGGATCCGCATTTGCAATCTGTACATCTAATACTATTGTAGAACTGCCCATCTGAACCTTTGAACTGTGCCTTGAAATGCCCCCGACCTTGGTATCAGTGCTGGCGCAGGTAGAATAACCAGTCATTGTGCCAGCTGTTTAAGGGTCACCTCAATCAAAGTGTTTCTGTAAGGCAGTTCTCTGAAATCACAGTCCTTGGATGCTGCGTTGATGCAGCATTTGGCATAGTTACAGGAAACTTTATACGACAGAATGAGCTGATAACACTCAGTTAGCCTGGTGGGTCTCCCACTGTGTTGTGTAAGTAAAATAGGTTCAGGCAGCATTTATTACATATACTCACGAGAACCAAGAAATAAAAATTCAGAGTTCAACATGTACCATGACTCCAGCATTAATTGATTGCCCCTGTAGTATAAATAATAGTGATGGCTCTACAGCTATAGGTCTTCTTGACTCCCCCTCTTGTCAAATTAAAGGAACAATATATTCTGTATTCCTGACCCTAAAGTGTTAAAAATACTATGTAGCCCCCCTTTGCCCCTATAAATATAGCAAAATGTTACTTTTATTCCAGTCTGCTGTTGCTGGTCCTGCACCTGAACTGCCTCCTTGGCTGACGTCATCAGAAGTGATGATCTCAGCCAATCACAATGCTTTCCAATAGGAAAGCATTGGATTGGCTGAGCTTGCCAATTTTGATGACGTGGGCCGGAGTCAGAGCCCATTGCCACCATGGCCAATCAGCATCTCCTCATAGAGGGATGCATTGAATCAATGCATCTCTATAAGGAAGGTTCAGTGTCTCCATGCAGAGGGTAGAGACACTGAATGTCAATCACACTGTGCAGCACTGCCACAGGAAGCACCTCTGGCAGCCATCTGAGCAATGTTCACTGTAGGTGTCCCTAGGCTGTAATATAAACATTGCGTTTTCTCTGTAAAGACTGTGTTTACTGAAAAAAAGCCTGCAGGGACTGATTTACTCACCAGAGCAAATACAAGAAGCTGTAGTTGTTCTGATGAATATAGTGTCCCTTTAACGTATATCAGGAGACACAGTGACAATTGTAACATTGTGTTAAGATCAGTATATACAAGTCTGCTAATTAATGGAATATTAAAATGGATTTCTAAAAAAATATACACCCACATCTAGGTCCACCAACAACAGTACTAGACCAGCTTTCCAAAATCATTGTCACACGATGCATATGATGTTTGTTCAATAGCGGTTACTAAACCTGATACATTATGTTTTGCACTCAAACCCTGTGTGCTGAATCTCTATTGGGATCGTTGTGTTTAGAACTCTTTCTGTTTCTTGTTGTTCTATGGCAATCTACTTAAAGGACCACTCTAGGCACCCAGACCACTTCAGCTTAATGAAGTGGTCTGGGTGCCAGGTCCTTCTAGGGTTAACCCATTTTTTCATAATTATAGCAGTTTCAGAGAAACTGCTATAATTATGAATGGGTTAAGCCTTCCCCCTAATCCTCTAGTGGCTGTCTCATTGACAGCCACTAGAGGCGCTTGCGTGCTTCTCACTGTGATTTTCACAGTGAGAGCACGCCAGCGTCCATAGGAAAGCATTGAGAATGCTTTCCTATGTGACCGGCTGAATGCGCGCGCAGCTCTTGCCGCGCGTGTGCATTCAGCCGGCGGGGCGTAACGGAGGAGGATCGGAGGAGGAGAGCTCCCCGCCCAGCGCTGGAAAAAGGTACGTTTTTACCCCTTTCCCCCTTCCAGAGCCGGGCGGGAGGGAGTCCCTGAGGGTGGGGGCACCCTCAGGGCACTATAGTGCCAGGAAAACGAGTATGTTTTCCTGGCACTATAGTGGTCCTTTAAATCTGATTTTAGAGCTTTGTTTGCATCAGTAGAGATGTACATGGTAGAGCCTCAGCCATGCCACTCGCTTCTAGAAATATCCTAAATCTAATTCTCTTTGACTTTTCACTTCAATAAATAAGGCCTGATCATTTATTTACCCATTTCTAATCCTGGCGACATTTGACAGGTCAATATTTCTCTGTACCTTTCACACAGTCTGTATTTTAGACAATACAATGCTAACTTAATTAGAAACACACATTTAGGGGTAATTACAAAAACAAAGAAGGGAAAATATATAAATATTTTTAGATTTTGGTAAGATGCTAACCAGCACTGTGTGTGACTGCACATAGGACAAATTGTATAACTGTTTCTTTGATAAGGAGGCCAAGTAGCAGAGGACAATGGTCACTTATTTGAATAGCCTATTGTTTTAGCTTTTTACATTTTTTCACATTTTTAATTAAAACTCCCAGTGGCCTAGTGATTGCGGAAAAGCGTAGTACAATGCTTTGTATACAGTATTATGAAGAGAAAATGCATCTCATAGCTTGTAAAACAAATGTTAGGTTAGATGAAGGTTTATTTGTAAAGTGCAGTTTGAAATGTAACAACGTCTTCTTGCTGTCAATCTGTCACACTCAAGCCATTGGGAAAACTACAACTCCCATGATGCATCATGGGTACTGTATTTCAGTGACAGGTGAGAATCACAGGTTGTTTGTGCAAGTCTAGATCTTACAGAGTATCGCTAAAATATCATGAGTAGTTGGGACATTTACGAGGGCTCAGAATGGGAAAAATTTCACCATCTGGCCTGAGATATTGAGCAGCAAGTTGAGTTTCATCAGATTCTGGGATGTTGAGCGTTAATCAGAATCTCTGTTGCCTTGTTTGCAGATTGTATTACTCAATACTGTAGTAATCAGAGCTGATTTTTCTTGAAATCCATTTGCAGCCTATCGAATGACTCCAGAGAGGTATTTGTATCATGTCCATAGAGGCCTAGTACCTAGAAGGCTACGAGCAACAGCAGCAAAATATATGTAGTTATTATGATTGTTTTTTTTGTTTTGCTGTCTTCCGCAATCTGTATTGGGTTAGATACAGCAGTCCATGTTGAGTTTTTTTGTATTTAACCTTTAAACACCTCAGTTGCTTGGACTCAGTGCCCTGACGTTTACTTACTTTGTGCTTTCTGGAGACTTGTCTCTAGTGTCCCTAGAAATGAGACACCAGGGATCAAAGCCAGGGCACTGGGGGGAAAATTTTGATCAGTCCCAACGAATTCAAAACTGTTGGGAGATATGCTACATGCAGTGTGACCTGTGAATGTTTATCCAGGCACGCGTTTCCAAAACACACGTTCACAAATTGCATATTGTACGGTGGGTTGCATTGGCTAAAATGAGAGTGGCAACATGATTACTAGCTTGCCAGCAGATATTTAAAGCCGCACTGTCATGCCGAACTTACCTTTCCCCAATCGTTTCCTCTTCTCTCCCTCTATCATGGCTTGTTCTTAATTTCTTCCTGTCTGCTCTAGTTTTCTTTAAAACATAAGACTAAGTAGGGACTATTTTGTCTTATGTATTTTTCGTACACTTGACCAGCTCTGACCCAGGGGAGGAGCATAGTCCGCTCCATTTCCTGTGGTCAAAGCAATTTCCCCACAATTCTCACCTTCCTCCTGCAGCTTCATTCGGCGTTCGAATGCCAGCGAAACTACTGAATTTCATCCTAAAAGAATGACAAACGTTTGTCCATTCATATTAGGTTAGGACGAAATTCTGGACTTTTCTTCAGATCGGAATTTCATTCGAATGAGTGAAACTCCGATCCTATTCGTGCCGCGAGTAGAAAGCTCCCTAATTCCCACGATATTTCCCAAATTTACGAATACGAAGTAAAGGTTACTTAGTAATTAATCTGCCAGTGGCTGCTCACTGTTGTTTAAAAAAAAAAACAAAAAAAAAAACCTCCCACTAATTTAATAAAGTGCTCCTTAGTGGGGCACCTATAATAATAATTAATGGGGGGGGGGGGACAAAGTGTCTACTCCCCGAGCCCCCACTCGAGAGGGACCATTACTTGGAGCCCCCTGGCCCCCACCTGTGAACGTGCGGGTGGCGGCCATTAAGTTACAATGGGGGGGAGCCTATTGTCCACCCCACCATCCCCAAGCACCTAGTCACCCCCTCAAATAAAAGCCCACCTACCCCATTACCTTAAAAATAGTGAGGGGGAACCAATAAACCTAAATACCTGGGAGGGGAAATAAAATCATACTTTCCATTAGAAGTCTTTTTTCTTTCAAAACCTTTTTTCAGCCTAATAAAAGTCCAAATAAAAATCCATAATTCCCATCAAATGTATAAAATAAAATAAACCAGAGCACAAAAAAAAAATCCTGACACTAAAAAAAGAATCCATCTTCACCCAGCGAGGGCACCATGCAGACTGAGCTCCGCAGGGCGGGAAAGGCTTATAAAGCCTTCCCACGCCCTGCAATTTGATTTAGAGCGCTCTGGTTGGTTTAATCAGCATCTACTCATAGAGATGAATTTAATCAATGCATCTCTATGAGGAAAGTTCAGTGTCTCTATGCAGAGGATGGAGACTCTGAATGTCAGTCACACTGTGCAGCACTGCTCCAGGAAGCACCTCTAGTAGCCATGTAAGGAGTGGCCACTGGAGGTGTCCCTAGGCTGTAATGTAAACCGTTTTTACTGGAAAAAGCCTGAAGAGACGGACTATACTCACCAGAACAACTACATTAAGCTGTTTTGGTGACTAGAATGGCCCTTTAAAGGACCACTATAGGCAGCTAGACCACTTCAGCTTAATGAAGTGGTCTGGGTGCCTGGTCCAGCTAGGGTTAACCCCCCCTTTTTTTTTTTTTATAAACATAGCAGTTTCAGAGAAACTGCTATGTTTATAATATGGTTAATCCAGCCTCTAGTGGCTGTCTCATTGACAGCCGCTAGAGGCGCTTGCGTGCTTCTCACTGTGAAAATCACATTGAGAAGACGCCAGCGTCCATAGGAAGCATTGTAAATGCTTTCCTATGAACTGGCTGAATACGCGCGCGGCTCCTGCCGCGCATGCGCATTCAGCCGATGACGTCGCTATGGAGGAGGAGAGCTCCCCGCCCGGCGCTGGAGAAAGGTATGATTTTAACCCCTTCCTCTCCCCCAGAGCCCGACGGGAGGGGAGCCCTGAGGGTGGGGGTACCCTCAGGGCACTATAGTGCCAGGAAAACGAGGCTTTTCCTGGCACTATAGTGGTCCTTTGAGGAAGTTGTAGTTCCACACTTAGCACTATGTTTGACTGGATTCGATGAAAGAAACTGCTGTCCAAGCTGAAACTGTAGCAGATTTTTGCCTGCTATAATTTCCATTCCTAGTCCTTGTGAGTGGCTCTATCAGAATATACTGCAGCTCACAGCGGTTTTATAGGTTGGTTGGGATGGATGTCATAGAAGCACAGAGAATCCTTGGCATCAGTGACGTAGGTTGTGCAGGCCTCATTTCCACATATACACTGTGTCTTTAACACTTAAATGCCACAGCGTCACAATGCCAGAGGCAGCTACCAAGTGTTGCTATGTCAGTAACCCAACCATCCATATGATGGCTATCACAAGGATTCAGAGGAACAGCAGGCATATATACATATGTATATTTCAGTGTGTGTTACATGATGTGTGTGGCAGGGCCCATACCGCATTATATGACATTGTACGGATACGTTTTGATTCTGTCAGTGTGTGTGCCTGTGTTAAATGTCCAATGCAGATGTAACGGTGTGCTTATTGCTGAATTGTCTGCATGTTGTATTGTGTCTGAGGGAGTATGTTACAAGGTTTGCATGGCAACACTTGTCTGTGGAAGGGTATGTGACATTGTTTTGTTTTTGTTTTTTTAGTTAAACTCTGAATGGTACATTGAAAACCGAATTGCTAAATTTATTTTAAAAATCTGATTTGGAGAAAATCACAACCTAGCTATTTTAGCCTCGATTTGTCTTTCAGTAAACCACCTTGTAGTGTTTATTGAATAAATCCTTTGTGTAAGAGCATGTTTGTGTGACATTCTGTATCTGCATGTTTGTCACAATGTGTTTGCAACATTGTCAATGTCGCTGTCTCTCTCTATTGTCTGTCCTTCCTTGTGTCTTTGTGTCCTGGTCTGTTCTTCTTTCATTGGTGCGTGTGAGTCTCCCTGTGTTTCTGTTTCATTGTGTGTCATGCTTGTGACTCACTGCTATCTATAGCACAAATAAACAATTACACAGATAGTACAACTGCAGGGTCCTGAACCAGCCAATCACAAATGGCTATGGTCACCGTGGGAACAGCATGTGTAGGCGGAGCTTTTAAAGAGCAAGCACAGGCTGATGTGTAGACTCCAGCTAAGCCTGCCAGATTGTGTACACAGGAGAGTCATGTACTGCTTGTGTGTGTGTTTATTTTAATGTGTTTACTTAGAGAAGGAAAATTATATATCATTGTTATGTTTTTTGTATTTTCTATGGGTTACATCTTCAGTAAACATAATTCTTTGTATTGCATTAAGTTATAGAAACTAAATATAAAATATAAATAATAAATTAACAAAAAGGGTGAGCGAAAAGCACAGGCGCTGCATAAAATCATAATATAACAATTAGATTCATGATGGTAAGCCTTTGGCACTCCAGCTGTTTAGGACCATTGTCACAGAGGGATACATAGAATTAATGAGTACACTGTATGTGGACACCCCAAAACATCATATGTTGACCCTGTACCCTATGAATGCAGCACCATTCACAAGAGCTGTGTTATTCATGGATTTGGTTATTGTATTTTCTAAACTGACTTTTTTTTTTTTTTAATTTTCAGACAGAATAGCTAGACTTAAAATTATCATTAGTCACCACTTGGCTTTCTGTCTTGAATTTTGAAATTTGATTTCCAGTTCTCCATAATTCACGGTTTAGTGAATTAACCCTTCAGTGATTTTGAATATGCCATTTTCAGTGCTTTTCTTTAATAGTGAATCTTTGATATCTTTATTTTCTAAGAAGATCGTTACTGAATGGCCTATAATTAGCTACAGAGCCTTTTATGTTTCTAGATTGTAAGCGTGTTGGCAGTGCCCTTTCTCGAAGTACTGTATCAAGCGCTTCATAAATTGACTCCATTAAAAACAGATGTTAATAATTACTAAGAGTGTCTGTAAAAGCTTTGTGCAGCCTCCAGACACGCAAAGATGTAATCAGTCACCTACAGAGAGAGACAAAAACTCAAATATAGGCAGGATAAATTTGGCGAAATGCATTTTACATCTTTTAATCCATTTTATTCAACCTTTTTTTCACTTTCTTTGCCTCCCTCCCTTCCGGGTCCGCCTGTCCCTCTTATTCTAGGCACACAGCCCAGAGTTCCCACAGCAGGAGGCCCCTTACCCCTTTTTTCTTGCTGCACGTCTTAGGTTTTTCTTTGCTGTAAAGACCCTAAGATGTAACTCCCCCCTCCCGCCTGTCCTGTATTCTCCTGGGATAACCTTGTTAGAGAGGCACATTATTTGAGAGAAGGTCTGAGTTTCCACAGCTTAGGAGACGTCATTTAGAGTACCTTCCAGATGTGCAGAGGGGTATACTAACCAACATCTGGCAGCCGGCAGCATGTGGCATCTATTAGATGCACAGGGAGGAGAATATACTTTTCTGTGGGTTAGGCAGCAGAAGAGAATGGCTTAACAAGGGACATGTCATTGTGGGAATTTAATGGAACCATTATTTTGTACAATTACGCTGTTCATACTGCAAAAGTTTAAGGTCACCCTGACCAATAACTTATTATATTTCAGAGAGAGCAGAGTGGTCTGCCCTACTCGTTGACAGTTGCAAACAGCAACATAAACTACACTTAAGGGAAAGGGCTGGATACTGATAGCAATGGATATCTTACATAAAACAAAATGATGCATAGAAATATGGTCTTCATCTGGAGATAAGAAATTAACCTGTTTTAGAGAAGAAGACATCCTAATGCAATAGAATAGGAAACCTACATTCAGATATTCTGCTATCTTTAAATGTGGTCTAGCGTTCCACTAATGAAGTCATGGCTAATATTCTGGCTCATTCTGATGATCTCAGTAATGCCAGGATGTAATTTGTAAGAAGTAGATTTGAGGGAAAGTGGGCCAGGGTTAAGATAGTAGTGAGTCACTGATCCAGTTCTAATGTCTTTGCTGTACACAGCGGTTTGTTGCATTGAAGCAGCCCTTGGTGGGTGTTGGAGAAATGCTTCCGTCTAATTGCTTAAAACCTGACTGTAAGGAGGTGGGGGTGAACATATCATATGTTCCTACTTTTCTGTCAATTCATATCTGATTCCAAAACAAATCTATGTGCATGCATCCTGTTGAGGAGTGCAGCAAGATGTTGGGTTGTATAGTACACACTGAACATCATGCTGGTCGAAGGAAACAGTGGGATATCAAGGTGTTAGACATCACGTTTGGAGGTAGCAGGTTGTTGGGGGTTAATTGTGTCAGAGCAGGATTAACCCTAAAGTGACCCCCGCTTAGGGCCTGGGACCTAGACAGGGGTCACGGAGCCATAATGAATTTGATTGGCTCCATTTACCATCCCCATGGAAAGAGTGAAGCAGGGACCCAAACTGGAAACATGTCTAGGGACCTGTGAAACAGCAGTCAAATGTTGAGGTCTATGGGGAAAGGGGTTGGAATATATAGACGGGAGCAGTTATTGGGGTTTGCACTCTGCCATGCTGTCTGTCAAGCAGTATTATCAAACCGTAATGTACTGAACAATGTCTTCTTTCAGACAGTGGCCGGATGGGTTTAAATATTTGTCTTCTTAAACGAGTAAAACATGCTGGCTGTACTTAACAAGATGCATGCTTAGGAATGCCATCTTACTGAGGGGAGGGGTAGACCGTATCCTCTTCCAGTAAACGTAAAGTATGTGGGCCCCCTGCCGCTGGGCCCCCGGTGACAGACATGGCTGAAGTTTATCCTTCTTAAAGATGTGTTATTATATAGCTGTCATTATAGCGCAGGCAGCTGCACTCACAGCAAACTCCCACCCCTCTGTTTACTCACATTACATTATTCACTGTCACTGTATGCGATGATGCCAGTCATTAGCAATCTCATGCTCAGACACCATAGAGTTTAACCCAAAAGTGTCAAAAAACTCAAGGGATTGAAATCCAGCTTGCAAGCCAAGAGCTTGCAATTCATTTGATATTGAATGGGCACAATTAATCTTTCTTTTTTTTTGCGTAAACGGAAATCACATTAAACGTAAGCCAGATTTTAAAATGTCACATGGTCGTTTTACTGTGTCCAAATTTACTACTGTCCAGTATAAATATTTATTTTTCTCAATTTAGGTACCCGTTTCCTAATTTCTAACATAAATTCAGAGTCAAAATATTAAATGTGACATTTTTATGCTCCTCTATTTTTAAAGTTGTTATAGCATACAGAGATAAATGTCTTGATAAAAAAGGCACGGTAAGCAATACTCATTTAAAAATGGTTTGATATAAAATGATGGTCTTTCTGGTGTCCTACCTCACCATCTGTGCTGCATCCTTAATTCTGCATTATCACTTCTCCACTATCAATCCTAATTTTGTCCAACCTGGATATTGGTTGGTTGAGTTTGCTGGGGAAAGGTTTTAGCCTGGCTCTTACGGACTATGTATTTTTTTTAGTGAAATTGACATTGATAATGTGCAAGTATTACCCAGGACATACTTGAAAACGAGAGAAATCTCAATGTATCCATCCTGGTAAAATATTTTTAAAATAAAATAAATTGTACCATGATATAAAATGCATAGCATCGTATTTATTCTCAGTGCCCTGAATTATGCAGCCCAGATCTTGACTTCCAGAGCACCCACTGTGCCCAAGAAACCACTCCTCACTGTAAATAACAGTGGCACATTGTTGCAGTGAGCAAAATGCATTCTATTTTCATGCTAAAAGATAGGACAACTTGCTCCACACATTTTGTGTCAAAATGTGCATTTCTGTTAAAAAAAAAAAGTCCATACAGTCGGCCCCCCCCCACACACGTGTGTATGTGTAATTCTTGATTTTTACTGTGTTTTTTCTGAGCTATAAAATATGATTGATGTTTTAGAAGTTGTATCTGGTATTAAAGAGTCCCCTATATCCGGGTACTGGAGGACAGGGAGGGTGCTGCTCTTTGGTTCTCCTGCACCCCCAGCCTATTCCTTCCCATCAATCTGTGACTGAGCTCCCTCTCTCTCCCCAGTCAGCTCCATGTCGCCCCTCCTCCTCCTCCCAGCTAAACTCTCTGCCCCCCTCCTCCCAGCTAAACTCTCTGCCTCCCCTCTCTCTGTGTGTCACCCTCTGTGTGCCCCCCTCCCTCTGTGCCCCCCTACCCCCCTGTGTCTCCAGTCATGGCTCTGAGGAGGTTGTAGCAGGACAGGGTATGCATCTTTCCCCGGTCAGCTCCATGTCGTCGTCCCCTCCTCCTCCCAGCTAAACTCTCTGCCCCCCCCCCCCCAGCTGAGCTCTCTGTCATCGCCCCCTCCTCCCAGTTGGCTCTGTCCCCCTTCCTCTTCCCAGCTAAACTGTCATCGCCCCCCTCCTCCTCCCAGCTGAGCTCTGTCCCCCAGCTAAACTCTGTCATCCCCCCCTCCTCCCAGCTGAGGCTATCTGTCCCCATCCATCTTGTCTCCAGTCATGGCTCTTGGGAGATTGTAGCAGGACAGAGTATGCACCCCTCCTCCCTCTCTCTACCCCCCTGTGTCTCCAGTCCTGGCTCTGGGGAGGTTGTAGGAGGACAGGGTATGCACCTTCTCCCCTCCCTGTGTCTCCCCCTCTCCAGTCATGGCTCTGGGGAGGTTGTAGCAGGACAGGGTATGCACCTCCCACCCCTGTGCCTCCCCAGGTCTCCCCCACCCCCTGTGCCTCCCCTCCCTCCCTGTGTCTCCCCTCCCTCCTGTCTCCCCCCTCCCTCCCCTGTGTCTCCAGTCATGGCTCTGGGGTTGTATGGGACAGGGTACCTTCCGCCCCTCCCTCCATCTTCCCCCTCCCTCCCTGTGTCTCCCCCCCTCCTCTTCCTCCTCCCTCCCCCCCTCCCTCCCCTGTGTCTCCCCTCCTCCCTCTCCTCCTGTCTCCCCCTCTCCCTCCCCTCTCCTCCCTCCCCTCTCTCCCTCCCTCCTCCCTCCCTCTCTCCTCCTCCCTCCCTCTCCTCCTTCTCCTCTCCCTCTCCTCCCTTCTCCCTCTCTCCCTCATCTCCCTCCTCTCCTCCTCCCTCCCCCGTGTCTCCAGTCATGGCTCTGGGAGGTTGTAGCAGGACAGGGTATGCACCTCCCCCCCTCAGCCCTGGCTCCCAGCTCCCTCCCCCCCTCAGCCCTGGCTCCCAGCTCCCTCCCCCCGTCCGATGTGTCACACACACTCTCACTGCACTGACTCTCCAGCCAATCCCCGCCCCAGAATCCTGTGACATCACATCATTACCAGCCCTGTCAGTCAGGGGAGTCGCGCCCTGACCAATGAGCGCGCGGCCATCGAACAGCCCGTCATTTGCATATGACTGACATTCCAGCGGCGGCCAGTCAGCGAGCGGAGCGCGTGAGAGGCCTGATTTGCATGTGAATGACACAGCGCGGGCAGCCAATCAGGGCGCAGAGCGGTAAATGGGCATGCGTAGGGGGGGGGAGGAGGCGGGGGCGAGGCCTTGTCCCTCCTCCCCCCTCTCAGTGTCTCAGCTCAGAGGGGGAGAGTGAATGGTTCCTGCTGATCCATGTTCCGGGCCGGAGGGGAGCGGAGGGACAGCAGCACACACTCAGTCACTCAGTCACTCAGTCAGTCAGTCAGTCAGTCAGTGAGTGAGCCCCAGAGCCCGGGCCCTGCAGCCAGCCTGGGAGTATCCTGCTCCATCCTCCCCACTGACTAGGAGCTCCCCCTGGTCTGTGCAGCCAGGAGCTGGCCATTGCTGCTCCAGGGATCCTCCTGGCACAGTGCCCCATCCCTCCTGCCATTACAAGCATTTGTTATTGTTTTTCAGCCCTGCCCCTCGTGGTATCACAGGAGAGGGCACCCGGGGGAGTGTAACACTGCCTCTGCCAGCCTCTCACATCCAGAGAAGGCGTCACAGTCCGGCCACTCGTCCGCACCACTGGACCACCAGCTGCTCCTTTTATAGGGTATAACCCGGCACAACGCCTGGCACTACGCCGTGAACTTACCTGCAACCTACCTGTCATCGCTTGGCGTTGTCACTCAGCGCAGCCGTCTGGACGTGGTCTTTATTGTAGGATCTTGGGACAGTCTTTCAAATTTGTAGGTGACTTAACCGTTCCATTGGCATTTTTGTGGACTCCCACTTTGCCATTGCCCAGTGGGGTCAGGAGTATGACCAGGAATATTTTCTGCGGACAGTGGCAGCGCTACCCTGTGATGCCCACCGAGGTCAGGCAGTGACCGCTCGCAGGGCACTTGTATCGTCAAGAGACGGCGCCCCCAAAGATCAACATGTTCTCCTCAGAGAAGCCAAGCCCTCCCCGTGCTCTTAGCATGTTTGGTTAGTGTTTTTATTTGCGAAACTTTAACAAAAAAAACAAGAGAAAAGTTTCCCCCAAAATGCATTGGCCAGCGTAAAAATGTATTAATTTTTTGTTTTTTTTCTCAGAGCAACAAATTAGAGCAAAAAACCTTACCGCTTTCATCATTAGATCCAGGTGGCGACTGCACATATGCGTCTAAATATTTTGTTTTATGCAGAGTTACCTTTGCAAATGGATTGATGCTACATTTTATAGTGTAGTCTATTTTTGTTTGAGTTGTAGAGTGCATTTCAGGATACATTGTGTTTTTTTTGTTTGTTTTTTTGGGTGGGGTGTCTTAGTGTAAAGGCTGACTTTTGTACCCTTTTTCTAATGCCATGTGTAGGTGCTGTGCGAGATCAGTACATGTGGTGCTTTAGGAGATGTGTGTTGTAAGTGTTAGGAGTACACATCTGTGATTGAGGTCATATAACCATGAGCCGTGTGTAAATGTGTGTGAGCAGTTTCAGAAGGAGGGAGTGGGAGGGATTTCGTTAATGTGCCAGTCACTTGCCACCCCCGCAACCTCCTCCCAGATACATTCTGCTCCCCGATCTGGTCCAGCCCCTGGTTGTAAATGATTTAATAAAGTCGTGCGCTAAGTGGGGAGTCCTTCCAGCAACCCCCCACCCCCCTTTAAGCGCCATAACCACACTAAGATCTTGACAAGACCATAATGTGGATGACTGTGTCTGTATGCTTTATAGTAAATAAATCTGATTTGGCGATAGATTTAATTTCCCACAGCAGCATGTTTGAGGAGTGATGGGTCTTGTATGTCAATAATAATAAAAGCTAAATTTGGTATATATTATAACGTTCGGTTAGAATGGTGCTACAGGTTGTGATTTTTATTTTTTAACCCATTACTAGAGGGGCTGGAAACAGATTCCTTTTTAATGTGTTTGAATTCTCTGGTAGCATTAGAATCAACATCCAGAAATGATCGTGTGCGATTCAAGTGGGGCAGTGTGTTTGACTGAATTTTGGGTTCTAAAGTTGCATTATTTAAGATTTATTCAATTAGCAGTTAATTGTGAATATGCCCAGGACTGATTTGCAAACGAGGTGGTTACAAAATAGTGGTACGGGCGAATTTCAGATGGGTATGGTATATTGACAAATATGCTTACTTGGCTAGATTTGTCAAATGGAAAATGGGCTGAATGCGTTCCATTTGAAACTGATTATTGTGTGCTGCCTGGGTGATGATGGGAATTAACTGCACAAGAGTGATTTGTTTATACCGGGGTTTGACCTATAAAGGGTGCCACGGGAAAGAAGCATGGGGCTTCACAATTTCAGTTTACCAATACTGTTGCTGGGCAAGTGGCTTAACATAAAAAGGCCACACACAGGAATGTGGATGTTGTAACATATGGTAACCCAGTGTTTAGGTTGTCTGGATACCCAGGAAATTTACCGTACTAGAACGGCCAACAAGTCAGACTTCTACCAGTAGATCTACAACTCCTGTTGTACATCTATTGGGGTCTGTGTTTGTCTCCATGTTATTATATATATTAAGCCAGGCTCTATAGATACATTTATATAGCATGTTTTGTTTGACTTGTATTTGACCCATTTGAGTTTAGAGTTTAATTATTTTTTTCTTAACATTTTCTTAAGTTCTTCCATCATATTGCAGGGGTTTTTGCGTGTGATTGGCGAAAGATTCCTGATAACACTTCATTTTGGAGCCTAATATGTCTGTGCACACATCACTAAATGCAGCCACACTGACCTCTGCACAAATAAATGCTGCATACACACCCACATTCATCCCTTCACGGATGTAAACACATGTGCACACAGACATATATTAATTGACTTCATCACAAATGCAACCCCCTTTATTTTATGTTATCTGATCCATTTCTATCCATCATGAATATTCCTCACTTTTACAGAAAATAACCTTTTATTTAAAAAATCATCAAGATGCATCAATAAATGTATGTGTGAATACATAATCCATTCTATTCAAATACTCTCCTTGTTGGGGAAACCAACAAGGGACAAACCATGCTTACTTTTCACCTACTGAGCTGCTGCAGAATTTAGATGGGGAACTGCAAGCTTACATGTCCAGAGATGCTCTTGGAGAACCTGTTCTTGCTGGTTCCTGAACGATTATCTTTTTGATAAGTTTATTATGACCATTTCCAAAACCCCAGATTTTGTCATCCCTTGCTGTGTTTGGTCAACATTTGACAGCTAGAGAGATATCTAGTAAAAAGCAGAGACACTATTCTAGTGGGTCAGATTGTACCCCTGGTATGCAGTTTAGCCATATTTTTCTTTTGATATATTTATTTAGTGACAGAATGTTATGGTAATATAAATTGTACACCGATTTTAAGCAAAATTGCAACTATTTTCATAACACCAACATATTCTGGAACGCCGTAAACGAGGCAATCCTTCAATTCTAACAAAGCACATTTGGCGTATGGGAAGAGGGTCCTGCCGAAACAAGCTTACAAACGAACTCCCACATATCACAATTATATTTCTTTATTTTTTTCCTTGAAAAGGTGCCTCTAAAATTCTGCTTGGAAAATTCCCCTCCCCCTCCCAGAATGCTTTGCAAGATATGCAAATATATCGTTTGCATTTTTTTGCTCATCACTTTATTTTTGGCTGGGTTGGGATTTAAGTTGCCATTCACAGTCAGGAGTAGTTTTATTTTCCGTAGGGCTGTACAATGGGTAAAATTTTAATGGTGCCAAACTCATTGAGGTATGCGGGAACATGAAGTGATCGGATCCATGATCACCGTTTACAGGATGGCCATACAGTATTGCGGTGTAGAATACCTTATTGATTAATACATTCCATAATGCAGTAATCTGATCCTTTGCATCTGCATCTCTGGAATAACAAGTCAACTGCAAACTATATAAATATGCATACATTCTCAATTTATATCCAAGGTCTTCTGTCTCCTTTCATTGTTGATGTAGACTAGAAACACGTATAAAACCAGCAGCTCTGTATATAACACTACTAGGCCTGGCAGTGTTTGACGCACCATCACAGTGCTGCACTGTGTGGTGGGTAATTGGGGTAGCTGTCAGGTAGTGCTGGAGGGATAATGGTTGCGACGTGAGGATGTGGTATACCAAGGCTAGCGCCAATGAGTAATTGGAGGTTCTATCTTGTGTTGGGGCTGTTGTTCACCCCTTGTTTGTGTGTGGCCAGGGTGTTCAGGAATGTGATGGGGTAACTGAACACACCAGGTCCCGTTGTGTATACGGGTTGGAAGTGTTTTCTGTGTTGTGTTGCCATCGAGTTGTTCTATTGTAGCGGGGCTGTTGATCAGTGCTGGCATAGGTTTTGTGACGTAGTTCTTGAAGAACTCCATGGGGTTTTAATGGCTATATGCACCAGTGACTGAGACCCCTCCTAATTCTTGGTTGTGTAAACATCCCTTGATGCACCTGGTGTGGCATAATTGAAATCTAGCAAATTAATATAATTGCAAACAAAATGTGTGTGTGTTTGGCTCTGTCCTTCCTGATGTCCATGCTGTGTCTGTGACATGTATCTGTAAATGTTTACATATATATACTGATGGCAATGCTTACACACTGTCTATATGCATGAATTTATGCTGCACAGCAGGGGTGTTTTGAACATTGTATGCTAATATAGTGTACCTTGTAAAGTGTGTTTACGTGGAGCTGTGCCCATCCCGTGTCACTGGACATTTCTGAGGTTGTTTGCAAGGTCAGGGCAATTCTGAGAAAACAGGAACTGCAACAAAGAAGCCCTTCCTGCCCCAACCTCCTTAGCTGTGCTCTCTCTGGCTCTGCTTAGAAGCAGCATGCTTTAATTACACCAATCTGTTTACCTCACTTTATACCAGGGCAGTCCAACCTGCGGCCTCCCAGATGTTGCTGAACTACAACTCCCATGATTCCCTGGCTATCTGTTTAATTGAAAGAATCATGGGAGTTGTAGTTCAGCAACATCGGGGGGGGGGGGAGCTCAGGTTGGACAGGCCTGCTTTAGACCTTCAATGGCTGGCCTGGCCCCCAAATGTTTTGGAACGACATAACCCATAATGCTCAGCCACCTCTAAAGGGAATGCTATGAGGGAATCACTGCACCTTTTCACCCAGCTGTTAATTAATTTTTATGTATGTGCACATTCAGGTCCCTTTTATCTGGCCCCAAACATGTTGAATAATTGCACTTTGAGTCCCTGGCATGTATGACTCTCAGAAAATGAGCAGATGAGCTTAATTCTACTTATAAAACTGACCATGCATTTATAAATGAGTAGTGATTTCCTGTAATCCATAAACTTTAAAGAGGAACTACCACTTCCTTCCCAGGATTTTTTTTAGTATTTATTAGAAATATGCATTTTTATGAGGTCTGAAACATGAGATGTAGAAATTCCCATAATAGGATTGGGTGCCTTCACCATGGCGTCTCTGTGTCATTGTTATAAATGTTGCCCTTTTCTGCCATTAAATATAGTAAAAGAGGAGAAACGGAAGTAATGTTTCTGTTATCTTCCTTATTTGAATTGTGTGTCTTGGTTCTGCTGGGATAGAACCAGATCATGATGCCACTTGCTAAAACTTTACAATGTAGAAATAAGGGTAAGACGAACGTTCTAGTCCAGGGATAGGCAACCTTCGGCACTCCAGATTTTTTGGACTACATCCCCCATAATGCTCTTACACCCTTAATGTTGGCAAAGCATCATGGGAGGTGTAGTCCAAAACGTCTAGTCAATGATTTTGGTTTTTAGAGGAGTGTCAGTTCCACTTTAAAAATAATTAATTGGATTGGAGAATATGCTTTTTCACTATCTGATCTGTGATTTAGAAAGGCTGGATTTATTTTAATATGTAGCATACACTTTTATTTGCAAATATTTATTATTGTATTTATTTATTCATTTCCTGTTTTAAACTTAAAGGGACACAATAGTCAATAAAACTACTTTAGCTTATTGAGGCCGTTTTGGTATATAGCTCATGCCCCTGCAGTCTCACGGCTCAATATATTGCCATTTCTTAGTTAAATCACTTTGTTTAAGCAGCCCTAGTCACACCTCCCATGAAAAGAGAGCTCTAATGTTTAAACTTCCTTACTTGCACAGTATGTTCAATTTAGAATTGATCTCCTGCACTGTTAATAGCATGTTGTAGCCTCCTATGTGTGATTAAAGTTTAATTTAAAGTGTTAAGAGTAAAGTAAGTTAATATCTGAAAATGAAAGCATTTTTTTTCATGCAGGCTGTGAGAGTCACAGCCAGGGGAGGTGTGGCTAGGTCTGCATAAACAGAAGCAAAAGTGATTTTACTCCTTAATGGCTATTGAGTATTGAGCAAGACTGTGGGGACATGATCTATAGATCAACATTGCTTTGTCTAAAAATAAATTAACAAATCTCCTGAGAGTTCCTTGGTTACTAGGAGGAAGTGGCTGAAAGGAACGCATACCTCTTAAAGGACCACTATAGTGCCAGGAAAACATACTCGTTTTCCTGGCACTATAGTGCCCTGAGGGTGCCCCCACCCTCAGGGTCCTCCTCCCGTCTGGCTCTGGAAGGGGGAAAGGGGTAAAAACTTACCTTTTTCCAGCGCTGGGCGGGGAGCTCTCCTCCTCGGATTCTCCTCCCCGTTGGCTGAATGCGCACGCGCGGCAAGAGCTGCGCGCGCATTCAGCCGGTCACATAGGAAAGCATTATCAATGCTTTCCTATGGACGCTGGCGTGCTCTCACTGTGAAAATCACAGTGAGAAGCACGCAAGCGCCTCTAGCGGCTGTCAATGAGACAGCTGCTAGAGGAATTGGGGGAAGGCTTAACCCATTCATAAACATAGCAGTTTCTCTGAAACTGCTATGTTTATAAAAGAATGAGTTAAGCCTAGCTGGACCTGGCACCCAGACCACTTCATTAAGCTGAAGGTGTCTGGGTGCCTAGAGTGGTCCTTTAAAGTTGTAGAACCGCAACACCTATGATGCTTTGCTGGGCTTAAAGCAGTAAAATCAGCACTGACTATGTTCTGTGCTAGAGGGTATTTATTTTTATTTTTTTTTAAATTTCCTGCTTGACTCACTTCTTTTTTTTTTCAGTTTGGACTAATGTAGAGCCACGATCTGTTGCGGTGTTCCCTTGGCATTCCCTGGTACCTTTTCTGGCTCCAAGCCAACCCGACTCATCCGTCCAGCCCAACGAGGGACAGCAGCCCGTCAATCACCCTGGGGGATTAAATCAGAGCAAAGGTAATCCAAATTCCTGTTTCCCCAAATCACTAGTCATGTCATATGCTTTGGTTATCACAAGGGCTTCTTTCCTATTCTCCTCAGAGCCCCCAGAGTCTGCATCGGTGGCACATGAACCTATGACTGTGCCGAGCAACGATGAGGATAGGTGTGTTGCTTCCCACACAGACACAGGGCCTCCACCTCCTAGTGAAGAGCATACGAAGCACCCACCGCATCAAGAGAGCATAACACAGGGTGCCACTGGGGACCAGAGAGGGGATAGTGAGACTGAGAGTGACCACGATGACGCGTGAGTGAGACCACACTACAGATCTCCTATTCCCTCCACACATTTTTCTGTCCACTCTGCCAGGCTCTTGTAGTACAAAGCAACTTATGGGCAGTGCGTATCCTTTTGTTAGGAACCAAGGTATAGTGGGGTAACAGTAGTGCCCAGTTTCTATGTTTCCCTTGTAGTGTAGTGTAGCGTTTGGTGTGGGCAGTTCCAGATTTTTGTTTTTACCATTACCAATGATGTAAGGGCAGTGCTAGGCATGTTACGGATTGGCATCGTATGGCGACTACCTAGAAAATATATTGTAGTAGGAGTTGATTTGGTAGTGAACATGTCTTTATTCTCTGTGTAGTACATTGTTTAGGGTGGGTGGTGCCAGCTTCTGTTGTTCTCTTACAAATAATGTTGTGCTAGCAGCGCCACTTATTTCTTTACTCCAGGGTAGAAAACAAATTCTCCTCCTTCAGTCCTTTTACAGACTTACATTGGTTAATGCAGTTAGTATTTGGCCCATCTTGTTTGCTCATATTCTCCTCCTTTTAAACAAATGCCTCTTTGTAGTAAAGTCCCAACTAGCTTTTATATAGCTAACTATATGTCAACTTGCTTGTTACCCAATTTCATTGTGGAGCATGACTGTCCCATAAATTCATGTCCAGCAATGGTTTCTCCGTACCAAAAGATCTAGCGGTTTATGGGAGAATTGACAAGGCAATTGCTGTTTTTGGGCTAAAATGGCTAATAGGATCAATTCTTCACCTTTGGACCAATATCTGTAATTTCTAGATAATTCACATTCAGAGTTTGATTGTTCATGTTTTATCCGTGCTAACTATTCTCTCTCTGATACAGGTTCTTTTCTATTGGACCACCAGACTTGCATCTTCCAGTACATGCTGGGAAGCGTCGGACACAGTCTCTTAGTGCTCTTCCCAAGGATCGAGACTCTTCCTCTGAGAAGGATGGACGAAGCCCCAACAAAGTGAGTCTGCTCTCAGAAACACAAATGATGTTGTAGAGCTGTTCAGGTTGTGATTGCTAGCATAACATCTTAACATATCGGGCATAGGACATTCCTAGCAATTGCAAAATAAGGAAAAAAAATTGACACTTCCCTCTTATATGTCCATAGGGTTTCAAATTTCTTACACTACTAGTAAGTGACTTGCAGTGGCGAGTCCATTTTATGGCCCTGCGAGGGACTTGCCTTTTTTAAGCTGGATGTGTATGAGTATATTTACACAATATTCTATGTATAGAGCTCAAAATTTCATTTTGCAACTAGCTATTAAGGAGTAATATTTTAAGCTGGGAAATAGAAATTCACCCCTGGTGACTAGGCTTTGATTTACACTGTGAGTAACTTTTAAAGCCTAGCTAGTGGCATAGAATTTAGGATAGTATGCCCCTTGTACATATGTTTATATATTATATTGTGTGTATTTTTCTTCTTTTTGCCAGCGAGAGAAAGATCATATTCGCCGTCCCATGAATGCCTTCATGATCTTCAGTAAGAGACACAGAGCCCTGGTGCATCAGCGCCACCCAAATCAGGATAATCGTACTGTCAGCAAGATCTTGGGGGAGTGGTGGTACGCTCTGGGGCCCAAAGAGAAGCAGAAGTATCATGACCTGGCTTTTCAGGTACTGGAGATGAAAAAGGAGGTCCATTTGAGCTTGCTATTGATCCAAATAGCTTGCTGTAAAAAAAGGCATTCATTAAGCTGTACATGAATCACCGACTGAAGGCCAGGTTCATCTGAAAAGACCAGATATAGATTAGTATAGTATTGAATTAGGCAAAATACTGTGAAAATATGGAGTTTGAGCAGAAATAAGGCCATTGGTACATGTGCCATGATTCAACAGGTGAAACGTTACTGGTCAGGATAAAGCTTTTTGTTCTGGATGCTCTTATGGAAATCTGAAGTCTGTTTATTGATCTTTTTCAAATGGATTCATTTTGGCTGTCAGTTAGCACTTTCCCTTTAGGTCTCTATAATGTGCCATATTCTCAATCTTCCACTTTTTGTTTGCCCCAGGTGAAAGAAGCGCACTTTAAGGCCCATCCTGACTGGAAATGGTGCAACAAGGACCGCAAGAAGTCCAGCTCAGATGTAAAGCAGGTTATACCAGGTCACTGGGGTGTTCACAAGGAGATGAGGGAGAGAAGCATGTCTGAGACAGGGACCACGGCAGCCACAGGGGGTGAGACACTCTGCAGAGCCTAGCCTGGCGCCCTGTCTTTGGTCATGTCTCTTGTCTCCGTTGTTGGCTTCTTTTGTTTTTTGTTCTGTTTTTCATCTTCCCTTTCTTCTGCTTGTTACAGTCTCTATTGGATTCCAGCTTTTCTCCTTCAATTCAATTTTCTTCATGTTCCATCTCAACCCTTGTTCTTTGTCTTGATCCTCAGTGTCTTCAGAAGGTCCCCCTTCAGGACACCTCTTGGCCTCTGAGCCAAAGTTGGGAGCTCACTCTTCAGGGCCGCCCCCTGGAGACCGCCTGCCTCCGTCCTCCAGCTCCACCTCTCAGCTAACCAGGCCTCGAGCCTTCTCTCATAGTGCAGTACAGAGTATGGAGCACCGAGATGACAGTCAGGCTCTGCAAGAGCTCAAACAGGTATGGGTCAGCTCATTGTGTAACCATTGGAGTGCCACTTGTGCAAAGCACAATATAGTTATGTGCACAATTCCTCTCATACCAGAATTACAGAAGAAAGATTTTACTGATGATCTACAAATGCCTGTTTATTGTTTCCTCCTGCTCCAGATGTGCTCCAGCAGATCTCCATACTCCAATCAGAAAGCCACATTTGGGACCCCAGAGTCTTCCACATTCTCTACTCCCACAATCAGCGAAGCCTCTGCATGTCCTGCGTCCAGAACCTGTCCTCCCCTGCCTGGTTCATACTGTCCTCAACGCACAGCCAGCGAGGACATGACCAGCGACGAGGAGAGAATGGTCATTTGTGAGGAGGAGGGAGACGATGATGTCATAGGTGAGTTTCTGTCTAAATTTTCGGATGCAGGTCATTCATTGTGACTGACTTTCCATGAACTATTTTTCTTTTAAAATACCTAGTTGGCCATGTCATTTCACTTATTTTTTTTTAACCAGTCTTTCATTGCTTTTCCATAGTGTCTTTTGCTTTTCTTTACTTCTTTTAGTGATTACAAGTTCTCTCTCTTTAATTTTTCTTTCCAGCTGATGATGGATTTGGCTGCCCAGACATAGACCTAAAGTGTAAAGAACGTGTCACAGACAGCGACAGCGAGGGTGTCTCTGGGGATGAGGTAGAGAGGAAGGTATGTTTGGAAGGAAGCCTGGTCTATTGGAGAATTTAAGGAGCATAATAGACAGAGAGTGACCCTTCCTTTTTTTTATTAAATAAAATTGATAATTTGTATATCATTTTTGTATTTTAAAATAACAAAGCAGAAATCAAGAATCATTCGTTCTTTATCCTTGTCCTGATTGCTCATTTGATTTGACCCCTTCTAGGTGCCTGCACAGGGAGTCTTCTCGCCTGTTATACGGCCCTCCTCATTATCCGGCACTTACTCCCTTTCCAATGATGATGTGAAGTCCGAAAGATCCCCAAACGTGTCACAGTCCCCAAAAACCAGTGACCACCCACAGACTTCTTTTCCCCGTGGATATCCCCCTCTTCCTCCTGCTAAGCCCCCTCCCAGGCCCCCCGCTCAGCATCCTACCAAAAGACCCCCAGAGGTGCGGTTTACCATGGTGAACCCTAGCATTGGCTACAAAAGAAAGCGCAGTGTAGAGTGCGGGGGGCAGAAGGTTTCCGTAGAGGTTTCGCTCCCTGTGTCTCAGTACACCACGTACACAACTCAGTCCGTCATTTCCTCTGGTCCGCCCCAAGCTCTGGTTATGCCCAGTTTACCAAGTACCTATCCTTCAAGCACAGTATATTCTTCTGCACCGAGGCTCTATGAAGCACACAAGGGGACTTCTGACAATCGATCCCATGTTTCCACCATGGGGACCGTACTTGTGTCAGGGCCGCAAGGACTTGGTATTCTGCCCACTGGTTTAAAACCAGCCTCCACAGCCGTTACCAATGTGGTAAGACCTGTTAGCAGCACCCCTGTGCCTATTGCCAGCAAGCCCTTGCCAGTTTCCAGGAGCAGCAGTAACAGCGATTTGTGCGAAGGCAGGATATCTGGTTCACCTGTGGGCATTGGAGTGGTGTATGCTCATGAAAGGAAGCCAATTCAGCAACTGGCATCCCCAGCTACTTCTTCACAAACACAGGGCAAGCCAGCTGGCGGGCTGGTAACAAATCTACTTGTAGGGGCACCAAATTATGGACAGCCAGCACCCAGTTCTGGGACTGGGACAGGCCCTGCTCCAGTAACCGCTGTACAGTTCATTACCCAGAATCCCACAGGCAGTCCCAATGGAGCAGTACCGCTAGGAATCCTGCAATCACAGCAGCTGCTCCCTGCTGCCCCAGGCAAGAGGGGCAGCATTACACAAGTGCAGTACATCCTACCTACCATCCCACAGCAGCTGTCAGGAGGCACAGCAACAAGCATTCACTTTACCCTTCCTCCAACCAACGCTAAGGTCATTGCAGCCCCTCAAGCCCTTCCAATCGTTCAACCTGGGCCTGCTGCCAGCCCATCAGTGGGAATCGTGTCTGCTGCTGGCAAAGGTAGGCAACTCTATATATCGCCTTGTCATTTTCCATCCTCTGCACCTGGTTCATTTTGAATCTCACCTCTTCCTTAATTTTCTTTCCCTTTTAAACCTCCAGCTCAATCTGTGTCTCCTGCCCCCACCCCTGGAGGTGCCACTCAGCTGCTTCCTGGCCCAGGAATTCTTTCACCCAACACACAGGTTCAGGGAAAGATGCTTGTCCCCATGACCGCTCCCCATGTAACTGTGCGTACTGGACCCACTGCACAACTCCCTCTAGTTACCCCTCCCTTCCCCATACAAAATGGAGGACAGCCCACCAACAAGGTACTGCAATGATTATATAATTGTCCTTTGCTCTTATCTATCAATATTCTTTTTTCTTTGAATATTTGCTTGTTCTCATAACCACAGAACTTATTGTTTGACATATAACCCTGTTTGCTTTTTTTCATTTTTAAACTCTGCTTTTAGATCCCTGCTTCAACCCTTTAAATCTCTTGTTTATATTCTGATTTCTCCTCTTTCAGATAATTCAGATCACTCCCATGCCTGTGGTTCAGTCACCTGCTCCACCCCAGAGTGCCTTAGCGAACCCAGGCAGTTCCACACTCCAAAGTGGTATCCCTGTCACCATGGCAACTGCCACTGTAATGGCAGCATCATCCCAACCTCAGAAAGTGATCTTGCCACCTTCCACCAGGTAAAAATAAACATGCAACAGTGCAATATTTATATAGATCAAAGTAAAAAGTTGTAGAATTACAACACATTCAGATGAAGTGGGAGGGGAGGAAATGTTCTAAAATCTGGCCTTGATTGCAGTATTGCTTTTGCAGTCAGTATTGAAATTTTCAAAAAACTATGGAGAATAAATTGCAAGTGGGATTGCTTAGTTGTAAATTATTCCAATCTCCCCCTTTGCTATGTTTAACCTACTGTATTCAAGACATTTGTTTTTACGCTGTGGCTTTTTATTTTTCTTTAAAGGGACACTATAGTCACCAAAACAACTTTAGCTTAAAGGAGCACTATAGTGCCAGGAAAACAAATTAGTTTTCCTGGCACTATAGGGTTATTAGGACTCCCACTGGGCTGAAAGGGTTAAAACCCCTTCAGTCACTTACCTTATTACAGCGCCCTCGGTGCTGATGACCTCTCCTCCCCCCGCCGCCATCCGCTCCGAATGTGCATCTGTGATCAGAGCCGCGCGCGCATTCAGACCGCCCATAGAAAAGCATTACTCAATGCTTTCCTATGGACGTCCAGCGTGTCTTCAATGCGATTTTCGTATTGAGGATTGTGGAAGCGGCCTCTAGTGGCTGTCAGGGACACACCCACTAGAGGCTGGATGAACCCTCAATGTAAACATTGTTTACATTGAGATGAAGTGGTCTGGGTGCCTATAGTGGTCCTTTAATGAATCAGTTTTGGTGTATATATCATGACCCTGCAGTCTCACTGCTCAAATTTGTGCTATTTAGGCGTTAAATCACTTTTGTTATGCGGAACATCCCTTCATGTGACTTGCACAACCTTTCTAAACACTTCTTGTAAAGAGTCATCTAATGTTTACACTTCCTGTATGTCAAATTCTGTTTAATTTACAATTTTGTACCTCCTGCCCTGTTAATAGCTTTTGCTAGACCCTGCAGGAGCTTCCTGTGTGTGTGATTTAAGTTTAATTTACAGAGCAGGAGATTAAAACTTCTAAAGTAAGTTAACATTGGATTGAAAATTAAACCATTTTTTTTTCATGCAGGCTTTGTCAGTCACTGTCAGGGGAGGTGTGCATAGGACTGCATAAGCAAAGTGATTAAACCCTAAATGGCATGGAATTGAAAAGTGAAACTTTACAGACATGATCAGGTTGTTTTGGTGACTATAGTGTCCCTTCAATGGTCAAAGCACATACACCAATAACCTCCTTGTTTAGATGTCTAATTACTTTTGACCAATGGAGGTAATGTTACAGCTCTCAATGCTTTCGGACAGACAGAATCATATATGTCGATAAGATCGAGTGATAACACAGCTGACAAATTTCATGTTTAGCCTATAGACCATTTTTGTGTTTTAGTCCCTGCCTGTGTCTACTCATTTTTCAACTCCACTAAAAGAAGGCAGTGGTCTCACCAAACCTTCTTTTACTTTGGGTCAGGATCACATATGTGCCCTCTGCAGGGGGTCAAGCGCTCCCCCTGGTAACCAGCAGCTCTCACTGCCAGACGGTACCTGCTGGCTCCACAACCTGTGTTCAGACCCAACTGGGGACTGGGTCTATGGCCCTTGGATTCACAACCATCGGACCAAGTGGGCAAGCAATCGTCCAACCACTGTTGGCAGGTAAGAGATCGAGGCCTTTTAATGCAGCACCGAGCACTTGGTAGTGGCAAGCATTGCATGCTGGGCTTGAGCAGCGTATATAGGATAATGTGTGCACTAATCTGCACCAGTATGGCTGTCATTTCTTCAATTCCTAAAGCACACAGCCCATAGGTTTCCATGTTTTCTACATGATCACATCATAGAACTTATTTGAATACATTGCTAACAATTACAGGTATCCAACTAGTAAATGTTTTATATAAAGTGTCCTCCTTGCAGATCAGGTCTATTTTTAATGTGGTTCAGTCACTAAGGGCAAAGGAAAAATAAAAGGAGTAAAGAGTAAAACGTTTTTATTAGCCCAACTATATATTCATTGCTCTTGAGTGATGTAGTGTTAAAGGGACACTATAGTCACCAGAACAACTACAGCTTATTGTATTTGTTCTGGTCAGTAGAATTAATCCCTTTAGGCTTTTTGCGGTAAACACTGTCTTTTTTTCACAAACAATGCAGTGTTTACATTACAGCCTAGTAATACCTCTACCAGCCGATGGCTACTAGAGGTGCTTTCTGGGACTGTAGTGCACACTATGCATTCAGTGTCTCCATCCACTCTTTTTTTTTTTTTCTTTTGTTCTTTTGTTTGACTTGTGCTGGATCTGCCTTGTTGACAGTCTCAGCCAATCCTATAGGAAACGTATTGTGATTGGCTCAGAAAATCACTTCTGGTGATGTCAGCCAAGCAGGCAGATCAGGGGCAGAGACAGCAGCTGCAGGCTTGAATACAAGTAAGATTTTATAGTATTTAGGTGGGCAAGGAGGGATTAGGGGAGGCAAGATGGTGGTTCCTTTAATTACAAGCCCGGCCCAAAATTTAGCCAGATTGCAATGTTCTAGTATTGTAGTCCCTTTACCTCTTATAGAGCCATGTTTCAACTACTTTTTTACTTAAAATGTTTGTTTATATTTTGTGTATTTTTTATTTTTTTTAACCGGATCACAAGCAGTTGTAGATATTCTCCATTTAAATGTCCTAGATCACTATACTTTTTCTGCATCTTTGTTTGATGATTTAATTTTTAAATGTGTGAATTTAATAAATTATTTTGTTAGCAACTGTAAATTGTTGCCTGACTTATTGTTTTTGTTTGTTTTTGTCCTAGGTCAGAGTCAGCTTCTTACCCCTGGGCAAGTGGCTGTTTCTCCAGCCTCAACTCCTCCTGTGCCCTCATCATGTAGCAACCAAGTCTTAACCGTTTACCCCTCAGTTGGGTCCAACACCCTCACTGTTCCTGCTCCTCCACCTGCACAGAGCCTGGTGTACACTGTGGCAAGCACTGGCAATATGTCAGCTGCTCCTGCCACCATCCTGCCTAAGGCTGTTGCTTCCACACAGATGAACAGTGCTTCACCACTACCATGTACAGGAGGAAATACCAACCAGGTTGCAACTGTCACCGGTATGTACATGTGACTGTACGTTTGTCTATTTTAGTCATTGTTAACTTTTGGCACTCCCAACTGTTGCGAACTAAGTTTCCTTTTGTTTTGGCTACTGAGCCTCATGGGTCACATACAAAAATTGAAATATGTCATTTTTATTTATTTGTTTATGGGAACATCTGTTGTTCTATATTTTGCATATTTGCAGGATTCACCAGTTAAATCTGGAAAAAGTTAATAAAGGAATGGTAAATAATACAATGGTGTCTGTCAAAGCGTAGACTAAATGGTGTTAAACATAAAGCCAACGTTCTCTTTAATGTGTTCTGAAAACTCTTTTTGCTTAAATGCTTCTTTATTTCCAATTAGAAGTGTTTTGTTTAATGTGTATGTTATGTCAAAGCCATTTCTCGAGATCAAAGCAGACTGGAGCTTTGTGGTTTAAAGCGGAACTGCAAGTAAAAATTCCTCATTCTTGTACCCCACTAAATGCTATTGAAGTTTTACTGGGGTGACAAGTAACACACATCCCAGTAAATAGATGCATATTTGGGCGACTGCAGAGAAATGCTGCACCAGTGCATCTGGCAAATTGATGGGGAATATGTCATTCAGTGTTTTAAAGAGACAATCTCATATGTAGCCAGATAGTTACTCCGGTCTCCACTGACTTCAATTAGATTTTTTTTATTTTCAGCTAAACAGCTCAGGAATAGTCTGCAAATTAGATTTTTCTGTTTCCTGACTCTGATGCTTTGAGTGTTCTCAACGTGAATACAGTACAAAGCTCAGGCGCGAAAAATCTGGCACCCATGGGATTTTAGGAATTTTTATATATTTATATTTTCTTTTCTGAATTTTTATCTTTGGGTAAGTACAGTATTGTGGTAAAATAATATTTTACATGAATTCTTCTAATATTTGTACTTTCTGTGACTTTTCAGCTGCCTCCGTTACCTTCAGTCTGGTAACACCGAAGACTCAGAGGAACCTTCCAAAACCACCTCAAAAAGTGAAAGCTGCCATTGCAAACATCCCAGTGGGGTCATATGAAGTGACACCGCCATCCACGTGTGTGCGTTCCACCCCACGCCACTCTCCTTTACCCCCAAGGGAAGAGAACACGGAGTCTAGGTAACCTGACCCATATTTTTTTTTTTTTTTATTATTCTGAACATGGCACCCATTCAACTCCTATATATGTGAGACCGTAATAGTATGATGAACATTTAGATGACTTAGTATGAAAATATATTGCTTTGTTTTCCTGGGTTGAAAAAAGCAGTAGAGGTGAGTTTAATAAAAAAAAAATCCCTTCCCTCCACCTAGCACAGGCAGCGCACTTAGGAATTCCTTTAGTTGAGCAGAACAAGTTCATGCCCACAGCACTATTGGAGCTAATCTACTTTAGATGTCATGCCTAGTGTGTCCGACATTGAATGAATAAATAAAAATATAGTTGGCTATTCTGTTGTGCAAAAAGCTCACTCGTGACGGGGCCTCTATCACTAATGGGGTATTAAGCCTACAGATTATTAAATCCACAATAGGATTTATTTTTAAATGTATTAAAAGACAATATTTTAATAATTTCTTTCGCCGGTAGGAAATAGAATTCTAGTTCTTAGGAGTGCTGTTGGGAAATCTGGTGGGAAGGTTGGAGCAACAGAAGAATAATGGATACCTTTGTCATGGAGGGCGAATGGGAGAACACACTTTGTGTTGGAGGAAACATGTGTTAGAGGAAATTGTTCGTTAACAGAGACGCAAGGTGGAAGGGGAAAACTTAAATACAATAGGTGATGTATAGCTAGAAATATTAAAGGTCCCTAGACAGAAGTTAAATCAGAAGGGGAAAAAAACACAAGCGCACTTAGTAGAGGAGAATTAAAAAAAAAAAAAAAATAGCAAGTGGTAACAGAAGGAAGGGAATAAAAGAGACTTTGTGGACATCAACGAAAGAGAGCAAAGTAACTGTTGAAAAGAGCACATAGACCTGTAGGATAACCATTTATCCAAACTACAGGCAGATGAGATTAGTTCTGTAAATCAAAACAATACAGAAAAGGAGCCACGAAGAAAGGAAAAAAAAGATCTGAATATTACTTTTTTCATGTGTATCCCTCGTAAAGGGTAATATTCCTTTCTGGGGTTTTTCTGTGTGTGCTTTCACTTTACTGTGTTGGTTCGAATTTATGTTTTCTGTGAATTTACAAAAATTGATCCATGGGTGATATAGCTGCACTATTACTATTACTACTCTGCACCAAACCTCAAATTTTTTTTTTTTTTTTTAATTAGATCTGCAAATCAGTTGTTTTTCTAACTCTTGATGTTTATCCTATATTTCTACGTTTAATGAAGCTTTGTCTTCCAAACTGAGCTTTGTCCAGATGGTCGCACCTTAATTTATTTCCTTTCTTTCCGTCCAATGTGTTTTTGTATGTTTGTTCATTTGTATTTTTGGGATTACCGGTACTTTGTGATCACTTAATATATGTGAGATGTCCCCCCACCTCCCCCTTTTCATTTAGATCGGTCCTGTTTTTAAAAAATAAATAAATAAAAATTTAAAAAATGGGGTGGCAAATAATTTTCTAAAGGCTGGCTTCAAATACCTTTATTTATTACACTAAGTTCAAGTTGGCTTTTCCCTGTCTCTGAGTATAAAACTTTTTGCATTACTTGTGACCCATTGTTTTTCTGAGTCACTTAGTGACTCATAGCATTTATACATCACTGAACAATGTCAGACTGTTACTAATTTAGAGCAATTGGTATATTTTCAGGAAGAGATTGAAAGATAAGAATTGAAAACGTACGTCATTAACCAGAGTCCTTTATTAAAATTAAAATGTAGGCACCTTAACACTTCAACCTTTGTGGTCAGGGTTAGGAATTCCCCTTGTAATTGTAACAATTACAGATAAGTAAACAAATTGACCCCAGTATTCGTTTGAAAACTATAATTAACATTGAACGGTTTACTCCTCAATTGAAGAAGTAAAGCAATGCATTATACAGTTATGTATAGTAGGATGTTTATACAGTCTTGCAATAAATAAGGGACTGTAACGGATCACCTGGCACCCATGATTGGGTACCTCCATTGAAGGATTCTCCTAGTGCTTCCTGAGGGCTCCAAGCACTCCAGCCAACACCATAACCACTGTAGACTCCTCCAGAGAGCAAGACAGGAACAAGCTCTTACAAGAGCTTAGTAATGATATAGCAAGGGAGTATGACTAGCATAGCAATCCCTTGTAGCAGATTCCCCCAGTTACGAGACGACACTTAATTTTGAGGGTCAAGCAGAACTGACTGTTCTGGCACATGCAGCCTCTTTTATTCACAATCCACAAACATAGTACTGCCCACAGGGTTTTGAAATACAACCAATCAATCCGTACAATACACACAGACACTCCGACACAAAATCCTCCCCTCTGCCTGTGATATGATTACTGAACACAATGGTTAATATAATTATCACAGGCAGAGAAATACAGTATTATAAAACCTATCACAGGGACCCCAAAACATGCAATACCCCCACATATCCAAAATTCACCCAGATCCGTTCAGTAGTTTGGAAGATACAGTTTAATGCAGATTCTGCAGAACATATACAGGCTATATGAAAAATAATTACTGTATAATGTGTCCCCTGTTGTATAGTTTAAAACTACTGCACGATGTCTTTGTGCACCAAATACCGGCGAGATGGCACCATGTAGAAAAGTCCAAACTGTGTCTGTGAGTTAAAATGGCCGCCATCCATTGTTCTCACCATGTGCTTCATCCATTGTTCTCACCATGTGCCTCTGATACATGAAATGGTGGCCACCCAGTAACTCCACAGTATGTCCCCAGATAGTTCTTAAAGGGCCAGCAGCAGCACAACACAAATCCATTATGCCCAAATCATGTTTTTAAAGGGCACTACATCCCAGGGGTCATAGTCACATGGCAGGAGGCTGGCAATCAGTCTTCTCCAATGCCCAGTGGCGAGGTCAGTTTTGCCACAGGGACTGATTCACAGACATCCAATTGTCCTGAATGGAAAACTCTATTGCCAAATGTTGAGTTCAGTGTTGTGAAGTGGTTATGGTGCTTGGAGTCTCTTTGCCCAGTGGTTCAGTATGAAACGTGGCAAACACTGATAAATGTAATGTTGCTCCGTTAAACTGCAAGTTTCATGGTTTTTGTTTTAGATACACAGGGGAGCATCGTGGAGTGTCTTTGAGTCGGGAAGCACCAAGAGAACCTCCTACAGCCTCTGTGAGCCCTTTCCCTCCTGCACCTCCTCAAGACCCTGCACAAGGAAAGCAGAGGATGTCCGCGGCAGAGGATCGACCTTCCCGAGATGTATGGCTAAAGAGTGTAACTGAAGATCGAGCTGTGGCTTCCCCTCAGACTGGATCCTTCGTACAGGCAGATGACCATCGAGAACCCCCCCAATCGCCTACTATCAAGAAAGAGCCTGGGGTAACTTGCAGATACCATTTACTTAATCACAACATCCACCATTTTTCTGTGTGCTAACTATACATACAAACTCACTCTTAGCATTTTAACATGGCATTACAGTAAATTGTGATGCAAATTGGAAATGAGAACTTAAAAATAATTTAATCTCTCTCCTTGGTCAGTTTTCTTTAGATTGGAAAGTAACAGTCTCGGAGAGTCGCTTAGAAACAACCAGCATGTCACCTGCTCTACCACCATCGTCCTCTCCGGCAGCCGTTCCAGTCACCCCAAGTGTGAGCGCTGTTGCTGGAGACAGTCGGGCCACCAGTTCCATGTCCGAATCTTCTGAGAGGAAAGATGGAATTGTCAAGAAAGTGAAAGTGCGTCCACCTCCTCTGAAAAAGACCTTTGACTCGGTAGACAAGTGAGTCCTGCATGAGTCTCTCTGCCTCATATCCCACCACTATCCCTGCTTTCTAATCCTCCCATACATTTTGTCGTATCAGACAGACATCACACATTCCTGCACATGACCTTTAGTTAGAACACCATCCTACACACCGAAACACACAACATACACTCATCGACAACTACTCTGGATTCATTCCAATCAAGGAACCGCATCCTTAGAGTACCTATGAACGCTACCATGCCCATGTAGCTCTAGCTCTACCTGGAAGCCCTTAGCTCCAGGATATACTGAGACGACAATATTTTGCAATCCACCCCTTAGAAAGTAAATACAATTGTAGCCTGTCATTGGTTATGTATTGGAACAGGAAACATCCCTGAATATGTACATATATATGTTATACTTCAAAATTGCTACCTTCACTGTTTGATTGATGTGGGCCTGCGAGCCCTACATTTATTGTACCCAATTGCTAATAAAAATCTGATTAACAAAAAAAAAAAAATCCTCCCATACATTTTGCAATATTCTTCAGGGTGTCTTTTGCTAGTAACCAAATAATTCCCACCACCTCTTACCTCTTAAGTCCAGCTTTTGCTCATACTATCTATTATGCCAATGAGTCAAAGTTTAAATTCTGTATGCTGAAGCAGGAGTCGTTTTAAAGTATGTGAAAGTCAGTTTATTTATTCATTTAGGTAATTCATTCATCATTCGTTATACACCTACTTCTAATTGGACCTTCTCCCAATGTCATTGATTCAACTCACCACTTCCACTGATTGTACCCGCTTTGTCAATTGCATCATTGACCATTTCTATTGCCCTTTACATAACAAACATTGCTTATTAGCCCACCCGTTACTAATCTCAATACTCCATGTATCCTCTGCAACTACTGATCACTCCCTACACTGCCATATAGAGTACTACTCTTTTGACTTTACAGAAAGTCTCCAAGTTTTTACTCTCGGATTTAATTTACTGACAAGCTTTCAAACCTCCATATTACAGAATACTCTCATCTTCAATATTGCCCCTTCTTCTTCCTTATAACGGGTATCCTTCAGAGCACTGATCTTTCTTGCATCTCGCCTGCCTTCATTCCTAATAGGTTTTTATTTTTTGGTTGCTTGACCGCCTCCCTGTCCATTCCAATCTACTCATCTCTCTTATTCTACTCCCAGCAGGGTCCTGTCAGAAGTGGATTTTGAGGAGCGCTTTGCTGAACTTCCTGAGTTCAAGCCAGAGGAGGTTCTGCCCTCTCCAACGCTGCAGTCTCTAGCTACCTCTCCTCGTGCTATCCTGGGTTCCTACCGTAAAAAGCGCAAGAATTCCACTGGTATGTGCACCGCGCTGGGGATTGTCAGATGCTTAGAACACCTGTTAGAAAGAGACACAGGTGTCTCTTTCATGATTTGGGGCATGATTTGCAGAACCCCTTGATTTTTGATAAGCTGGGAATTCTATGGAAGCTGTAGCACAGTAATTTGCTGCCTGGGAGAGATAGTGGGCTTCAATAATCCACCCGCACATATCAGGTGCCTTTACTAGCTCTGTCTGGTGTAGGAAGTGTTTAAAACTTATTTGTTGTATATTTTTATGTAGCTCTGTGACTTAAACTTATTTTTTTCCAATATTTAGAACAAATCCATTTTATCACTTCAAATTGTTTTGTTAACCTGGACTTGCTTTCAGCTAGGGTCTACAGATCTGCTTGGTTTACTGGACATGTCTGCTCTTCTAATAATGTCAGTACAGGAAGGATGTTGGCCTGCAGAGTGCATGTGGCATCTTAGCGTTGCTTAGTATTGTTAAGGTTCACAAGTCCGCGAAAGATTACCATTGTGTTACAGTTGAGGTCTATTCACACACAAAAATTTACCTATGTTGGCATCCGGTTTCTGCTGCTTGAGAAAACTAGAAGCAGCACTGGTGCCCCATGGGATGACATTAAATGACAGACCGTGCTAAAACGGTTTGACAGATTATGCTGAGATGGTGCCATAGCATTCTTGGTACTATAACCACAGCAAACTGTAGTGTTTATGGTGCTTGGAGTGTTTCCTTAATTGCAAAAGTCATATGTGATACAGAATTCAACCTGGGATCCTAGGATAGCGTTTTCATCATAAAAGAAGTAAATTAAAGTGCACTGTCGTGTGTGTTGTGTGCAGATTTAGACTCCTCAACAGAAGATCCAATCTCACCCAAGAGGAAGATACGAAGACGTTCAAGCTGTAGTTCCGAGCCCAACACACCGAAGAGTGCCAAGTGTGAAGGAGACATCTTTACTTTTGATCGAACAGGTAGGGATAGTGCTTCCTCCTTAATGTCCTCTGTCCTAATGTCCTCTTGTTTTTCTGTACCTCACAAGTTTTATTCTCCTCCTTGCAGCAAGTGAGGCAGAAGACATGTTGGCTGAGTTGGAATATGAGAAGGCCCCTTACTCCTCACTGAGACGTACGCTGGATCAACGAAGAGCTCTGGTCATGCAGCTCTTCCAAGACCATGGCTTCTTCCCTTCCTGTAAGCATTATTGGTTTGGTGGGATTATTGGGAAGAGAGTTTGAACTCAAGCATGGGCAATCGTAGAACGTTTAGAACATACAAATAAAGTAAGAAATTAGAGTCGATTAACGGAAGAAGCACAAAGACAGATGTAATGTTTAATGCGAGAATGGGTTAATCAGGTGAACCATGTAAGAAAATGGAGAAGCAAGTGTGAAAAAGATGGAGAGGGCAAAGTAATGAAATTAGACATGATGTATATTTAGAAGGGGAGGTAATGACATTGATTAGAAGGTGGAGTGTGAGATGGAATGATGAGAAGTGAGAATCAAAGCACATTATATACAGATGAGAAATGTGCTTTTGCACAGTTTTAGATATGACCTCACTTCTGTGTTCACAGGGGTTCTGTGTTTCTTATCACTCAAATTCTTTGTTAAAGCTCTGCTGAACTTGGCAGGAACCGACCGGCAGGTCACAGGCTACTGTAGTGTTTACTATGTTTAACTGAAAACCAAATTGTGAACGGACCGAGTGATAGTGGTGTATTCTGGTTTTGTGCTGCCCTAGGCATGACAAAACTCAGACACCCCCTTCCAAATTTCTATTCCTGACAGACACGCCCTCACTGATGCATGCACTGACATACACTCACTTACAGATACACATTCATTGTCAAACACACAGTTTAACCAACACACACTTTCACTAAAACGTACACATTCACAGACTCACACACTCTCACATTCACCGACAGACACATACACACTCACTAAGTTACGCGCACACACACTGGGGGGGACACATACTCACTGACAGATACACATACACACTCATTGACAGGCGTATATACACTCCGTGTCAGACACACACACACCTACTGACAGACCTACACATTCTCTGACAAACACTCTGTGACAGACACGGATACACACACTGATACACACATACATACACACTGACAAACCCATATACACTCTCAGTGATAAACAAACATACACTTTTTGACAGACATTTGCCTGAAAGTGCAGCCCAATGCAAATGCCTTGTCAACTCGCGCTAAATACAGCGCTGCCGAGTGACACAAAGTTTGAAGCCAAGTTGTAGGTTGTATTCATATTAACCCAAAAGATTTCTTTTGGGTCCGGATTCTAGAAGCAATCATACACTCTGATTCTACTTTCTAATGTGATTGTGTGTTTTAGGTAGTATTGTGCATATATACCAAAAACTAACATAACCTTTCCCTTTCTAGCTCAGGCCACCGCTGCCTTTCAGTCTCGCTACTCGGACATCTTCCCCACTAAAGTCTGTCTACAACTCAAGATCCGCGAGGTGCGACAGAAGATCATGCAGGCCGCAACCCCTACAGAACCTCCCCAGTTCCCCGAGCATCCTTCCCCCAGCACATCAGAGGCTGGACCCTCCGACATGCAGCCACCCCAAGATCCCACTTTGCGGCCAAGCGAGCCTCCTGAAACAACATGGGAAGGAGGCCAAGAACCCCAAGATTCTTCAAGCAGCAGATGAGTGGCCAAGGGTGAGATGCATCATGTATTGTCACCCAGCCACCAACTGACCTTCATGACTGGATGGGCAACTTCCCTTGAAGGATACCCTGGTGTGAAGTGGGGTTAACTACTAAATCCTTTTGCATTGAACTTTCACGCATAGAGAATCCACCTATTCCAGGGTAGACTGTGCACTCTGTGCTGGCAGCAGCATCCTCCTCAAGGCAGTGGCAACCAGGCTGTGTCATCTTCCCATCCCACATGTAGAGAGACCCTATGTGTTGACTTTTTCCTGTTGCCAGCGAGACAGACACAAGGCAGTACTAGCCTGCATCATGGGATAATGTCCATACAGGCACCTGCACAGACACATGTCCTACATAGTGCTGCCTTGTCTTTCGTCCACAAAACTGTCACATCCCAACACGTTGAGTGTGCCGATTCCGTAGTGGGGTCAACAAGTTGTGTGAAACTCTGAAGGAAATGCGGGTTGACAATTTGATACCGCTCTAGTTTTTAAACACATAGGCTAGCTAATGATAATACCAAGATCGCTGCGGCACCAGACTCAGGGCCTACTAAATGACTAAAAGATGCTTAGTTGGCGGACTGTGGGCTGCACCAGAATGTCTTAAGTCCACTAAGGAATGACTGTGAGATGCAGTGACTAACGGGTGAATGGAAAGTGTGTAGTGAAATAGCAGGGGAGCAGTGGGTGTACTGACGGTTGCGTTTGGGAGTGTAATGGGTATACTTACACTGAATGAACACGTGGTTCCAACAGTCTGTCGTCCCTTTTAATGCAGCTGTGGATAGAAGTGCTGTGATGAGAGAACGGGATTTTTATGGGTAAATCATATTTTCTTATGACACTTTAGTTGGGTAAGAAGCAGCTGCACTGTCAAGAGCTGTATAAATATATAAAAATATATATATAAATTATATATAGACATTTTTATGCAAGATGAGTGGTGTGTAAATTCGGTCTGATCAGGTCATCCTAGGCAGTATATCAATCGGACATATCTGCCCAACACACAAATATATGCACTGTGTGTATGTTCACTATATACACGGACGTGGATATATCTGTATGTAAGGGGCTTCAAAGAATAGGTGTTCATAACACAAAATCCTGACACTGTTGTTCGCCCCTTTAGGTATGTTTCAGCGATGAGAAGTTGAGGATTGGTAGACTGTCCTTCCATCATGCAATATGCATAAATTTTTCCACTTAAAGCTTTTTACTTAAGAATTTCTTTTAAGAATTTTTTTTTACATTTGCTGCCACTGTAGAATCTGTGTAGTGATTAATATAATGCTATACTATGAGGACTAATCTGCAGCCTGTATAATGATGCATACAAATGGATGCTGAACGGACTGTGCCAGAGGTTATAAGGCTAAAATTGGACACTGAACGGACTGTGCCAGAGGTGAAGTGAGTCATATGTAGACAGATGCTGTATACGGATAGGACTGTGCAAGGTGTGTAGTGATGCATTCAGATGCTTACTGTGCAGGCTATATAGTGTTAAGTTTTATACTGATGGGACTGTGCTGGCAGGGTACTGAGCTGGTCGGGTGCTGCATGGACTTTATAGTGATACAATTGGATGTGGTGAGCACTCGTTAGGCTGTTTAGTGATACAGTTCTTTAGTAAGAAGGCTGTGTGATGTCTGTACATTGGTGAATGGTGCTATATTACAGTATACGGCTAGGTGCATTGCAGGTAAAATCAAAGGGGTGATCTAAAGGCAGTAGTTGAGATGTGTATGTCGTCTGTATAGAATTACATCATACCTAGAAAGAGACAACAATGTAAAATGGGAATGTAACTAATATGTACACTGTACAGGAATTATCTGGTTTTATCGGGCTGGCTAGGGAAGAGACCCACCGTGTAAGTGCTCCAGCTGTTTGGTGTAGTTAAAACAGTCGCACAGATCACAGGTTGAGATGCTGGTTTAAGGTGCAAAAACAAGGATGATTCTGTTATACAGAACTGCATCCTGCTTTAGAGATCATAACGTGCTATATATAGAATGAATGTGTTGTCCATAGACATGTGCAAGTTTCAGTGAATACAAATGGAGGGTGCACTGCATTTGTACTCTATATTCATAGTTGCACACTGCTCTATAAAGTGACAGGCGCTGTCATAGGATACACAGGGCCCACCTTGGTCAGTCCTCTATGGGCCGTGTATTCTGTACAGCGCATATGATGGGCGGCTTCTATTTGCAAATCACTTTGCTTTTTGAGTTTTGGCTATATTCCTGATGGGTGGCCAACATTATTCCAAAACAAAGATGCTGTATTTTCAACTATATGTCAACTTCTCAAAAGTGCTGCAGGTCACTGCCCTTTACCAGGACTGCTTAATTGCCATGGCTCCCCCCTGTGGAGGTGGGAGTGAACAAGATTCATGCCATTTACACTTTATGGATCCAGAAGTATGTCGGCAGTGTGAAAGCAGAGAGATTGGTACAATGCAGTGTGACACTCAGTAATTTTTATATACAGCCATGTGTTTCCTGGAGAGGCTGAGCTGCTTTGTAGTGTCTTAGCAGACCTTTACATTTTTAACCCCACGTGAACTGGAGCAGGCAGAGGAGAAGCGCCACCACATCTAGAAGTCCGAACATGGCTGCATTTTGTGCTTACGTTTTGTTAGAGAGAGAGAGAAAACCGAGACTGAACAGACATGTTGATCATGTGCAATATTTCTTACTGTAATTAAAATAAGACTGAAAGATGCTTGTGGTCTGTTGTGCATCTGTGGACAAAAAGTATCATTTAACCAGGTGTGGGTTTTTTTTGTTTTTTTTTTTATCTTCATGCGTTCTGCAAAGTCCAAGTGGCCCTTTTGTCGCTTTATTTATAGGGACCAAGCTTTTTAGTGACTGTTGGAATAGATTTACATGTTTTGTAAATGAAGGGAATTATTGATTAACCTGGTGTGAACAAAAAATGCTATCTAGCCAAAACGGCACATTTCAAATTATCCCACGACAATGAATAAATATAAAAAGTGGCACTATGAACCTTTTATGGTACCATCCATAATTATGGTAATGTTGGACGCCCCATAAAGGCTTTAACATGGATATTTTAAAACGTATCAATTTACTTCCTACAGCAGTGTGTACAGTTGTAGAATATAATGGAGCAATTTCAATGCATTGATGGTGCTTGTTTCAAGCACTCAACCGTTTATAAACTAACTAGAATATTGTCTAAAATTATGTCATGATTTCATAGAAATTGGACCTCACATGAAGTGCGTTGGTAAAAATGTAACCGTAACTCACAGTACTCCCCAAATCACCAAAATACAATAAAAAAACCATAACCACTACAGTTTTTAGTTTAGTAATTATGACCGTGTGTGTAGACCCTTCAGTTATCATCACAGTAATCTATAAAAACAGGAGGTTTCCCCAGCATTTTAAGCCCACTGACTAAAATTTGGAAATTCTACATTGCATCAGTCTATACAGTCTGAACTGCATTTGTTTAGTTCATTTACAAAGTGTTCCAGTTCCGCTATTATCAGAGCTCAGCCACCTTTTCCTGAATTTGGCAGTTTTGGTTTCCAATTCAGTACATGGTTTATGAATAAACCGCCCCAAACCTTTCTGAGCTGCAAACTTGACGCTCTCCTGGAAAACACACTGACGAGTACTCTATGATTTTTGTCCCATGAAAAACCGTTCTAATGACCAAATACAAAATCAAAAGCTAAAAACCGGTATCACTGGGCTTGATATGCAACTCCAACAATGTTCTTAAACATAGAAAATGGTGCAAAATTTTGATTTTTATTTATACAATTTCAACTAATTCCAATTATTTACAAGCAGAGTGGCAAAGATATGCCACAAATATCAGGGTATTTCATTAGGATTTTATGAACACCCACCCTGGCATTATTTTTACATACTTTGGGCACTCCTTTATGTGAAAAACCAGAGTCAATTGTTATCATAGTGGCACCAGGAAATCTATGCATGCATGTAGATGGTACTCTCTTAGACGGCTTTCAAAGAGTGAAGCTTACTCTATGTCCACACACTCTGCCACCCATGATCTGATATTGAGTGGGAACCCTTCATGAATGACCTTAAATTTAGTTCAAGTAAAGCAATGTAAGTCTAAGAAGTGGCACCAACTGTGTTTTCTCTACAAAACATCTCAATGGTTTATGAAAATCATCTTGGCTCACCCAAATTAGTATTGTTTTGTAAACTCTGGACCAGGCTCTAACATGATAACATGAATCATCACCTAGCAATGTATTTTGAAGGTACTGTATTTGTAAATCTGTAACCTAGATTTCTCTGATAATCAGATTGACTTGGCTATACTGACTTTATTTGTGTACTCTGCTACCTGAAACAAGATCAGAGGCAAAATTATTTCAATTGAGGAAAACCCTTGTTTCGTGCACAGTGATGTTACATTAACACCTTCACTATAGAGCAGATTGACTGGGAGGGACACCCCCAAAATCCAAGTATTATGGTTGTCCTGGAAACCTAAATTTTACTTGGCATGAATGTCATTTTCATTTATAAGTGACAGTAAACGCTCAAAGCCGGACAAACAGGCTACTACCTTTTTAATATGCCACCCCACCCCACCCCACAGCATTAAACCCCACAATACCTCCATATCCCTGATAAAAACCACCAGCTACTGCAAATTAATAATAGTAAGGGAAACTTGTGGTGCCTCTTGGGAAAAATATATTTATGTAAATTTAAAATTGTGAGTGTGTTTTATATACACCTTAAAGCAACACTATAGGCACCCAGACCACTTCAGCTCATTAAAGTGGTCTGGGTGCAATGTCCCTTAACCCTGCAGTGGTAATTATTGCAGTTTCTTTAAAAAAAAAAAAAAACTGCTTTAATTACTATACAGACAGCCACCAGTGGGCTTCCTGAATTGAAATGGACCTTAGGTCTGGTATCTGATGCTGGACGTCCTCACACTCTGCATGAGGACCTCCAGCGTCAGATTTTTTCCCCCCATAGGAAAGCTTTGACTAATGCTTTCCTATAGGGAAATCCTAACGTGAGCGTGGCCATTGCTGCGCATGCGCATTAAGTCTTACTCCCTGGCTGATGTCGGATGGGGGAGGAGCATGGGCAGAGCCTGTCCCAGCCCCGAGGGACATCGGCACTGGATTTGGGTAAGTGACTGAAAGGGTTTTAACCTCTTCAGCGCTGAGGGAGGGGGTCACTGTATGGACCTATAGTGCCAGAAAAATGCTTTGTTTTCCTGGCACTGTAGCATCCCTTTAACCCCTTAAGGACACGTGACGTGTGAGACATGTCATGATTCCCTTTTTTTCCAGAAGTTTGGTCCTTAAGGGGTTAAACCATCTCAAGCATATTGCACTATATTTTGTCATTTAATCTTGTTTCAGCTGTATTACTTCAACGTTAGTTTTTCCCCTTTAATAGAAGGGGTAAGTGTATATTCAAATATTGGCGCTCCACTGGGTTTACTTTGAGTGGTTCATTCCACCTAGTTGACTTTTTTTTTTCTGTTGTAGCGTTGTCTGCTCGTTTAAATATCCTGACCTTTTATCCGTCTGCTCAACTTGAGGGCCATAAAAGCTGCTTTCAGTTCTCTCAAGTTTAACAATTTTCTGTTGTCTGAACTCTGCCAGCAACCTTTTTACTGCTTGATGACCCATGTTGGCTCTTTATCCAGAGACTGCTGCATCTATGATGATTATCTTCCTTTTCTTGATATTAAGTGAAAGACCCTGGTGGAGATAAAGTGTAGTTCTCATAGGGGTATTAGATTATCTAGCACAGGGTTTCCCAAACCAGTCCTCAAGACCCATCAACCATTCAGGTTTTGTCAGTATCTCCATTGGAATTAAACAGGGAAATACATAAATTCTGGATTGTTGGTGGACCGGGAGTACTGGTTTGGGAACCACTGATCTAGTGCGACATCTCTAAGATCCCACTATGCTAGAATGCTGATCTGTAGAATTTTCATCCTGGCTTTGACCCACCTGACCTCAGGAGTAGAGGATGTCAGAAGCCCTAACCATTTCATGGCTTTTGTGATTGTACAGAACTTTTTATCTCCCAAAGAGGTTTGTTTCAGCTTTCTACCGTGTACATTAGGATGGAATCTAGGACTAGCCCGCCAAAAAATATGTTTATGGTTGGTGTTAGATGAAACTTCTCTGTTTATTAGCTAGTCGTCCAGATATGGGACAATAAGGACATCTTCTTAGGAATGCATTGAAGACCATCAAAACCTTGGTGAAGACTCTGGGGGCCGAGGACAGACTAAAGGGAAGTGTTGATAGTAGCTTTGGTGTACACAAATATGGAGAAATTGCCTGTTTGCTAGAGATCTGCATCTCTTCACCACCTGTTTATATACTTTCTTCAAATCCAGAATAGGCCTGTATGGAAGTATGTTTCTTTGTACCTTTCTGCTATTGGTACTTCCTCTACTACATTCCTCAGCGAGAGCTTTTGTACTTTATTAAGAAGGCAAAGAGAGATTTTCTGAATAAACTACATAACAGAGGAGGAGGAAGGGAATCAATTCCTATTCTCTGGCGTTTTCTGTTATCTCTCTCAAAAAAATTTTAAAAAATTGAATACCAGTTGAAGATGTGCAATACGGCACATTTATTAGGAACAAGGTAGAAACCTAATTAATGTGCCTACAGAGCATTGGAGTACCTGGACCTTTTTTCTTCAACGGGTATTTAACAATTTTTGGCGTTGGTGCTGGCCCCAGGAGTGGGTCCACCTTATGCCTCTGCTTATGTGAATTAAGTGCAGTTCCTGCCTACAACTGACCAGGCTTTAGAATTTCTTCTTGGATTTTTGGTTGAATCCTTTATCCTTGGATCTTGTCTGCCACACTGTGCACATATTTGCTTTATAAGTGCAGTTCCTGCCTACAACTGACCAGGCTTTAGAATTTCTTCTTGGATTTTTGGTTGAATCCTTTATCCTTGGATCTTAACTCATAAGATTGTCCAGGAGAGCCTTTATATCCGGATCTGCAAAAGGAATTCATATAATGTCTCTCTAGCAAAAACATTATTCAGTTCACATCTCTCATCTAGTGGCAACACTTTTTTTTTTTTCTTCCCCCTTCTGCAACATGTATAAGCTCATCCAACTGGGAACCACATAAACGCCCTTGCAAAAAAGGGAGGTCACACAATGCATGTTTAGACACTGTTGTCCAGTTTCTTTAGCCAGGGAGCTCTTCTTACCATGGTCGTCGATCCGATAGGTGTGGCGGATAGTTTTGCTGCCCCAGGAGTAGCCTTTACCAAAACATCTGCTTCTAACTGTAGGTCCTGCAGGATTTTGGATGGATCTTCTCTAGACTCACTAAATGTCTATTCCAAGGAACCAGCATCTCTGGGCCGTTGCTGCTGAAGCTACAGTAATGAGTGCGTTACTATGTACCGGGCATAATCAGACATATCTCAACCCTCTTATCCATAGCATCTTGAATACCATTAGTGCCCCCACACTAGTAGAGTGTTTTTTGCTTTTCCAGCAGGGTGATAGGGATATCCATTGTAAGTAGATGTTCCAGTTTATTCTTATCTTCTCTTAAGGTGGACATGTTTTTAAAATGTTTAGTAATGTATGTTTTTTTTTTGTTGTTGTTTTTTTTAAGCAGTTGCCTGCCATTCTCTTGCCATTTCTTTTTTAAAATTGTGATGGGATGGAAATCCTTTTATTGGATTCTTACTAATCTTCCATCACAGACAAAAAAGTTCCTTCATTAATTTACAGATGGTATTTATCCAATAAAGAAAATAAGCCAAAACAAAACTGGGTATTTATCCGAGGAATCAATGGACTCTGAATGTGACATGGGATTGTCAGAAATATCTGAAGTAGTCTGTGCGGCTGGAGTCAGTTATAAAAGTGACAATTTATAGAGGGGGATAGACACACCTCCCTCAGACCGACCGCAAGGTTGTTTTTTTTTTTTTTTGTTTTTTTTTTACTTCCGCACGCAGATACACTGGGTTAGCCTGCCTTTTTTTGTTTTAAATTAGCGCTTCTTACTGAGAAGCCTCTGGCTGGTATATTCCCTCAAAAAAGACTAAAGACACAGACTGAGGGTTCACTAACGCTGCAGACATGCGTATTTTCTTTAGAGTAGATCTACTAAATTGTGTGTAAAATTAAATCTGGAGTGTTCATTTATTATAAAACAATGAGGTTGAGTCAAGATAATTTTTCCAATTAAATACCATGGGATCACCAATACCATTTTACCCGCCTGGCCCCCCCATGATCAGCTCAGCTGGTTAATGCAGTTTGAATAATGTTACATAAATATATATATATATTTTTTTTTTAAATAAGCATATTGCATCATGGGTGTCAAAACAAAACTGTCCTCACATGGTGTAGTGCATTGAAAGAAATCAGAATTGAATGATATATGCATACAGGGTTAATCATTAAACTGGGAAATAAAGTGAATTGCCACACCGGAGTATGGGAATGGATGTTGTTGTATGTGGAGGATGGCGAGAATTGTTGTCCAGCAGCTACAATGCAATAGACAAACTCTATGGTATTAAGATTTCCATAATTACATTTGCTAGATCACACATTCATTTAGTAGTTATTTTTTTTGTGATCCATAAGACATCGTCTTAAGTCCTTGGAGAGTGAAAGGGAACAAACAGCAGGTCCCCACATTTAGAAATACTCAGGGTTGAAATAGAATTAATTCCTTAGCTATTGGGTATCTTTGCTACAACCCACTAGCAGGCAACTGAAACACTGCTATACCAGAAAACAAGCATTGTGTAAATAGTATTTTGCAAACAATTGGCCTGGTGCATAGCAGAACTGACATATTTAATGCAAACCCTTACCTTCCAAAACAAAATGTTGGGTCCTACGGATACCAGTACTTTTAAAGGGGGGCACCTTTTAATAAAGCCAATGAGTAGGAATGCACTAAAAACGGAGGACCACCAAACAAATTAATATTCCAGAACGCTGGTTTAGCAGAGATAGATTGAATAGCCTGTACTCCCATTCCCAATTTCAGGTGTGCTGCCTTACATTTATCTCTGTAAGATCTAGTATATTAGCGCTGATCCTTTGTACATATTCCCATACCCAATGGCCTGTTTTTGTTGTTGTTTTTTTTACCTTTTTCAAAAAGGCTTGTGCTTTCCAAAGTGACATGTCAGTTTGCATGGTGACCGCCAGGGATTGCAATCTGCGTTCTTGGCAGCTGAGTACAAAACAAGGGTTATGGAAGGTCCCACATCATCATCCATAAATCTTAAGCATCAAGACGCCACTTCACTTACGGTATATTTTGATTCTATGTGAATTCTTTAGACAGAGTTCTAGGTTTATTCATTGAAGTGTGAATTGTCAGGAATTTCTACTTTTATATCCCCCCAAGTTAGATATTTTCATCTATGTGGGCCCAACAATCTATTTTCAGTGTGTAATCCAGTCTCTTTATGAAAAATACAAAAGTGCCATTCGAAATGCAACCACCACCTATGATCCTAACATACATTAAGGTGCAACATTAAGTGTTTGTAACATTTTACTGTGGCAAACAAAAGTGGCCCTGCCCATAGCTGGGCATTGGCGCATCAAATCAGCTGTCTTTTGTTGACTCTCACAATAGCGAGTGAGCCAGTTCAGAGAACCAGGGACGCAAAGCTACAAGACAACACGGTGCTAGAGGGAGGCAAGTACGTGGATCCAAGGCTGATGGTAAAGTTAACAAGAGGACAATGAGTTTGGCTAAAGCTCCACCATTTGTCAACCTGCTGGTTCTGCATAAGGAAAGGTTTATCCTTACTTTTTGTTCTGTATAATGTGGAGGGGGATCAGGGGGAGACGTAGTGACAGAGAGGCTTTAAATGAGGAATGCAAAGTTGTTTAATGTACCTGACAGATTGCAGCCAAACCAGTTTGCAAGCTAGCGAAAGGATGGGTGAAATTGAGCAATGACAGCATGGATGGAGAGATTGACGCGATGTGAGGAAGCCAAGATTCTTTCAGAATGTATTGGCAGCAAACAGCAAAAATTAAAACACTTGATGACATTGTGAAATGACATATCTGGTTAAACGGAGCTTCCCACACACAACGCCATGAAAGTATATTTTACACTGCTACAAGTCACATAATATATCAAAGAGATTACAAATTCTGGTTCAGAACCCACAATTATCACAATCATTTTATTCTTTTCGTGGTTTTATTGTAGTAATGGAAACAGGAGATAGTAATCAGAACTGGCATACAATGCTGTTAGTTTATTTAAATAATAGAAATAAATGCCAACAAGGTAAAATGTATACACCGTTTATGGAAAGCTGTAGGAGGTTTCTAGTTGGAAGGACAACTTGGAGCAAGACAGAGCACCTTGGGTCATCAAGTTTGGTCAATATTTTCTTTTTTTTTTTTTGTGACAAAAAAAAAAAAACTACAATATTTTTCATGAATTATACAAAAGCAAAAACATCAACATAACATATACTGTACAAAGGACATAAAAACAAAAGAGATCTAGCATTAGGTCATTTTAGAAGGGGTGGAAGAAGTAGGATCCTAGAACGGGGTAGGTGCACAGAACCCCTGAGCAAACAGCCTGTATTGAACCAAGAGAAGTTGTTACCCGTCAGCTAATTTAACATCAATCTTGTTCCCTATGGAAAAGATTACATCAGCGCATGCCTCGTCGGGGACATTTGACTTCTGTAGTTTGCTGGCAAGGTGTCGCCCCGACATCCCTCCAGGGCAGTTCTGGTCCTCTGGCCTTTCCAACCCCTTCTCCAAAGGGTTTGTTTATTGTTCCGTGGTCTTCACCCTACCATCCATTAGTTGGAGTAGTGTGCGGTGCAGGGTCTGGCACACGCGTGCGTATCCATGCCGGGTCAGATGCAGATAATCATACATGTCGTGGTGACTGATAGTGCCATCGGAATGCACAAAACCTGGATCTACATTCAGGAGAATAGCATTGGGCTTGGAGGGCAATGTTTTGGCCAACAGCTCATTGACACGCATGTTCCTCTCCCGCAGAGGATTTGGGTTTTTACCACGTGGAAGTAAAGCCTGCAGGGAAACAACAGGTGTAAGAAAGCAGATATTCTTCTCCATCAGGAGGAGTTAAATGATGGATGGTATGTGCGTAAATGTAACAGCTAACTGAGCCAAACAACCACAAAATGCCATGAGAACTACAAAACAATCAGAATTTCATGGGTAAGTATTGCAGTTTTCTATTCCTAGCACTATAGTACCACTTTAAGGGATCTCACAAAATCACAAATGTAATAACTGATCCATGCAAAAATAAACCCAGCAATGGTTACGGATACTGGCAGCACAAAACATAATCCCCTTACCTGAGAGATGATGTGCCAGCTAGTGATGTGCCGAACTGTTCGCCGCGGACTCCAGTCAGCTGACACATTCCAGCCAATCAGCAGCAGACCCTCCCTCCCAGACCCTCCTACCTCCTGGACAGCATCCATTTTGAAGCTGCATTCTTAGTGAGCTGTCCAGGAGGTGGGAGGGTCTGCTGCTGATTGGCTGGAATGTGTCAGCTGACTGGAGTCCGCGCGAACCGTTTGCAGCGAACCGCGGCAAACAGTTCGCTAACAGTTCGGGACATCACTAGCCAGGACTTTCAGAATATCACAGTTTGGGTACAAATAACTTCATAAATCTACAAAAGGTTTTTAGTATCAGTGATGACAGGAGGACACAACTAGAACATTACAAAATGTAACCAAACCTAGTAAAACTTAATAAATAGAGTACATTTAGAATGGAAACTAAAGACAGCCCAGAAAATGCTATGTATACAGTATTAGATTAAACTCGTGTTTTCGTTATAACATCCTTCATTATGTGCACCTTTACATACAGAGAATACAAATAAATAGTAGGGTGTTGTTACTAGTTATTGTTTAAAGGGACGTTCCAAATACAATACACAGAGAATGAATGGGAAAATGTGCAAATAAATAAAAATGAACATAGATTCTTAGGCTTTGAGTGTTCCTTGAAATCCTTTCAAAATAGGCAAAGATTGGGGCGGAGCCTGACCGGGGAGCTGAACAGACGTTCTGTGAGCTCCCGAGCCTGGACCCGATACTCGACAAAAATCGTGGGAAAGCCTCACAATTCTGACCCACAACTTACTTCATCGTGTAATGCCAATGCTGGAGATCCTGAGGATACCCCACACACCCGGTTTGCCCGCTGGATTGCCGGGTCGGAGGCTTGGGGCCTACCCCATGCAAAGCAGGGGAGAGGCGGACGCTCTCCCAGCTCACCAAAGCATCTGGCACCCGAAGCATCGGGCGCGCCCCACCCCCGGACCGGTGGGGGTTATCCCGGTCCCAATCGTCAAAACCCAACTGCCTATAGGGTCAGCAAATGACAAGACAAGCCTAAAACAAGCAATGAACCAGCAAACCACTCGCTGTCCTAAGGTGGCAGAAACGCAGCCCAACAAAGGCCTCGCAGCACCAGAGCCCAAACACAGCGACTGCGAATCCCTAGACACCCGCCTGGGAAAGCTGTTTGCAAACTTCTGGGCTAAAGTGGAGGCTCGACACGCTGCCGCACAAGCACAGGTGCAGGCGAGTGAGAACACAACATGGAACATGGAAAGGATCAGCCACAGAGGACCTGGGAAGCCCTCAGGCATAAAACGAACGGCACAGATCGCATCTCCCCACAAGAGCCCATCCGGGCTGAGGGCCCCGATGCATCTCCCGCATAGGTGCAGGCCTGTACGCCACAGGCGGCGAACCACCACCGCAGCCTCCAGACCTACCTTTTCAGGGAAGGACCTGGCCTATAAAAGTCCCAGAGTCTGTGGTGAAATGATGCTGGCCCCACAACAAGTCCGGAGCAGGAGGGCAATACCGGCATGCTTCTGGCTGTTCACTGACACTGGCGACCTCCGTTCTAAGCAGGCAGACAACGCCTCCAGATCGGGCATCGGCTGATACAACACGGACTGACTCACGGAGAAGCACATAGCCCATGACCCTGCTAGTACCGTAGAGACCCTTTTGTATTTTTTTTTTTTCTCTTCTGTGTCCCCATGCAAATCACCTGGACGACATTCATGATATGCTTTACCTATGTTTCATTTGTTTTGTGTTAACCCTATGCTTTAGGCCTTCATGTTCATCAGAACACTACCCAGCACATTATAATGATGTCTAGATAGAGAGCCAGCGGCCCAACTCAGGACTAGGAATAACATGCTTAGTTTTGTTTTTTTTCCCATTACCTGTTACCTACAACAAAGACGTATATACAAATTGGAAAATGCTTAAACATAATAATGCACTACTCTCGTTTAATGCTAGATAAATACCACGACTGAACTCGTTACATATAATTGCTAACCGTGTATACTTAGCATGTTTTACAACTGAACAAGCGTATAGACACCAATTGTTTAACCCCTAAAGGACACATGACATGTGTGACATGTCATGATTCCCTTTTATTCCAGAAGTTTGGTCCTTAAGGGGTTAAACAACCAGGAATAACAGCTGTGTTAAACCTACAGCGACACTAATCTTTAACACCGTAATCTCTTATGTGCTGCAATGTTTTAGCTGGTAAAGGATCATCACTTGTTTCTTTTACTGTTAGCAGGCCAGACCCATAGGCATATATAGACCAAACGTGTTTTTATGACGTACACTCACATGACACTGCGGTGCCTTTCATTCTTGTTTTACGTTTTTACAAATGTTAAAAAATGTGCTTTCACCTCAATGCCACACATGTATAAATCTATGTTATTGCTGTGATTATGTCTTCTGTTTTGGCAACATATATCATATTGTCAAACCATGCACAACAAAAATAAAAAATTCAAAATAAAAAATATAGGCAAAGATTGGGTTAGGAAAAACAGTTCTCACCAAAACGATGACCTTGGCTTGAACTTGACTTTTGCCCAGACTCGCCACAATTGCCTCAATTCCACCCGCAATCTGCTCGGCACTGTGACCCTGGTTATATGTACCTACCCACAACACGATGATCTGAAAAAGGAGGCAAACAAAATAAAGAAATACTATGCTTCCATAAAGGATTACAAAACATTCCAGAACACAAACATTTGTTCCACATGACAATATCCCAATCAGAACATTTACTAAAAACCAGACAATTGGCACACTTTGCCCTTAATTATGGTTTATACCCAACGTGCCATTGGGGTGGTGTCAGTGGAATTGCTCAGAGGAAGAGAGATTTTATGTTGTAATGGTAGGTCACATTATACCTGATGGAAATTAATAAAAGACAAGACCACTGCCACCAATATTCACTTCAGCAAATAAAGAAAAATGTTTGTAGCTCTATGAAAGTGATAATTATCTCACCAATGGCAGAAGTGGCAACAATCAGAGAAACATTGGCCATAGGGATGGCCAAAAACTAGAAGAGCATCAATCCCATGTTGCTTTGTCAGTCTTAAGAGCTTCCTTTTGGCCAATTCTGCTTTAAAAGATTCCTTCTATGGATATCCAGAAGACAAACTTGCATTTTTGGATACACAGAATGCAATGGCTTCCTAGAAATCCAGTCTGTTCTGCATCAATTAACATTCCCAGCATGATAACCACTACAGCATGCAGTAGTGATTATGGTGCCAAGAGTACCTTAGTAATTACTCTAACCAGTAGTGCAGGGCTTCGCTCACTGGCTGAGACTGATCAGAAGATACTTTCAGCCAATGAACTAGTCCTGCACCACCAGGCTTATCATTATTGTAATTTATATAGCACAAAATTATTCCACAATGCTTTAAATTATAAAGAGTGAATTTTAACAAATTAGATAACCTGTTACTGGGACAATAGGCTGATGGGGATTCTGCTCGAAGGAGCTTACAATCTGGAAGCAGGGTTAGGCAACCTTCGGCACTGCAGATGTTTTGGACTACATCTCCCATGATGCTTTGCCAGCATTATAACTGTAAGAGCATTGTGGTAGATGTAGTCCACAACATCTGGAGTGCCGAAGGTTGCCTACCCCTAATCTAGAGGCTTAGCTTAGGAGAGCCAGCGCAAGCTCCTTAACAGGCTCTACCATAGCTAGAATGGAGGTGGGCCTATCTTTAATTTATCCAAAACAAAAACTTTGGGGTCTTTAAAAGGAACATCTCTCACCGTATTCCCTGTACATTAATTGCACAGTTCTCTCCTCACCTACCTTTGGTTTAATATGCTTCAATTCACCATTTTCCAGACGCCACAAAACGTGCTGAGTCCCATCCCCAACCCCACCAAAATTCAGGGCATGGAGCGGGGAGAAAAGCTCCCTCCAGATCTAAAAAGAAACACATGGCATCAATTTCCTATTCCAAACCATAATGTTCTTTGAGATTGACTACACTAGATATTGGTTTACACAATCACCACACAGTGCTTTACTCAAGAACTAAAACACACAAATACATCTGAAAGAATCAAAAATCAACCACAAGCTAAGTAAAGGTTTGTCCCACTGAGCTTACAATCGGTGTGGATACAATAACATTTAAGATACATTCTAGCATGTAGCACAGTCAGCAGGTTACAGAGCACTGTAAAATTATTAGTTTTTTAATATCTAAGTTTTTTTCTTCTTTTTGATTTTTTATTTAGAAGAACATGAAACATACACAAAAGTGTATCAATCGTAGTAGAATGAAGGAAACCGCATTCACCAGGCTGCAGAGGTGCACCAGATCCGGGGATGGCCAAACCCCACGTTGTGTTAAGTACATTAAATAAATAGTCGTCCGGGCACTCAAGGCGATATCCAAAACAGCAGTTTTATTGGAGCAAATGAATAACGTTTCGACCCTTCTGGGTCTTTGTCAAGCTTGACAAAGATCAGAAAGGGTTAAAACGTTATTTGTTTGCTCGAATAAAACTCCTGTTTTGGCTATCACCTTAGGTGCTCGGACCACTATTTATTTCATAAACTTACACAGAAGCAAAGCCTCCCCATAAATAGTCACATTATCATATAGACAAACAGATACAATAGCAATTATATACACACACCACCTTGGGGGAACGGCCTCAATTCTAGGAGATAAACTGAGGGGCAGTAAAGATCCAGTTGTTTTTTTAGCCAAACTGCACAGTTATACGGTTTCTTTGGGTCAAAACCTTGAGACCTATAAAGTAATGCCTCCATCTTAAGTTGGAACAAGACGTGTGAATTCCACAAGTCTAGTATAAATGGTGAGGAAACCTTCCATGTAGAATGGCACTCTCTGGTGCCTTAAGTATGGGTTTGCTTGGCAACATTTCTACCTTCGCAAAAGTCTCCGTCCATAGTTCCTTAACCATTTTGCAATCCCACCAATCGTGTACAAGAGTGCCAAGATGCTTATTGCATCTCCAGCGAATAGGGGATTACTTATTTTCTTTTAACTCTTTATTTTAAGGGACTGAATATTACATATGCATATTGTCATACAGGTAGGGTAAAATAACAGAATAATGATATGGGATACTTAATACTTTGATTTAATCATGCATAAGTAATAAAGAGTGTGTGCGTCTCGTATATAGTGAGCAAGAAATCAAAATGCAGTAAAGAAAACCTGCCATAATAAAGTGACTATAGGATTTGGGATCAGAAAAGAGACTGTCCCTCCAAAATAGGGACACTTGGGAGGTATGCACATCCCACAGACTGTGTGTGCGCAGGAAATTACCTCAAACTGGTGAAGGAGCTGGACATTGGAATCCCCTATAAACACCACTTCCGGTTCCTTGTCTTTGCTGCTTGTCATAAAGTGGTTGTGCTGAAAGACAAAGTGAAACGTGTACAGTTAGCTTCTTAATGGTGCCGAGCAGTTTGATTCTCTCCAGGTTGGTGAATAAAGGAATTGTACGGTTCAGGCCAAAGTAGCTGAAGTTGGGAAAACATCTTGCTATTTTTACATAAAATTCTGGCCGGTTCTTTTAAATTCTTTGATCAGTTACATATAGCTACTTATTACATAAATTCACCAGAATGAATTTTGTATTTAATGTCAAAATAGCTGAACTGAAAAAATTATCTAAGTCAACTATGCTTTCAGTTCTGGTACTCTGGCCTTAGAGGAGTATTCCACTGGAGTATTGTTTTATTTAGAGTGTGCATATTATATTGAGGAGCTTGTTTTTTGGCATTTTTTTCTTTTGTTATATTTTTATATGAGGATTTGGAGTTATTGTGCCTGGCGACCCGAGACCTACAGAGGTGTTTTTACCCCATTTTGCCATTTTTTCCCCCTTTCTTTTCAATTCAGATTTATCTTCACAGCATATGATATTAGCTCCTTGTTTCCAAGTTTTTCCTCTTCTTTGGTATATGTATATGAAAACAGTTTGCAAAAGCTGCAGATCTCTTATCTGCAGCCTTTGCAAGCCCTCGCCGGCTGTCCAATCACAGACTTCCTAATGCAGCTCAATGAGAAGTCTTTGCAAGGCAGGTGCTCTCGACAATTGCTGCCTCTTGAGTTTAGTTCCAGTGAGCTAACCAAACCAGGAAGTAACAGGACCTGTTTGATTAACAGCCAGGGGGTTGTAACAAGGTTAATTTATCAAAGTGCCAAATTCTATAGAAATCTGCACTTTTGTAAAATGGGGACACATTCTTCACATAAAGTCATCCAGCAAGCTTAAGTGCTTTAGGTGTTTGTGGCGTTCCTTGAAACCTGAAATTCACTTTGAAAAAAAAAAACGTGAGTGTTATGGGTGACATAAAACCGTTTTGAGCAAGGGACAAAAATGCTGTGTGTTCAAAGACTGTTAAATAAAACTGCAATATGATTTAATGTGAACAGCAGACTTTGCTCATTGAACTGGTCAATCATGGATACTAGAACTTTACTAATTATGGGTAACGTGTCCTTCTGGTTGTTGCGGACAGATTAGGGAACATAGACCTCAATAACTGCAGGGCCAAAAGTTAGCCATGATTGGTCCATATTCTGGATGCACAGTAATTACTTTGATGCTAGAACTGGGAATACAAAATACAATTAACGATGGCGGGCTAGATTGGCTTGACATACGACAGGGAGGAGCAGCACTTACCAGTGACATCCAACGCCCATCGCCTTGAGTGTCTGGCATAGCAGTGGGAATAGCAGCGGGGTTTTGCTCTCCGTCACTCATGGTGTCCTACATGAACACGATAAATCAGGTGTTACAATAACCAAACAATGGATCAGAATTACAGTGGAGAGACGGGGAGACTAGCAGAGACTACACTGCATGGCCTGACTGCAGTACGAGATACCAGTAAATTATACACACACTCAATGTCAGCAATAAGAAGGAGAGATCGGATTTACTCAATGTCCCAAACATATGACAATTATGGGCAGGAAGGGGGTGTAGGATATTGCTACATTTAGGAATGGTTGTGTCATGCCAGAGGCATCTGACAGTAACTACATGGATCCGATTTTGACAACTAGTAACGTGTAATACAATATTCTAGAAACATTTTTTTTTAAATTGAAAACACATTTTCAATGAAAAAAGCCACAGTAACAGTTTCTCTGTGGCAGTGTTAATTTTAGTGGCAAATTTCATTTTCTTTTTAGTCAGTCTTTTGACTAAAAAGCCATTTTAGTTGTATTTTAGCCATATGAATTGTTTTAGTTTTAGTCTACTAAATCTCCTGAAGATTTTAGTCAACGCTACTAAAATCTAATAGGTTTAGTTAAAGCCTCTGTCTGTATGTTTTTTTTCCCCTGCCAGCCCCTCCATGCATCTCATCCCACCACGTCTCTTTCCCTCCAGCCCCCATTTGCCTCAATTCCTCCTTCAGTCACCCCTCGTGTCCCTCTATGTGTCTAATTCCTTCCCAGCCACCCCTCCATGTTTCTCGTTCCTTCCCAGCCGCTCCTCCATGTGTTTCATTTCCCCCCCAGCGGCCGCTCCATATTTCTCGTTCCCCCCACCCCACCATGTGTCTCGTTCCTCCCTTAGCCGCCCCTCCATTTGTTTCTCGTTCACCCCCAGCACCTCCATGTGTCTCGTTCTCCCCCCCCAGCCGCCCCTCCATGTGTCTCATTCTCCCCCCCAGCCCCAGCCCCCTCCATGTGTCTCCATTCTCCCCAGCCGCCCCCTCCATGTGTCTCATTCTCTCCCAACCCCGCCCCTCCATGTGTCTCATTCTCCCAACCGCCCCTCATGTGTCTCATTCTCCCCAGCCGCCCCTCCATGTGTCTCATTCTCCCCAGCCGCCCCTCCATGTGTCTCATTCTCCCCCAGCCACCCCTCCATGTGTCTCTGTTCCTCCCCCAGCCGCCCCCTCCATGTGTCTCATTCTCCCAGCCGCCCCTCCATGTGTCTCAATTTCTCCCCAGCCCCTCCATGTGTCTCATCATTCTCCCCAAGCCGCCCCTCCATGTGTCTCATTCCCCCCAGTCCACCCCTCCATGTGTCTTACCAGCCAGTGGTAAAATTTGGCGGGAAATTTCAATTTGTTTTAGTAATAGTGTTGACAAAAAAGCCATTTTCGTCGTCTGAATGGTTTTAGTTGACTAAATCGGACGAACTTAACACTGCTCTGTAGTAAAGGGCTAGAGTGGTAGTATAGATATATTTTGAAATTGGCACCAGGTTATAAAAAATGTAAGTACCTTCTAGGACGGGTTTAAATGGAAACAGGCCATGCATTTACCTTTTCTCCTTACCTATTATCTGACCAGTCACATGGTGTTTGATAAAGGACAAATATCATGTAATTTTTACACAACCCATAACTAACAAAAACATACTTATTGGTTGTAATACACAGACACACACACACACACACACACACTGGTTATAAGAAGATGGCTGCACTCTCGGTCCTTTCTTCAGGATCACAATTATAACACAATATTTGTGATCCTGAAGAAGGTCCCTCAAAGGGACTGAAATGTTGATCTTTAATTTAATGAAGTTGAAATAAAATTTGGATTTTATCAAGAACCGAGAGTGCATCCATTTTCATATAACCATTGGATACTAGAGCCCTGGTTATATTGCACCCGACCGTAAATTTGTATATAGCCTGAGTGCAAGGATCTACAGAATATATATATATATATATATATAACATTTAAACTGTGAATTACATCACACACGAGGCTGTCAATGCCAACGCACAGTGTAAAATCTGAAAGTACTCTAGACGTCAGTGTGCATTTCATTCATATTGTTGTACATCTCACCCCAGGACACACTTCAATGCCATTACTGGGGTGAAGGATAATGTATTTGCCACCAACTGGAGGTGTGCCAGTCTGAACTTTGTGTGTGTGGAGTCAGGGTTTTTTTAAAGGAAATAATTGAGTCCTGAAACTAATTTGTTATTAGATAACAGCCGTGGTTCCCAGATCACCTTATACAAGTGTCTCACTGCTTATTAGAATTAACCAAAGGAGACAGTTTATCTTTAATGTAAATACAATTCCCATCATGCAATAAAATAAATTAAAAAGGATAAATGTTACCATAATAAACATAGAAACTGCTAGAATATTTGAACAAATACTTTATACAGGAATGTCTGGTTAGCCACAGAGTACCATGATATAACATAAAGCTTAAATACATTACAGAATGCATGACATTAAATACATCACATAATTGCAATGCAACATTAATCTCAGAATAAACATCCAACTATACACAGCTACAATGTTTGCTTGTGGGGCACGATATGCAACCCCTGGATGTTGGGCCAAGGTAACATCCACAGGACGTACCTAAAACCAGAGTAATCTGAATGTACCTTTCCTGGTTAAAATTTAGGAAAGCTTATGGCCTCCCAGAGTAACCTCTACCTTACACACCTGTCTCTTGCTCTCTCCTATAGGGCAGCACTTTACTCTATCCTCCAGCCCTGCTTCACTCCCACCTTGTTTGATTGCCATTTCCTGTACTGTTGTGTTTTATACCCCACCTCTTATAGACTGGAAGCTCGTTTGAGCAGGGTCCTCTTCAACCTATCGTTCCTGTAAGTTTTCTTGTAATTGTCCCATTTATAGTTAAATCCCCCCTTTCTTATAATACTGTAAAGCGCTACGGAATCTGTTGGCGCTATATAAATGGCAATAATAATATTTAAATACTTTGTTATTATTAAACCCTGCATGTGCAAGCATTTTTTTTTTTTTAATTCTTTGTCAGTTTTGGTTTTCAAGTATAATGAAATAACATTTTAGAGTAGGACATTGAAAGTCATTATGGGACAAAGTAGGGTAAAGTAGAATGACATAGGACTTCAGTGCACAGCCTGCCTGGTCAGAACAGTATTCACAATTACAAGTAGTGTGCAGTTGTTGCTAACATTTGATAAGTGCGAATTTTCCAGTTGATTGCATTGTGGTGCTTAACCGTTCACATATAAGATAGCTATCACGTTTGTGGGGGTGCCTGTTGTATTCAGCGGTTTTCGTCCGTTCCCCTGTTCTGTCTGTTTTCAGGATGTGAAAGCATTTTGAAGCAATCACTGGGTCGGTGAACCAGTTTGTACGTACGTGGCAAGATTTGAATGAGACAAATCACAATATAATCCAAGGCAAAGAAAAGTCCAATGGTTCCTTGGAAAGTTTAGGGGGACCAAATCCTTAGGTGACTGGCACACAGTTCCGTGCCCATTGGCTAAGGGGTGTCAGCTGAGAACATGCCTGCGTTGGCTGTGCTTTACTCTACAGAGACCTCTAGGTTCTCCTACTGGAAAAGACTGGACATCTCACTGTGGAATAGCTCTATGGCACTCTTAAAGATACACTACAGGCACCCAGACCACTTTAGCTAGTTGAATAGGTCTGGGTGTAGTAACCTTGTCCCCTTAACCATGCAATGTTAATTACTGCAGTCTCTAAGAAACTGCGATAATTAAATTTCAGGATTAGGACTGCCACTAGTGGCTGTCAGACACCAACTAGAGGAACTAGCTCAGTGACTTTTGGTCACCTAACTGATGCTGATGTCCTCATTGTAACGAAACCCCTGTTTGGACAGACTCAGGGAAACAGCATTTCGTATGACATTCGTACGTTAGGCTATTTCTTTTTGTTTGTAAAAGAGCCGAACAAACTCCCAAACCACCCGACCCCCCCACCAGGGTCGTGTGCAGCCCATTAACCACCCAGACCTTGTGGTTAACCGCAAGTAATTGTTGAAAGGCTTGGTGGTCCGCGTTCGGTTGCCGAACACGTGACGGTGGCCTTTTTAAAATCGAACGCTCAGCGGTAGATGGTCGTCGACGCCCTGGAACTGTTTTCGGACACTTATTTAGCCGCACACCACTGAAGCGCACCAGGTTCCAGTCCATTTGTCTACTAACTCACGAGCACTCTACCGTTCGGGACTTTACTACCATACGAACTAGACCGACCCCAGGTAGCTGCAGTTATAGAACTCTTTTCTGATTCAATTGCACGAACAACCGGTGAACTAAAAACTTTACTCGACGGTATTGAGAACTGTGTTCGTGGGATCTGAGCGCTATTAGTCTATATTGTGCGCTCAGATCCAAGCTATCTGGGGGTATGTGGAACATGGAGACTACGTTCGGCAAAATATAAGTTATGGATTTTAATACAGCTTTGTCAAAATGTGAAAAGGACATGTTTCTCTCTACCTGGAGATAATTAGGTTCTCTCCAACCACTTAAGTTAATTATCTCCAGGATAGAGAGGAGGGGTTGCACTGTTACTGTGGGTGTGTTTAATAATTGTACTGTAAACTGATTGTCTCTGTATTTTGTGTCACAGTTTTCCACAAGGTCCTCTGTGGGAGTTTCCTTGCTGGGAGACCATCATAAAAGGCCGCGTGTGGCCAGCATTAAAGCAGATCGTTTTACCCCTTCATGAAGTCTCGACTCATGCTTGGGGAATTAGGAGCTATAATCACTCCTTCGCTATTGTTCTGCTGGGATTTCGGGAGAAGCTGTAAGGATCGGTCCTACAGGGATAACAGGATCTTTTACACTCATGCTCTGCACGAAGACATCCAGCGTCAGCAAAATCCCTACAAGACAACATTACAGCAATGCTTTCTTATAGAGAGGGCTTAATGCGCCCCCATGGGATCCGTGTTTTTCCTCTCTCCATGGGATGAGTTTGTGTGTGTATGTCTCTCTCTCTCTCCCCCACCATCCATCCGATGTGTGTGTCTCTCTCCCCCTCCATCCATCCATAGGATGCGTGTGTCTCTCTCTCCCCCTCCATCCATCCATACGATGCGTGTGTCTCTCTCTCCCCCTCCATCCATCCATAGGATGCGTGTGTCTCTCTCTCCCCCTCCATCCATCCATAGGATGCGTGTGTCTCTCTCTCCCCCTCCATCCATAGGATGCGTGTGTCTCTCTCTCCCCCTCCATCCATCCATAGGATGCGTGTGTCTCTCTCTCCCCCTCCATCCATAGGATGCGTGTGTCTCTCTCTCCATCCATAGGATGCGTGTGTCTCTCTCTCTCTCCATCCATCCATAGGATGCGTGTGTGTCTCTCTCTCTCCATCCATCCATAGGATGCGTGTGTCTCTCTCTCCCCATCCATCCATAGGATGCGTGTGTGTCTCTCTCTCTCCATCCATCCATAGGATGCGTGTGTGTCTCTCTCTCTCCATCCATCCATAGGATGCGTGTGTCTCTCTCTCCCCATCCATCCATAGGATGCGTGTGTCTCTCTCTCCCCCTCCATCCATAGGATGCGTGTGTCTCTCTCTCCCCCTCCATCCATAGGATGCGTGTCTCTCTCTCCCCATCCATCCATAGGATGTGTCTCTCTCCTCCATCCATGGGATGCGTGTGTCTCTCTCTCCCCTCCATCCATAGGATGCGTGTCTCTCTCTCCTCATCCATAGGATCGTGTCTCTCTCTCCCCCCTCCATCCATGGGATCGTGTGTCTCTCTCTCTCCAACCATCCATAGGATCGTGTGTCTCTCTCCATCCATCCATAGGATGTGTGTCTCTCTCTCTCCCTCCATCCATAGGATGTGTGTGTTTCTGTCTCTCTCCCTCCATCCATAGGATGTGTGTGTGTCTGTCTCTCTCCCTCCATCCATAGGATGTGTGTGTCTCTCTCTCCCTCCATCCATAGGATGTGTGTGTCTCTCTCTCCCTCCATGCATTCATATAATGTGTGTGTCTCTCTCTCCCCCCCCTCCATGCATAGGATGTGTGTGTGTCTCTCTCTCCCTCCATCCATAGGATGTGTGTGTGTGTCTCTCTCCCTCAATCCATAGGATGTGTGTGTGTGTGTGTCTCTCTCCCTCCATCCATCCATCGGATGTGTGTGTCTCTCTCCCTCCATGCATTCATATAATGTGTGTGTCTCTCTCTCCCCCCCCCCTCCATGCATAGGATGTGTGTGTCTCTCTCTCCCTCCATCCAAAGGATGTGTGTGTCTCTCTCTCCCTCCATGCATTCATATAATGTGTGTGTCTCTCTCTCCCTCAATCCATAGGATGTGTGTGTGTCTCTCTCCCTCAATCCATAGGATGTGTGTGTGTCTCTCTCCCTCAATCCATAGGATGTGTGTGTCTCTCTCCCTCAATCCATAGGATGTGTGTGTGTGTCTCTCTCCCTCAATCCATAGGATGTGTGTGTGTGTCTCTCTCCCTCAATCCATAGGATGTGTGTGTGTGTCTCTCTCCCTCAATCCATAGGATGTGTGTGTGTGTCTCTATCCCTCAATCCATAGGATGTGTGTGTGTGTCTCTCTCCCTCAATCCATAGGATGTGTGTGTGTGTCTCTCTCCCTCAATCCATAGGATGTGTGTGTGTGTCTCTCTCCCTCAATCCATAGGATGTGTGTGTGTGTCTCTCTCCCTCAATCCATAGGATGTGTGTGTGTGTCTCTCTCCCTCAATCCATAGGATGTGTGTGTGTGTCTCTCTCCCTCAATCCATAGGATGTGTGTGTGTGTCTCTCTCCCTCAATCCATAGGATGTGTGTGTGTGTGTGTGTGTGTCTCTCCCTCAATCCATAGGATGTGTGTGTGTGTGTGT